ATGTTATAACTTCAGGCATGATGGGAAGGAATACTCGAGTCACCGACTGATTCTTGGAACTCACACGTAAGAGATGCTGCTGCTGCTGCTTCCATTATGAAGATACTTCCTGGTGTTTAGTCTTCAAATGCAGGTCCGACTATACTGTATCAATTGTTGTCATCAGTTCGTGGCAGATGCTTCTCAAGTACAGTGATTGCTAATAATAATGCACCCATGGGTCTAGCACACTTGCTCTTTTTTTATCGGATATAACATACTTTTGAACACAGTGCATGTTTTCTATTCGCGTATGGAGTACTTATACAATACTGCTTTTTTATTGTTCGTTGGAGGTACATGTGTGTTGTACTGAAGTGGCACTGTCGTTCGATGGGTCCATTTATCCAATACCCATGCATGCTGAATTGAAATTTAATTTCAACACCAATTTACACTAACCAGTGCCTGCCATCATCCACTTGGTAGGTTGTACATGGACGTGTACGTGCGCTGGCGTGAAGACACGATCTATTCAAGCTGCAGCTGTGTGCACGACCGACACACAATCGTTGGGCGTGCCTGTAGCCCCGTGTCTCAGCACACTGCTTGGATTGGCATACTCGTCGTGTCCTGGCAGTGCATTTATGCAAGGCTCCGCGGCGTGTGTGCTCAGCTCAGCACAAATCAAATCAGGATAGTGTTTTGGACTCCAGCATGGCTACGGCATTAGTCATGTGATGTCCGATCTCTTCTGAAGAGTGCGGCTGTCAGCTAGTAATTAAAAATAATGTTCTGAAAACGAAACCTCTAGTTTTGAGTCCAGGGTGTTCTAATTATTGTTGCTATCTGCCGCAGGAACACCCATGATAACGTATAGTCAACTTGCGTATAGCGACACTCGGCGGGGCATCAGAAAAGTGTCCTTATTCGAGAAGTGTCCTATACCCGAAGTCTCATTGTATGTATTACAGTTAGATGGGACTTTGCTCTGGGCACGGAAATTCTGTCGTTATTCGCGAATTGTCATTATATCCGCAGTCATTATTAGCGAAGTTGACTGTACATGCTGGTTTATCATTTTGGTGTGTCTGTAATTCATGCATGTTTGTACTCTTTGCTGCCTGTACTTAGGTCTGATGAGCAAAATCATCTTGTGATTGCCACTGTTCAGTTGCCCAACGAAGATACACAATTTGATGCAAGTCACTATGACAGTGAACGAGGAGGTGAGGCACTGGCGAATCCGAGTAGCCAAATTAGCAGCTGAAGAGACGTGTCAGGGAGAGCTTGAGTTGGGTTTGAATTTAAATTTAAATAGAATTCTCGCCTCGCAGGGTCCTTTATTTTTGAGGCTATGTTTTTCAAGTATGTCCCTCGGTGCGTTCTGCGGCCAGTCTGTTTTCTGATATCACTAGATCCGCTCATGAAACATTACACCACACTGGCTATAGGCTATAGCTTCGCTGTATGTGACTCCAGCCGAAACAGCCCATCTCCATACGAGCTGTGGACAAGTTCTCCGGCCCTCGTGCCGCGATATTTGCATTGTAATTTCGCGACACCTAGAAACTTTCGTGCCACAGGGGTCAAAGTGAGGCCCGTCACAAGCCGCAAGCGAGTGAGGCACAGGCGTGACCCGTTGTGTCTGTGTCTGTCTACTCGTCGCGTTGTGGGCATTGGTCACTACAATCATGTACATGTAGGTTTGACTGTTACATCATACTGCTCTGTGTTTCTTATGTGACGGTTTTTTATTGTATTTTTTTAGAGTTTGGCGGGTTTGGGTCTGTATCAGGCAAGATCGATCTGACGATCAAGATTAACCATGAAGGCGAAGTGAACAGGTATGCTACTGTTAGGTACCTCCTCCCGTACATGCGATGGTGTGGCCATGGATCTAATGGGAACACGTTTGGTGTGACAACTACCATGCAACAGGGCCTGTGATGCTCAAAGTACTTGTGATATGGGAAACCGCAACTGAACAAGTATTGCGTCAGACTGTTGTTAAATCTGCACGGGTTGCTACGTAGAATCGTTTGGCAAAGAGATATGGGTTTTATTCACGGGATTTGCGAGATGTACGTCTGGCGAAGCCAGGGTCCAGTAGCCTATATTGTATATGTGTGTGCGTGGGTGGTGTTCGCACGTACCATGTATCCCGAGTGCCTGCAACTTCATACCTGCCAAGTATCCCGAGTTTTTCGGGATTATCCCGCATTTTTGGATAAACTCCCGCGATCCCGAAATCCCTGTCGATTATCCCGAAAATCACTGTACACGAAACAAGTCTTGATATTGTTCTCTGAGCACTTCAAGTGACTTGTCTAGTTCTCCCCTCGTACTGCCATAGCCTGTAGTTCCAGCGGATCTACTAGTGGCAGTGCTCCTTTTATAAATTGTTGCTGAAACCTCCGCTTTGAGTCCTGAATTTGCGTATATTATGATTGATATCACTGATAATGTCACAAACGTTTTGCATCATCACTTCAAAAAAGTTGGAAATGGAATTTTGGAAAAAAATAAGACATCCTGAAAAACCAAGGCAAATCCCGAGAATTTGCCCTGGCGATCCAGGAAAAGCACTCTCAGTACTTGGCAGGTATGCAACTTTGCCAGTTGCTGCCACGATGCCAGCGCGCCCTACTGGCTTTGGTATCCCGCGTGTGACCCACACCATTGTACACATTCTGCTGAGGTCTTAAATGTATTTGAACATGGCCAGCAAAGCGAGGGTCGACGAGCGCACGTTCTGTTGCACTGCTGTGCGTTCTCTGCCTTGTAACGTGCTGTCATCATCAAAGCATGTTCTGTTGTTGTAGATGGGAGGATCGTTTTTCCAGGGTTGTGCTACTCTGGTGCAGGCTCTCTGGTTTTGTGCATCCTTTGCAGCGCACTTACATTGGGTTGTCGTTGGACCGTGCATAAGGGAGCTGTTGTTCTTTGTCTTGAAGATATCTTTGTTGTCCTTTTGGTTGTTGATACACTCTACCAGAGCCCGGTACATGCCACAGAAACCCTCGGTCATCGCCACAAAGACTCCGTCATCTGATGTCCTCGTCTTCGACTACACCAAACACCCTTCCAAGCCCGGTAAATGGAGTGATGACAATACATCTCCCATTATCATTTTCATTTCCTACGTGCACGTCTTTTTTTCTTGAGTTCCTTGTCACTATGGTTTGCATGAAGCAAGTGATCAAGTCTGTGAAGGAAGAGTTTGTGTATATGTGTACGTGTGTGTGTATGTGTGTGTATGTGTGTGTACGTGTGTGTACGTGTGTGTGTGTGTGCTAACTTTCTATCATGTAGATCCTAGTGGAACGTGCAATCCCGAACTGCGTCTGAAAGGTCACCAGAAAGAAGGGTAGGTTAATAACATTGCGCACAAGTCTACAGCTTCTGTTACAAGATATTGGTGTAGTATATCTGTAGGTCTTACTACAAAGGGGTGATGTGTATCCTAAGCAGTTGTGTATCACCTTTATTGAATAGGGCTGATGGCATCTTTGAGTCGTTTTGCTCTTCTGCTCCTTGTTTGCAGGTATGGTCTTTCATGGAATCCGAATAAGCCTGGCTATTTGTTAAGTAGCTCGGATGATCATGTAAGCACTGTGCCATGGCGTGTTGTTGATTAAAAATTACTTTCCTCTTGGTATGTTTTAGTGGTGAAACTTCTGCTGGAGGAAGATCAGGGCATCTGTGCTCTCTTCCGACGGACCAGCACGACACTTGGTGACAATGTAGCCAGCAGCAGAGAACAGTCAACACCCTCTCCGAAGGAACAGAAGTTGCTGGCACACACAACATATACTTTTGTCTATTTGACCCGCATCTGCAAGCTCGAACATCGACACATTGTTATTGATGTCCACATTGACCAAGTTCCGACCCGCAGCATTGAGGAATAGAAGGGAGCGCGAGCGCAGCTCCAGTGCAGCTGCTGGGAAAGCCTACCGCAACCGTAGATACTGCATTACCCTAGCAAGAAACGATATACCGACTCACCAAGGGCGCCGGGCATGGGGCAGGCGCGCAAGCAACTTCTTCCCAATGGTCCATCGCGTCCGTACTGACAGGGTGGGAAGTAGACGCTTACAACGCAACTGACGAAGAGACCGCCGGACAATCTGCCGGGCTGCATGGGCCGTAGGGCTATGGCGAAATGATCAAGCCAGGACCACGAGCCATGTTTGCAGCTTCGTCGTGTACAACGGTCACAACCTTTTCACTAATGCTGAACTTCTCTATAATTTCCTTGAACTGAGCAGCGAGTTTGACTGCTGTATGCCTGTCATGCAAAGGGCGCGTCGCTAGAACAACGCTCTGCAAATCCCAGTTGTCATCAAGGAAATGCGCGGTGAAAGTCGAGTACGGCCGGACTGCTTTCGATGTCCAGCCATCGGTCGTCACTGCGACACAATGAGCAGATTTCAGCATGGCCTTGACTTCCTTCTTGCCATCGTAGTGCTTGCGCTTGATAACGGAGGCAATGTGAGTCCGACTCGGAATGTTTAAGCCGGGCTCGATGAAGTGAAGCAGCCGCTTGAGACCGTCGTCATTTACTATGTTCAAGGGACACATGTCCGTCGTTATCTACTCAACAAGAAGCCGCGCCAAGGCTTCAGCTTTCGCTCCACTGCATGGTTTAGTGGCTCTGGCTCCACGCGAATGGACAAACAAACTTGTGCATTGCACCAGATTTAGGAACTTTAGAAGCGGGTTCATTCGAAACGACAACGGACGGATGTGCGGACTTCAAGTGAGCAAGTAAATTGCTCGTGGTCCCTCCGTTGTAAATACAATTCTTTTTTGCACAACTTGCAGATGGGCTCCTTATCTTCACTTGTCTCGACGTGATCCCAGACTTTGGAGCAAGAGACTTGATTAAACACAACTCTTGGACATGATGAAAACACTCTGCAACTGACGACTGACCAAGCACAACTTCGCACAAGCAGGAGCTGACAATGGAAGTCAGATCGACAAGCAGTCTTTCGTGCACGTTCCGTTCAGAGCGCGAGCTGCCCTGGCAGTGATGTGTATGTGGCTCTTCAACGACACTGTACAGAATGAGTGTACACTGTGCTAAGATACTGTGCAGTGATGAGTGCAACAGTTGCAAACCATGTCACATCATGTACAGTTGTGGCAAGTGAAATCCGACACTTGCCATAGGGGACAGCGCCTCAAATGGACATCAATGATGTAATGCACTGCACCTAATTTGTACTATAGAGCCGTATGCATCCCAAACAGGTCGAAAGGTCACAGCTTAGATACACACAGTTCACAAACATGGTACACATAAGGAGTATTGGTATCCAATTCCCATTCATTTTTGCAGCACCTTTTGAACCTTGACTGATGAGTACGAATTCTGTCATCAGACAGATAAAGTTGTATGCAGCACATGTACTGTACGTACGGTATGCAGGGCTAGCCGGCTGCAGAGGCTGCAGGATGCATGGTGCAGTCCCTTATGCCAAGTGTCGGATTTCACTTGCCACAACTGTACATGCGCTGTCCGTGTGTGCTGCAGTTCAGAGTACAATGATGTACATGTTAAAAATGCATCCTCACTTGACTCCGTTTAGCGCGAAACACTGTACACTCGAGTTCAAAACGAATATTAGTTTCAGCGTAAGCATTCGTTTGCTTGGCGTTTCGGAAGAATATTCGCATATCCCCATATTAGTTTCGCCAAGCGTACATAACCCCCAAGAGTGTGCAACTCCCTGCACAACCTCTATACAGTGCTGCGACTGGGCAAAGCCTGGTTTTGCCAGTGAAGCTTCGACATTTTACTAACTCATCATCGATATTTTGCTTTCATTTTGCCAGGGCACTAGATATTTTTCTCCCTTTTTGCTCCAGTGCGAGGCCAAATTTGTGTCACGTGTGGGAAAACTGACCAAAAGTGGGTCACGTGTTCGCAAAAAATTAGAAAAAAGTGAGTCCCGCAAAACATGTGCGAAAATGAGTTCCGTGCACAGCGTAAAATCTCCCAATTTCCAGCGAACATACCGATATTTTGCTCCATTTTGCCAACAAATTCTCTTGTCGAAATTAGTTGACATTTTGCCTGCATATTGCTAGCAGCACCGGGCTATGTCTAGCTGCGACGGCAGAAATTCACATCACCTGACATGATATGATTCAAATTGTTACGCTGGCAAACAGTACAAAGTGACCACAAGAAGAGTTGAATCCAAAGCATATCTATCATGCACAGGGTGAAAAATGTGTACATGTTCGTCGCATGATGTGCAATTCTGCCGTCGCAGACCCCATAGCTGGAGTTGCACCATCTTGGGGGCTGTGTACTCTTGGTTTCACCACTAGTATGTTTGCAAAACGGATGTACACGTATTGAAACAGTTCTTGATGGGCCGTTTGCTTCAGCACGATTTCCTGGAAGCATACTAATATAAGTTTCAGTGTGCAGATCCTGGTCTTAGAGATGTGGGATTGGTAGCTGGCTTCAGTATATCCTTGTTGTCATTTCTCTGTAGACCGACTTTGCCAACTCCGCCCATCAAGTGCTGTTCGAGCAACACTCCTGCTGTGTGTGTACATGCACATTTGAAACCATGTCCATCTCCTGGTTATGTTTGAATGCAGTGGTTTTGGCAACTGCTGCATGTTAATGTTTGGTGTGACGCCTTCCAATGGTTTTCAGTTCTACTTATATGGGCAGCTGGACACGGACTGGGCAGCAATCTGATTATAACTGCCATTACCTGTTCACTGCTGTGTTTGTTGCAGACAATCTGCTTGTGGGATGTGGAGGCTTCACCCAAGGTAAGAATGCGCAGCTGACTGGGCAAGCCCCGCTGTACTATTCCAGCTCGCATTGCGTGCGCTTTTGTGTACGCAGTCGTGGTCTGCAGCTGTCTTTTCATGTCCTTTCTTTTGGAGAGTGCAATGGGATTGGGTGATTGTCATGCAAAGTATTATCATAGTTGCAGCATCAGTGCAACTCGTGTGTACTTTATTTCCTTGTGTCGGAAACTGCTCATGGGCCAGGGGCGGGTGGATGCCGGGAGAACTTCTTTGCCTTATCACATGCCTTAGAGTAGTTTGTGCATTGGCTGGCCGTTCAATATGAAACAAATTGACTCCTGTTCTCTCGTTCTGTAGGAGCAAAAGACGCTTGATGCCAAGAACATATATTCGGCACACACAGCAGTGGTTGAGGTAAGTCAGGAGTCCTATATATATTTTGTACTTGCTGCTTCTGATATGTTTGGTGCCTATTTCCTTCTCTACTGTGATAGCTCTGTGTATGGTTGCCTTTTCTGACATATATTGGGAAGTGCTGTTGTCATGGAATCAAAGGCTTCGATAGCATTTATGGTCTTAAGTCTTCCAGTACGTATGTGTTTGCGTTTTGTCTTATTTTCCGTGCCTGATTCTCTTTCAGTTGAATTTTGCTCGCCTGTGCCTGATTCTGTGATGCAATGTGTGTGTGTGTGTGTGTGTTGCTTTCTCCTGTAGGATGTGGCATGGCACTTGCTTCATGACAGCTTGTTTGGCTCTGTTGCCGATGATCAGAAGCTGATGATGTAAGTAGTTAGAGCCTGGCTTGTTGTTTTCTGTTTCGAAGAGCTCACTCTATCCAGCATTACTATGTGTCTAGCGGCTTTATTGCAATTCTGTGTTGAGATACATATACAGGTATTTTGATGTCCCCGTTACTGAGGGAAGAGGTTATTTTGCACTGGGTCAATTGAGTATCAATGATGTCAAATGTGGTAAAAAAATTAGTCACTGCATGCTTTGTATCAAAAGAAGCAGCTTCTAGCTACCACTGGGTGTGCTCTTTTAGATGTGTAGTGCGAGTATTGTGTTTTGGTTATCTGGCGTGACAGTTATATTGACTGTGTTGTTTCAGATGGGATGTGAGGAGCTCGAACACTTCGAAGGCTAGTCAAGTATTCCAGGCCCATTCTGCAGAGGTAGGTCTTGTGTAGCAATGGGCCAGCGGGTGTGATCTGGAAACGTGGCCATTAGACACACTACAGTCGTCCATGCACACTGCCACTGTGCTCTCGGGCTGCAGGTAGTGAGTGTAGGTAGCCCACGGTCAAGTCTGACTGAAGGGCCCAGCAATAGCAAGAAACTCTGTGTTCCATTTAGCACATTGTAGTGGGTGCATTGATCTCCGGGCTCTTCTTCTTGGCGCATCTGCCTCCCCGACTGACTCCCGGGACTCAATCTTGCGGTGCTTGTAAGGGTGGGATTTTGTTCGTGCATGATCAATACTACATGTAAAAAAAATTAAGTAATCGTATCGTATCCGTTCCCGAAGGGAACTAACGACGGCCGCTAACACCCGGTAAACCCTATGCTACGTGTACTGGTAATCAAACTGGCATATTCATGCTTGAAGCGCCAATGATCTCGTGTACATCAAAAACCGCTTAGTATGTACAGGGTGTACGCCGTTCTATTGTGTAGTACAGTCATACTATTTGCAGTTGACGTGTAGTACTAGTAAGTACTTCGGCTAGGAAGTGCTTTTTCCGTGTTCCCTTAGGGGCCATCCGTAAATATCGATAGTTTTTTCAATCCGTGAATTTTACAAAGTAACCAGGACCCACCACCCACCCCCCTACTTTTTATGGAATAAAATATTGATGACACATGTACTGTACCTACATAAATGTAGGTGGAGTCCATGGAGTCCATACACACGCAGGCATGCGCTCACCGTGTCATTCATAACTAGAAGAACTTATCTTTTTTGGCAGCTGTACCAAACAAAGTAGTCTGCCGTGCCATTTTCGTGAGGCCACGCTCCACATGGGAACTGTTCCAACCATTGGCGATGTAGCAATTCTTCGATGTGGAGTTCAAATAAGAGCTGGACTTGACCCGGATTAATCAGGTATTGTGATACTTCGAATAATTGTGCAATAATTATACTTGTGAATAATATCTGACAAACTTCCCTCTTTCTTTTGCTTCAAGAGTTTCGATCTCCACTACATTTTTTGGAGACAACAATCTACGTGTACGTGTGGTTCGACGCACGCAGACCCACGCACACGCAGTACTGGGCGCCAGGTCCGCATGTCATCGATATTTTATTTACTTTGAATTGCGGCTGCACCCACCACCCAGGTACGAAAATTTCACGGATTGTAAAAACTATCGACATTTACGGACGGCCCCTTATGGGTACTAAAGCTACAGTATCAGGGTTTGACTGTATTTCCATGTGTTTGTGCTTGTGGTCTCCACCTGTGTGTGCTTGGCTGGCAGGTAAACTGCTTGGCGTTTAATGCTTTCAGCGAGTACATTCTTGCGACGGGCTCGGCAGACAAGGTCAGTGGTGACACCATGCTACCTGTTGCTAACCATGTACATTGTAATTAAAATTTCTCTTCCCGGTCATTTCCCCTGTCAACAAGCTGCTGGTTCTGTGCTTTACTGCACTTACCAAAATTTCTGTTGAGTTGTATGTGTATTCCATTGTCTTCCTGTCTTCATTGGCACTACCACCACAAATAAGCATTTGTAATTTGTTTCACTTTTGCAATGTGTGTTTGCTCTAGTTACTGTATCTTTGTTTGTCTCGTTGGCTTCTGTTCATGACTGTCATGTGGTTTCGGCGGTCTTTTCTCTGCTTTCAATCATCTCTTCACAGACCGTAGCACTCTGGGACCTGCGTAACCTAAAACAGAAGCTGCATTCGTTTGTTTCTCACAAGGATGAGATCTTCCAGGTTAGAGGACTCTTGAATTCCTCACGTTGTTTGTGCCTCTGCTGTTGTTTGTTACGCTGCACGTGAGAAATGTGGAGGGAGAGAGAGAGAGAGGGTATTTTACGTTAGAAAGAAAAGTAAGTCTAACAAATGATAACTGAGGTTGCAGCGAGAAGAAATTCCAACTCCTTCCCCTTGCCACCGTGCTCTGGGTATATTGGGCCAATGACACGTTACACGTTATTGAGCCAATATCCTATCAACTCCGAAGTGGCCAGATGATGGATGATCATGGGCCAGGGCAAGCGCCTGATCACCCAAGGAGGCAGAGCAGTCAGTTGGTCGTACGATTCTTTATCCAGGGTAGAATCAACACTTCTGTATGTAAAGTGGAAAGTTGTTTTTGTTGTGCAAATAAGTTATAAAATCCTGGACAGTGGGGTTTGAAGCAGCTGTGTCCGAAATAAAGGGTTGGATAAAATCGGGTCAGGTCGAAACAGGTGCTCGAACAACGACAATAGCCAGTGAAACCAGGGGAAACATTTGGTGGGGGGGGGGGGGGGACTTCCAAGATACAACGGGTTCGAACTTTTCAGCGTTAGCAGCAATACCCTGGGATGAGACTAGAAAACCAATACAAGGTAGGAGATCAAGCCCCGCAGGGTTGTGTTCATCAGCCGCTGAAAGGTGGCGGGAACATTTGTGAGTCCGAACAGCATACGAATAAACTGGAACAAACCATCAGGAGTCCTGAGAAAGAGTGAAAGAGAGGAAGAGGCAGACATCAGTGGATACTACAATAGAACTGGTAGTAGGGGTGTCCTTCCTTTTGGTTAAATGCCCGTTTGCCTGTTTTGTCCTTTTTAGGTGCAATGGTCACCTCATAACGAGACGATACTTGCATCAAGTGGAACGGATCGCCGTCTGCATGTCTGGGATCTAAGGTTTGTGTACAATGTACTGCAGTTGAACACTTTGCTTGTGTAAGCCATCTGTTGCGCTTTGCTAGGCGGGCTTGCTATCGTCTGATCATCTACTGAGTATCCTCTGATCATCTCGTGATTATATTGTTGCCGTTTGAATTCTGTGTGCTTCCTTGCAGCAAAATTGGCGAGGAACAAACTCCAGAAGACTCTGAAGATGGCCCTCCAGAGCTTTTGGTTAGTGCTTCTACATGCACAATATTATAAACGCGTTGTAGTCACCAGTACGGACATAAGATTTGAGATATTTTGACCTGTGTTTCCCCTTGATATGTTAAAATACTTGGAAGTTCCATGCTGTAGGTTTAGCTGAAACTCACACAGTCACTGGGCTTGGTGTTTGTACTGGTGGCCGTACATGTGTCACGTGCAATGCAATGTCCAGAGTTCCCATGTCTCGTGCTGTGCAGTACAAAGCATCGCCATGGCACGTCGTCTAATGGTGCACATGTGTTCAGTCCTTAGACTGCACTTATCATGTTATGACTATGGGTTTGATGTGTGGATAGATAAGACTTGGCTTGATCCTGTGCTTTCGGACTTGCTTGAAGAAACAGCCGGTGTCAGTCGAGTTCTACCTGACCGGGATATTCTTGATTCTGCTCTTGCTGCGATGTCTGTTGTAGTTTGTTCATGGCGGCCACACTGCCAAGATCTCCGACTTCTCATGGAACCCTAGCGAGGAATGGGTGATCTGCAGTGTTTCTGAGGACAACATTCTGCAAGTGTGGCAGATGGTGAGTAGTGCCCATCATTGGGCTGCGCTCTGCGTGAGCCGTTGTGCGGCTTGGAAGGATTACAAGAATGTGCTGTCCTAATCTGGTTATCCAAACATGTGTTACTGTGTTTGACCGTACTCCTCAATTTGTTTCGCGTTTAGAAAAAGGACTGCAAACTGCCGCATTTCTGTAAAGTAACGTTAGTAATGGCTACCAACAGATCGCACACCGTTGGAAAGGTCATTTACTCAGCCTTCCTGGGATACTAGTATATAATTATTTGTGATTGGACCAAAATTGACTGATAGGAGACAAAAACTGGCAGTTCCTAACAGCCCCATATGTTGGCAAGTCATACTTCAGAAGTGAAAATGAACGGTATGACGTACAAGGTGTACCATTGTGTGTGTGTGTGTGTGTGTGTGTGTGTGTGTGTGTGTGTGTGTGTGTGTGTGTGTGTGTGCCAGCTAGTTCGGTTGGTGGGTACACTTATGCCGGATAGTGTTGGGTCTGTTGCCAACGGGCTCGGCTGCTTGAAGGTGTAATGTTGTACCTACCACCTTTGTTGGTTTCAGAGTTCACATACTTTCTATATATACCTGTTAACCATGGACTACTTCTGGCTAGATTAACTCTTGTGTAATCATGGTGCTAGTGAAGCTTGTATCAGATCCACTCTTATTTAGCCACCCGCACTAGTTGCAAGTATTACCTTCACTGGGGGCAGGGGTAACTGCAGTTGGATCCCGGGACGGATACCCTGATGCCGTCGATCCTTTTTCTGCACCTTGTCCTCACCCACTTACTGAGGTGTGGTGAGCCCATAAGTGGGATCATTTTCAAGTCCACCCAGAGTTTTGGGGATTTCAGGGGGTGTCGGCCGTTGGGCGGTTCAATAGCCAATTAAGTCATCTTTCCAAGATTCCTTTTGAGTCTCTCTCCCCTCTCCCGGGAAGACCCACGTGACCAGTTTTGGCAGTGAGCAACAAGTGCATGTGTGTGTATGTGTGTGCATGTGTGTGTGCGTGTGTTGTGTGTGTGTGCATGTGTGTGTTCAGATAATTCGGGTGTTCTGGGTGGCGATGGGTTTCTGTTATTGTTGGGGTTTGCTATTGCCCTGTGCCTACTCGGGTGCAATGTGCTTGACTTTTCACTCTGTTTTGCAGGCGTCAAACATCTACAATGATGAGGAACATGAAACACCAGCACAGGAGCTGGAGCCTGCCAGGATGCAAGAATGAGAAGAGCAGGTGTGTGATGCACTTAGCCGCTTGCATCAAATAACCACTGGTGCATTGGGTTTTACCTGCGCGTGTACGGCCATGCAACGATGGGCGTCTGCCACTGTATCGGTCTCACGCCATGCATTTTCTTCCAACTCCTAAGCTCTGCCGTGTGATTGTGTCAACTGGCATTTGAGTTAGCGTCGGCTGCTCCTGCTTGTTCCGCCCCGGCGTATTCCTCCTTCCCTTTCTGATGGCTTGCTATTGCTAGTGCTTGGTGTCCTGGTTAGTGGAGGTCGGTCTGCCGACAACCTTTTGAACATTATGGGTAGACCTGTGTGCGAATGGCACTCTATAGCCTGTCTTTTCCAAACTGTCTGATAACCTGGCTTTGTTCAACTGTTCAAGCACACCATTTCATGTTATTACCACTGTAGCATCTACCGGCTTTTGATATCTCGTTCCTTGACTGTTCGCCGTCCCACGCAGTGGTTCTTCTTGGTCCAGTCAGTTTTGTCTTGACTTTCAGCCCACGTGTTTACCACAGTAGCTTTCTCTTCTATCTGTGTGTGCGTGCTGGGACTAGCTGGACATCGATATGCATGTGTTATTGCTGCTGCTGCTGCTGATGGAGCTGTGCGTGGTTGTTAAGTTACGTTGTCTTCTTCTTCTTTTCATTAGTCCTGTGGTTGTTAGTTACGTTGTCTTTTTTTCATCAGTCCTGCCAGCCGATGCTATGCTGGCAGCCGTGTTCTTATGGCATACCGGAATTACCCCTTGCCTGCCTTACATGCTTTAATACCTGCATGCTCCTTTGCTCATTGGTTCGCTCTTGCTGCTTTCAAGTTGCTCTGCGATGGCAGACCGCACTTCGACATGTGCCACTGGCAAACTAACTTGATTCGAACCACAAACAGACATCTGCTCTGATCAAGAAGTCCTGAAAGCAGAGTGATCCACAAACAGACATCTGCTCTGATCAAGAAGTCCTGAAAGCAGAGTGATCTTATTCTCGTGTACTACTACATGTAGCAGCACTGCAATGCCATGCATCACGCAGCAATGACGGAGTAAAAGCGAAAGAATAAGAACGGGCATCGGGCAATAAAAGATATACGAAAAACACACACACACACACACACACCTACAACACAAGTTAATATAAATCAGTACTATGTACAGAAGGAAAGTTGAATGCACCATACTGACACGACACACGCACGCACACAATCGGGTACCAGCACACAAATCGGATCAGAGAAGAGGGCAAGGGCAAGTACAGATGACAGCACAGCTGAAACCTCCAGTAACGGGGGACTTTGTATAAAAATGCATGCACCGACCCACTACCACAGAGGGTAATGCATTCACATCGGACCTGCTATAATTCCGTGCTGGCAATCTGCTCACTTGTTCCTCTCAAAAACTCGGTGACATTACTGACGATCCTAATATAGGGACAGGGAATCTGTACAAGTGGTAGAGCTGGCATGCACGGAGCCTGGTTACAGCTAATGTGTGGGAAGCGAGTGTCGGAGAGAAAAATGAAGAACTTGAATTACGCCTTCGCTGCTGCGGGTACTGCTATTGCTGGTGCTGGTGCTGCTTCATCTCCAGCCTTTTCACTGCTAGTATTTGTCCCTCCTGCTTCAGCAACAGTTCTAGAAGGTTCAACAATCACTCCACGGCATTTCACGGTCATGCTGATGTCTGTGGAGGAGCAGAAACGAAAGATGCCACAGTTACTAGGAGAAGCAACAAGTAGACGCAGTGAACCGCGTGCCATGCACACAGACACAGAGACACACAAGCGCACACATCACCAACGCAGTACACTGATGAAGAGCCCTGAGCACAGACCAGATAGGAATATCTACAAGCGATCGGTAGAGTCTTTCACACCGCAATACTGGTCAGCGGCCAAAGAGTGCATTCACTCCAGCTCTTCGCAGTAAAATCCTAACCGACTACTGTGCGAATCCTATCTGACCACCTTTCAACACTGACACTATAATAGGGAGGATATTCAGGGTACCACATGGCTTGCCCCACATTCTCAAGCAACAACTTCTAGAATACACGTTAGATCAACATTGAAATAGAATGAAGGAACTGGCAGGTTATGGCCACTGAACAAGAGCATACAGTGCCTGAAAGTCATGGAATTTTAAGTTACACAGCAATTCGGAACATCAGCACCTACCTGCTGCTTTGCTGACTCCCTGCTCAAGAAAACAGCACCGAAAAGCACAACACGCATGCATACGCACACACGCACATACACACACACTAGCAGGTTATTCATGAGCAGCATGTGAAGGGGAGAGGAGGGCACCCCTTTCAGCCGCATCAACATTTCAACCTCCACTGGTGCTGTCCATAGGCACAGCCATACAGCACATAGTACACCGTAGTACATACCGGATAGTGCGGCGGATACGGTATCACTGTCAGGAAAACAAAATACATGTACTCAGTAGTAACCGCAACTACAGTAATGTTAGGCTTCGAAGACTTCGGCTGAAAGGAGAAATGAACGCGTATATGTACCGAATGCTTCTGCTGACTTAGTATAATAGAACACCACTTCTGATATTGGTCGCTTACGACACATATGCTCCCATCTGGACATTTCAGCTTGTGATCACCTCAAAGGCAGAAGCAGGCACAGTACATGTACATGCGAGAAGCAGCACAGCCAGACAGTGGCACTGTCGGCATTGCTTTTCATCCGCTTACCAATCCCAAGACTTGCTTCTCGGCACCGTGACTCAACCACCTGAGCAATGTCTGTGCTGCACAGCAAAGTACATCCTGACGATTGTTTTCAAGGTGCTGATGCACTCGGTAACAGTTCGGCTGTAACAGTTAAGATAGAAAGGAAGGCAGACAGACAGATTTGTATTTATAGATTCTCCACAGGCCGTAGCCTAAATCAAGGGAGTCTCCGTAGATAGACAGAAAGGAGAGAGCCAAAACCCACAAGATGTACATTACATGCCAAACTTAGGTTTGTGAATACAAATTATCCCAAGATCCAAACAAGAAATTTCATAATTATTATCTTGTGTACAATTACAAGCCTGTCTCATATATACAACAGAACAACAAGGACAATCAAGGCTTGGTTGCTGCTACTTTAAGTTTCATGCTCACGCAATCATCAGGCAACATGAAGATCGGGTGCCGACCATGCCGGTATATATATGCCAGGAGAGGGTGGTATAAAAAGCTGTGTGAGACTGTGGGGGCTAGCGCAGTAGCGGTGGTGTTAAACAGTAACAGTAACAGTTTTAGGCAGGGGCTGTGTGCAGAGTGTGTGGTTGTTGAAGGCAGGGGCTAGCAGTGCAGTGTTAGCGCGGAGTGTGTGGCTGGTGTGGGCAGGAGGTGGTGAACAATGCGTGTGGATGTTGTAGGCAGGAGGCTGTAGAGCTAGCAGTGTGATAATAGCGCAGTGTAAATGCATATGGCTGGTGTGGGCAGGGTATATCGGCGCCACCATTCAAGTCACGCCATGCCAACCACATGACTACAACAAGATACGAGAAGTACTCCAGCTGCACTGAGTTCTCCAACTACATCTGGAAGCTGAAGAAATCCAACGCCCAATACGAAGTCGAATGGAGGATAAAAGATCGTGCCCGGGCATACTCCAACATCACGAAGCGGTGTTCCCTCTGTACCAGAGAAAAGTATCACATCCTGAACACGCTAGGGTCACCGTCCAGCCTCAACAAGCGCTCCGAAATGGTGTCCAAGTGCCGACACGAGAACAAGTATCTCCTAAAAAACCACGGTGTCACATACACATGTCTCCACAGCCTCCTGCCTACACCATTCACGTCCACACACCTTGCTCATAACACTAGCCACGGGCTCTGATGGACACTAAACAAGACAAGCAATGGCCGTGTTGACACGTCTTACCTCACAGGGGTCGACAATACCAAGGTTCTTAGCTAGAAAGAAACCGCTGGCCAGGAACTGCAAGCTTCGCCTGGAGGGCAAACAGAACGCGGCAATAATGTGGCTGATCGAGACAACAACCGGTAATGACATAAACCACTTCGAGAACCTGCTTCATATTCCTTACTTCCAAAGCACATGCACATACATGTTCCTAAACTGTAGAGTGCAGTGCGTAGGGTAGAGAAGGAGAAAGCCCTATGGCGTAGGTATACACTGGGCCTATTACAGCGCATGATGAGCGCTTTAGTTAGCAACTGTACAGTAGCAGAGGTATGCTTGGATAGGTGACATTCAACGGTGGAGTACATGTATGGGCTAACAGAAATGCATCACGCAAAATTAGAACTGAACTCACCGCAACGAGTCTGCAATGGGAAGTGCGTCTCTCTGCCCAGGCACCATCGACGACTGGTGGGCCTATAAAGAAAAAGAAGATAGAAAATGGAGACAATCATCAATTCATCACACGGTCCACAGATGAAATCGACAGCAGTCAACTACCATCGTTCTGCAAAAACAACAGAGCTCCCTCAACGCATGTGCACGCACGCACACATGCAAGGAGACCATAAAACAGAGCACACCGAGGCAGGGTATACCCTCACCTAGGAAACTCTACACTGCAACACACGTGGCTTACCAAAAGCTGAACCATCCACGGGGTCAACTGCCGGAAACCAGTGAAGCGCTTCGCAATGTCTGTCAAGATGCGACATAGCATTCTTGTGCTACAAGAAAGCAATCCACACGTGTTAGAATAGATACGTTGATCAGCTGGGCATAGACCATTCTTGAATGGATATGTAATTCACCACACCCTGATAATCAACAACTGGCTTGAAAGCCCCGGATACGGCCATACACGAGTTTTCAGCTTAGAAGTAAGGTTTAAAAAAAATTGGGGCGTTAATATGAAGAGGGTTGGACTGAAGAGGTTACTAATGTGAAAATCCCAACCAAGAAGAATATGTGGAGTCCTCTATGATTGTAGGACTACACTGGCAGGAAACGCGAGTGTGGAATAATCTACATATCCTTCTGTTAAGAACTGAAGTACGCACATCAGTACAGCAGTACGTGTTTTCCTCCGATTGGGCGTTTGCACCTGAATGTACATGCTTGACAACATCTATTGCCATGATGGCAATGACAGGTGCAACCAACCTTGTATGGCTAACGTTGTCTTCAAACCATCTAGTGTGACGGATTTGGGCAAGGCCAAACTCGATCGCCTGCATTTTCACTGAAAAGCAACAGGAGGAAACAGAGCCCCATTAGAAAACAGCACCACACATTCAAAACATAATTAATACACACATACACACACACACACACACACACACACACACACACACACAAACACACACCTGTACACCGTGACAAGATCTGCTCACCTTGCCCAGGGAAGTTGGGCTCAGTCCAGCTGTCGGGCAGGGTAGCGGCATGACACACACATTTTGTTCCATTCAATGACAAGGTAAAACCTGCAAACAGCGCAGCATACCAGAACACAACACATTATACAATTTCGTGCATGGTTTTAGGGTTCCATGGTGAAAACACCCAGACATTACTAACCATAGTAGAGTCAATGCATCACACAGTGTCACCACAACTGCAAAACCCTATAAACTTGTAATAGTTTGAAAACGGCAAGGCAAAACGGTTTAGATTTACAATAAACAGCACAACACACAGTGCATGGCTGGACAGCACAACACACAGTGCATGGCTGGACAGCACAACACACAGTGCATGGCTGGACAGCACAACACACAGTGCATGGCTGGAGTCACATTGTGTCTGTATGCACTACACCGGCACAACACACAGTGCATGGCTGGAGTCACATCGTGTCTGTATGCACTACACCGGCACAACACTGTGTTACACAGTTCTCAAAAGTCGCCAGTCTATGAGCCACATGATCCAACAGGTAACCCATGTAACAGAGAGTCATGTATAAGTTATGCAGTCCACAGTACAGAGACACAGACACTGCTCAACATTACTAGCCATGTTGTGGGAATTAAACGACTGGACACTGAGCTCACCTGATTCAGTTATTGATAGTTCCAGGCCAGGTGCTACAGAACGAAATGCGAAGAAAGTAAACGGGGTTCATTACAAAAAACGAAGAAAGTGAGAGAGCGAGTAAGTGACACACATGCACACGCAGACAAACATGCACACACACGCTCACTCACTCGCACGCACGCACGCACGCACACACACACACTCCCCCACCTCCACACAAAAACACCCACCCACACACCAGAGCACACAAGTGGAGCAAGGCAACACCTAAAGCTATACAGTAGCTGTACTGTTTGCCTTGACAGATGGAATTCCACGAAAAGTAGACACACACAAGAACACATACATAGAGAAATATGTATCCTCACACAGCGTGAGTTGGGAGACAGGAAGCATAAATCAACAAAAATGAATAATACACACCGGTCTGGATGAGTTCTGTTTTAACGTGCTCTGCTATCGTCTGGACATCCTCACCTACACATGGCACAAACACAATATACGTACAAGGAACACTTTTCAAACACAAACAATATATACAACAAATGCATAGATAGCTTGCAAGAAGAGTTAGATAGCAGACACACTGCAAATAAATACCGACAAGCGAGCACAGACGCGCGCACACACACACACACACACACGCAGACACAGACAGGGCAGATAGAGTGTGTGGATCGGGTGCTTACATGTTGGCCACTGTTTGAAGATGACCACAATCTCGATCTCCTTTTCGCCAGCGACATTTACACCCAATTTATGGCTACCGACTGGTCGTACTTCCTCCAATGCCTAGAGAGAAAGAGATAAAAGAGAGGAGACTTAAATTCAATATACATGTACGCACCGGTGAAGCATCAAATAAGAGACTCAAATGATCAAGAGTGTGCAACTTGGTGACCCCTTGGACCGCTGCAGAATTTTTCTATGACAGTCTTTCTTATTTTTTCATCTTTCGTTTTCACGTCTTTTTTGGCTCACTGCGTACTAATGTCATCATGTGTAACCAGAGATCAAAAAGGGCAAATAACTTGTATATCGCAGCTACAGTAGTAAAGAGCAGGAAGAGGAACGGAAGATCCCTAGGCCCTGCTCCCTGAGCCTGATGAACTGACATTGCTTCGAACCTGACAAGCAAGGAAAGGGTCACATTTCTGCCAAAAAATGATGATATAAATTCGGAACGACACTTCACGCAGCTTCTTTATAATCAACTCGCATTATGGCAACACTGTCCAACACTCGGATGCACTGCTACTTCATACAGTCGGACAGTTCTTTCTCAACGGTTCGGTCACTTTGACCATCTTCAGGAAAAAAAGAAAAAGAAAATTACAATGAAAAGCCCTGCCGTAGGTGAGCTCATCGCAGCTCAATAGTTGTTGCCCACTCTTGGTTATGTCATGTAATGTACTCTTGCCATTGAAGTTGCCAAGACCTATCGAAGAGCTTGAAGGAGACATTTCTGCTACAATACATATTACAGTGTTAGTACTGTTGCCTGAGAATCGACGTTTGCGTGAGCATTCTGTGAACAGAGGAAGAGTTCTAGTGCCTGTATTACTATATTAGCACTTACATGCTTCTCTTTGCCAGTTTGCATAACAATGAAGTTGTCGAGAATCGTAGACACCTTGCCAAGCAGATCACTGTTTGCCGTCTGCATAAAGAACGGGTGGCAGAACAAAGACAGTCAAAGTTGTGCTTAGCAACCAGCACATCATACTGCAGAGAACACTGGGTTACACTGACAATCTCATGTGCCCTCGAGTAGCACGCTCCCGGGAGTTATCAATTATTGGTAGTACTTGCAAGCTGATACCGGTAACTATTCGTATGACAATACTATAGGGGTGAAACAATTATACCGAATATTCGAATACTCGTTTGGAGTTTTCAAAAATAATCGTACTCGGAATAAATCAGAGTACTCGCTCATACATGGTACATGCATTTACCACAGAAGTATGCAGTTTCAGGGCAGCAGTCAGCAGATATTGATGTGCAGACTGTGTGGTGAACATTTGTACACGAGTAGAGAGAGCCCAAATGACCCACCAACCAATACACCTGAGGAAAGGACTGCCAATCGGTTCAATCAGGGTTGTACCGTGGATTTTTAAGGCCGTTGGTGTGCGATTTTTAGGATATCAAGAATACTCGAATACTCGAATATTCGATCGGAGAAAATCAGAGTACTCGAACTCGGGATCTCAGTGTCAACTTTCACCCCTACAATACTATGTGCAAAGGTACAAGTACAACTCACCGTCTCTGCTGCAGGGGGTAGTAGCTGCCCATGGCGCTCCACAATGGCCTTTAGAAGAGGCAACACAAACACACCAAATAAGAAGTAAATAGTCCACCACTCGCTGCTTTTAAATACACAGGGTTTTGTAACTTTCGTTGCACCTCATCAGTTGAGCTTCGGCAGGCTAATGCCATTAATTAATTCTGTACTCAGAGCACTACATTACATGGTGCTCTGATGGCCAAAAAATCACAACTAGCTAGGGATACGCACTCACAGTGATGCTCTATTGCCAGCCAGTGAACACTTAATGAGCACCAGGCAGCAGTGAAAGTCAGTGTAGCACAGGAAGGGATGAAAACAGACGCCGGTGATCGTTGAACATTCACAACACTGTTACCTCCGGTCGTCTATTCGCACACCCAGTAAGGGGAAACTATCAGCTCGGACCAACAGTTACAATGATTATGTAGTGATCTACACTTAGAACAACCAATCCCATCACACAGTAGAGCCCCTCGATAGGCTTCCGCAGCCCTTGGACAATCCTTCAATAAAAATCAATCAATCAATACTGTGAATAGGCAAACTGAAATATTCTTAACCCTTTACCATCCGTGCGTACTTGAATCGATCTCTAGAGATCGATGGACATGCATACACTAAAACATTCGTAACTCGATCGATTCTTGTCGGAATGGAAAGAACTAAATATCTAGGAAGAAGCCGAAGAACCCTGCTTTCCATTGCATCAATCGGTAAAGAGCTGCGATGTCGCATTCCAATGATATTTCGCTCGACATTTCAGCTACGGCAAAAGTCGAATTTCTTTCCGAGTGACTGACCTTGAGCGGGGATTTTCCCCTCTCCTGACATGCTGAGTCACTTTGGCATGCTTTGAGCGCGTGGGCAGCATGAAAAAGAACTCAAGCAAAAAAATTGGAATGTTTACGATGAAGGAGCGAGAAATGGCTGGCGAGGAGAGAATTTCCTCGTATATCCAGCGATGGGGTGTATTTGAAGCTCCCTGGCGCTTGATATGTGGTCTTGGTAGTGTCCTGTTTGAGCCCAATGTACGTAGCTCGTGGAGAGCTTTCCAGAATGCCCAAGATTGTGAAAATTGGTTGATTAGAACCGAAGATATTCTCAAAATGAGGTGAGAATTATTGCATTTGGGACTGCTGGGGAATTTTGGTCGGATGGTAAAGGGTTAAACAGCTAATTTGCACTGATTGGGCTGCATGCACAACTGGGAGTAATACTGTAGTGTCGCGTATAAAAGCATGACCCGTATAGAAGCATGACTCGAATAGAAGCCGATTTTTCGAAGCGCGCCATGACACAGAAGCATGATTTGAATAGAAGCATACATGTACATGTACTTGCACATCACATACGAGACAATGTGCGCTGCACAGTGTAGACTGAAGATGTTGCCGTAGAAGAATGTTTCGAATAGAAGCATAACTTGAATAGAAGCATGGTTTGAACCGGGGCTTATGCGGCCATAAGCACCTGCTTTTATACGCGACATTACGGTATTGCCCCCCCCCCCCCCCCACACACACACACACACATTCAGGCGCACAAGCTCGCACCCAAATCCACACAAGCAAATACCTTTGCCAAATTGCTTGCATTGTCCTTGTTTGCGGCACGAACATTCGGGAAGATCTCGCTGGCCTGCAGAATACAGCACAAAAGTATTTCCTTTCTGCCTAACATAGAAGTGGACGAAATAGGACAGCGTTGCTTCTTCTTCCAAACTTTTCGATCATATCTGGTACTCGCTACCACTCTCGAGTTCCAGCTTCACACTTACAAGAGCAGTAGAATCTGGTTACATGTATTTTGAGCGTGTAGAAAGAATGAGGGTGTTAGTGACGATATTGAGCGTATCACTCTATCTACATGCCCATGCTTTGAGTAGTAGACAATACACACTCGTGTACTCGAGGCATTGCTCAAAGCAATAGCAACATGTAGTTAATAGTACACCATGTACTGCAGTACAGACATGATTCCAAGACCAAGTGGTACATGGTGAATGTCACATGGTCTCTCAATCCATCAAGCCTGCATCAAAACCTTGATACCGTCCCCTACCTTCCACAAATCAAACGATTGATGAGGAGGTCTTGATGGCCTACACACAAATCGCACCAATCACAGAGTACAGACCAGCTCGACAACATGCAAACTAAACTCCTCTGTGCAGATATGATTTTAGCTAACCAGTTATTGTAAGGACCAGAACGGCGGCCACGTCCTCCTCGGCCACCTCGACCACGGATCATGGTGAAATATATAGTCTTGCGCGACAGTACTAGCAAAGAAGGACTACTAAAAGTGTTTGATGCTTTCTCATAATACACTGTAATTTACGTAAATTGAAATTATGGTTTGTGAGTTTCGGAAAGCTTCAGACAAGAAAAGATGCTTGCGAGAAAAAAATAAAAACATCGCACACCCTCCTTCTTGTTGTCATGGAAATCGTAACGTTTCTACCGAGAAATCGTAAAAATACTACTCTCAGCCATGTGGTCGGTCTTTCAAAAAAAACGAAGAAGGTTTCCATCACTGATCTGAGATCAGCCTGCCGCATTGTTTTGTCCATAGATATCGAGGAGACGAAGAGGAAATGGACATGGACAGCCTTCTGGTGGTATTGGACCGTGCAGCAGCTGTGCTATTGGTATGTTCACGATTGATCTTGTGGATTACTTTGTTCTCAATTTCTGTGATCGAGTACGTAATGGTATGCTCAACCTCGTGTTCTCTTTTTACCAGTCTCCTCCGAATGTTGTCTCACAAGCCCAGAGAAGTGAAGCAGAGGCGACTTTCCTCTCGTTCAGGCAGTCCAAGCACCCGTTTGACGCATGTCGTCATATTCTGGGTACGATATTGGAAATTGTAGTTGTTATCAAATTCACTATGTCGAGCTCTGTGAATCAGGAGGTTTCTAACACCTTACCTCTTGACTAGAATTGACTATGGGCTACCTTTACTTTACATGCAATACCAGTGAGCATCTATCATCCACAACAGACTCTTTTGCTGCACAATTCCGGCTGCTATAAGAATGTATTCCTAAAGGACGAGAAGTGAAAGTTTTTTTTTTCTTCCCATCTTTCTATCTGACATTTGAAAGAAAAGTTGGCATTCAACAGTCTGGTTACCATTGAAGCAGGAACACATACAGTGATACCTGTCTAAGACGACCGCTCAAGGGACGAGAAAAAGTGGTCTTCTTATCCAGGTCCAGTGGGTCACCTGAACATATTCAGTATACATGTACATGCGATATATCATATTGATCAGTGCATCACACTGCACACACCTATGCAACTATCACGAATCATGTGTCTGGGGCTGGGGGCCTCAGACCTGTCAAGTGGCATACATGCACCATGTACATCTACACTTCCTGCGCTGATGTGTAGATCTACCATGTGTGATGCATAATGGAATGTGTGCATGTGCATTTACTTCATAGGGTACAGCGCGGTCGCTGGTGGGTGGTCGTTGGTCGCGTTGAGCGAGCGGTCGCCGTTTCCGAGCTGTTTTGAATGTGAATGCGTCCGTGACAAGGAAAAGTGGTCGCCATGGTCGAGTGGTCGCCATTACAGGTTTTACTGTACCAGTATGCTAGTACACTTTAATTAAGCCTGGACTCTCTCTCTCTCTCTCTCTCTCTCTCTCTCTCTCTCTCTCTCTCTCTCTCTCTCTCTCTCTCTCATATTTGCAGAGCATTCTTGCACTCCGTATGTGCAGTTCATAGCGGCATCAACTATCTGTGAAGCACTTGTGAGAGAATGGTCAGCTCTCAGTGCATCGCAGGTGGATTCTCTCCAGACCTTCCTTCTCACAGTCGTGGCACAGAACCCTAGGTAAGATTGCAATGGTGGGCATATCCAGGGATCAATGACGATACCTTGCACATGTTGTAGCACCTGACTGTTCTTTGCTTGCCTGCCAATACGACGTGTTGATGGAGTTATCGTGTTGCTGTGTGTTGCTATGTGTTTCTCCCTACATGGGGGGGGGGGGGCTTGTACTTATCCTGCCGACCTGACTTGGCCCTTGGCTCACGACTGCCATCCAGAGCACACAAGAAGTCCATCGAACCTTCCAATCAGCAAACCTGCAAGAAAGCACCACTTCCTGCTCAATACACAGTATTTTGGGGAATACACCCCTCGCCAGTTGAGCATACTACTCAGGGTTGCCGAAGGAGGTCCAAAATAAAGCACTGAGAACCGTTGCCCACTCACAACATTGTAGCCTCCAAAGTGCAAACCCACCAGTCACAAGCTCGCCCTGAGGACAACAGTAGTGACTATAGTGTGTTAGGAGGGAACACCAGAATGGCCAATGGTCCTCAGCGCTTGTCTTGCACCTACTTGGGTGACATTGAGTCACTCTACTGTCTGGAGTTCACGAGGTGTTTGTCGCGCTTGAATCAGAGCATCTCAGAAAGTTGGTACCCCTACTAGTGGTGTTTTGGCTGCTAGAGCGCCATAAACTATAGTGCTCCTGAAGTATGCTCCTGAAGTATAAATTTCTTTAGTATACAAAAGCTCAAGCTCAACTGGTGAGGGGTGAATTCCCTAAAACACCGTGTATTGAGCAGGAAGTGGTGCTTTCTTGCAGGTTTGTCGATTGGAAGGTTTGGTGGCCCTCTCGTGTGCTCTGGATGGCAGACGTGGGTCAGTCAAGTATCAAGTCAAGTGGGCAGGTAAAGTACACGCTCACACGTAGGGTGCAACGTACCAATCCTCCGGTATCGCCGAAATCGCTTCCAAATTCGTACGGTCAATTTTTTCTTCAGTCTTTTCCCTTTTCCATTCCTTCAACCACTGAAAATTCGTACTGTGTTGCTGATTTAGCAATTGATTGAAATGTTATTTTGCAGGATTTGTTTTTACAAGTATGTTCAATGTTCCAGATGATTTTGCAATGACTCACTGCGCTTGCACTAGCACATAACCCAGGCAGGGTAGCAAGAAAGTCTCGAATGATGTCATTTCTCTCTGTGTTTACTTGGCTGCTGCCGCTAGGATGGATGCGTACATCCGTGAGAAGCTGCTCGTGGCGTGTGTTATCATCCTCAAGCGTTGCTTACTGGATAAAGACCAGGCCAAGGCAAGCCAGGAATCTCTTTTCTCCAAAGTCCGTGCTCTGCTGATGGGAACGTGCGCCGAGGTAAGTTGTGCTACAGTAGACCGCTGTTTTCGATTTCGACAGCATGTTACAAGGCAAGGACGCACAGTGCTCCTGACTACAAACATAACCTGGTTGGCAGAGAATGGTCTCACAACCGGGACTCTGCCAACTGAAAACATGTTAAACTATCAAGCAAGGCTTCTACATATATACCAGTAGACCGCTGTGGTTTGCTCTGGATGCCAGGCTGTGTGCACCAGCAATACAGTACTGGCCAGTGAAATTCCACATGACTCAAGCAGTGCCGGGACAGGCCCTAGCACTGCAAGCACTGAACTCTGCACTCAAATGTTGTGCTGCTTTCAGTGCTTTGTCACGGGGCAGGCGCCAGCACTGGCCAGCACTGTGTGATATGGAGAAAGTGTGCATGGCTTGTTCTGCTCTAACGAGATATCCTCATAACGTATACCGTACTCGTGCGATTAGAGCCCTCTCTTGAATAGTGCCCCAGTCTTCAGTTTTAGGTGCTACATGTGATCAGCTGGTGTTTCTAATTGTGTGTGCTGTTCAGATTTCTGTTGGATCTGCTGTCTTGCGAGCTATGATCAGAGAGTGTGCTCTCTACTCATCCACTGGTGATGCTGGTCTCTCTTGGTCATCCCACATCCGTTGCAAAGCTATTTTCCAGGTAAGAGAGAGAGAGAGAGAGAGAGAGAGTGTGTGTCTGTGTCTGTGTCTGGGTGTGGGTGTGGGTGGGTGCATGTGCATGTGTGTGTATGTGTGGGTGGGTGGGTGGGTGTTTGTACATGTGTGTCTGCGTGCTCACTTGTGGGTTTTCCCTCGTATGGCGTAGAATGCAGTAAACCTGTTCGTCAACAAGCCCAGGGCACCTACATGATGTCCTCACTCCTTCAGTGGCAAAGATGGCTTCAGAGTGCAGATGTTACTGTTGCTCACCATTGTAACCGAGCAGACATCCAACACCCATACAAACTGGGCAGTAGCATGTGACTACAACTTGATTGGCATGTATGCATTGGGGATTAGTAGCTTGCAGCCTGATTAGTCCCAGCCTGAGCTCGCCGGCTTCGTGCCAGCTAAGTTTTAGAAAATAATGTTTCATCGTCCACTGTGAAGATTTTGGGAGCAGACATCTGGGGTAGATGGTGGGTGTTGGGTGGAGCCGTGCTTTGACTGAACTTACAGGTGAGACCTGCTCAAGCAGCCACCTTTTTTCAGCCAACACCTTTCTTTGGTAGCAAGGCTTTCCCTGGTGTCAGAGACCACGTGTCTGTGCGACCGCTTTCCTTTGGTACACCATGTGTTGTGTGAGTGTACAAGGGTTTTGGTCGCTGAGACCAGGTCTCACCTGTACGAGGTGATTAGCGAAAATTTTACATTGGATATTTTTTTACATTTTCTGTAAACTAAATTTCGTTGTCGTCGAGACATCTCCTTTAGGAAGTAATCTTTGACATTCGATTAGATATTCCGTTAGTATTATCAGTGTAGTTCGTGTTGCAGCCGAAGTTTTTGTTTCTGCGACTCCGCCATGCCGTGACGAGGCCTCAGTATTTCGTTGTGCGTAGTAAATTGCTATAACAATAGTGTAAACCAGCATGATATGGAAGAAACCAGGTCGCGTATGCAGCTTAGGTCGGCAACCGCTGTTGCTGATGGCATCACTGATGGCTTTTCCAATGAAAACTCGCCTTCTGTAGAGCGCTCGACGGCCACAGGCCCCACACAGACGCCAAACCAAAACAGGCAGAAAAGAGCATAGTTGCTGTTGTTGACTTAGACTCCGGACATCCGAGCCAACGCGACCAATGCTGTTCTATTGGAGGCTCTGCGCGTCCAGCTGAATGTAACCAATGCCAGTGAATCTGAGACCAAGCTCCAAGAGTTAGCATCATTGTTTTACGATGTCCCAGCTGGAGATGGTAGCCTTGCCACCAGCCACTTGACTGCTGCCAGCACAATTGCAAGCGGACCTGTTTCTGCTACGTCTTCTTTATCTTCCGACACGTTCGCCGCAGAGGATATACCGTATACTGCTTCCCTTGCTTCTAGCTGCGATTCCTCCGTCCACATGCACAGTCGGGCAGCCCTGAGCACAGCGTCCTTCAGTAGTGCTTCTCTCCGTTGAGTGTTGCGCGAATCAATGGTGCCAGCACTTGTCTAACTCAGTGATGGCTTTCTGCTTTGCATTCAGCATGTGGTCAGAGTCTGCTAATGCTCGGATGTTACTTGCCTGATGTCAGTTTATTACTTTTTGTCCTAGCACCAGTTTGGCATTCTTTATTTTGAAGTTTAATGGCGGTGATTTGCTCCTGCTGTGAGTGTGGTGTGTGGGTCAATTTTCAAGATGGCACTTGAAAGTGCAAGAATTTGTGTTCTGTTTTGACTCTATTCGTGTTATTTGTGTAGTGGCGCACCTATACATGTGTGTGTAGGTTTCCATATAGCCTTGTTATGGTAATAATACTATGTTACCTGTGGTTTACACACATGTAAAAGAATATACAAGTATTTTCAGGACTGAAAAAACGACCTATTTTGGGTCACCTGGGAAAGTCTACATTGCTGTTAGGGAAGTTGAACTGTGATGGCATGACACGAGTCATAGATTATTCTACCATGTAAACTACTATAAGTCATGAAAAAAGGGCATTGGCTATGAATGCAGGGCGAGTTTACAAACGTGTAAAATGTTTGCTAATCACCTCGTACCTGTTGTGTGTTGTTCTCTCTGTTGCTCTTCTCCATTTCTTGCATGCTGTTTAATGTTTATCCTGTTCATGGGAGCCTACTATTTACAAAGCTCTCTTTACTGTGCTCGTTTTACATGGCAGTCACAATGCCTGCCTGAAGCTTACAAGCTAGTGCTGGAGGTTTTGCGTCAGTACAGCACCTTATCAAGTATCCAGGATATTGGACAGGACTCCCTGGCTGTGCTCGCTGGATTTCTAGAAGTTGCCGAAATGTGCCTCAGCTGGGACTTCACCTCATCTCGATGTAAGTGACGTGTTGTCTACTTGATTTGAAGAACGGTATGTTAGAGTGATTGCATGTGCCCAATTCGTTTCAGCATTGCTCTTTTTGTTAGTTGTTCAGACTCTTTTGTAGTCACAGTATCTTATCTGATAGGCTATGGCTTGGCTGTTCACTGAGCTGTTCCTAGTGCACGACATCAAACTACAAGTGGTGGTGTGGTTCATTGGATCAAAATACAACCACAAAGAAACGGAAAAAGCATCGACCTACTCTCCTAGGAAAGCGGCAACTATTGTATAGCAGGAAATTTTCGGACGGAATTTATTTTCGGACGATTTCGTACACGGCCTCTTTTGTACTAAAATTGATTCTGTACTAACTTTTGTTCCTGTGAAGTTATGTACACAATACATGCGCACGATACAATTATACCGCATGCGAACACGTGCATTTAGCATGCAGCACTGTACGAAAATATAATCCGTACGAAAGGTCGAAATTCGGCTTTGTCCGAAAATATTTCCGTCCGAAAATTTCCTGCTATACAGTAACTTTGGAAATGAAGCATTCACACAATTCATTCCCTTGGGTTGACCAACACATTCTCAAACACAGGTGAACTCATGGCAGGGTCTAACAATGATGGTCAAAATGAAAATTCATTCAATCACTATCCCCATGTGGCGAAGCCAACCGGAACGTAGATTTGAACGGCAATCGTTGTGTCACCAAATAAACTTTCAATGCAGGCATTAGGAGTGTGCTATCGCTTCACATCGACCCACAGCCGATGGTAGAGAAACGGAGAAGGACGAAGGGTTCGTGCTTACTGCTGTTCCAAGCCAAGCTATGCTAGAGCGCAATACTCCAACGGGGTGCTTGATTCACCGAACGAGGTTACCGTCACCCGGACAGACTGCCGAACTGCCATCGCTACCTCAGCTTTGAATGCCTTGCTGACTTCGCCTGCTTTCCAGCAACCCTACAAAGGGGCGTCGGTATCAAAGCGACATGATGACAATGAAGACAAAAGAGAGAAAAAACCTCTCTGGTGAATGACTGTGCACGAGAGGGAATTTTCGGAAGGCGGTCAACTCTTCTCTCTACCTTTTCTATGACCGAGTATGAACTGCCTCTCAACTGCTGCACTTGTCTTGAGTAGCATGGGGACCTACACTGCAGTAGCCTGTAGACTAGGATGTAGTGTAGGTGATCTAACTGCTTGGTTGTGCTTCGTATATAAATGGATTTTCCGCTTCAGAATCGCCCACACGTTTTCGATGGGGTTGAAGTCGGGAGAGGAGTGAGGTTGAAACAGGATCGACGGGACTCCATTCGCCAGTAGGAAGTGCTGTGCCTCCACGGAGTGGTGGCAAATGGTGTTGTCTAGCTGGAGTAGCCAGTCACCGTCTAAAAACATGTTGCCTGCTGACACGATGTCCGTCATGACGCCTTCCCAGAACGTTTCCCTCTTCCAGGTGGGTGCGAATGCCGAATTACTCACGGTGTCAAAGATGCTGATGGCTTCCAGAGCATGCACTTTGGCAGGGAACTGGCTCTGCTCCACTGTTGGCTTTCCTGCGCAGGGAAACCACAAGGAAATTCGCCCGTTTGGACCGACAGCGAAGCATGCCTCAGCGGCAAAGACAATCCGTGCAAAATCGTCGTCACGATTCAATACGGACTAAGTTAGGCGGACCTTCTTGGCCGCCTCCAACAAGGCTGACTTGCTGTATGGCTTGCCATACTTGTAGCCAATACGGCTGAGGGAGAGGCGAACAGTGCGGCTGATGGCTAGCTCACCACTGGGTCTGTGTAGCTCCAGGGCGTTGGCTATCTTTTCACTGCTGGCATACCTGCAGCTGAACAATAGGATATTGAACTGGAATCAAGTCGTCTTTCTTACATAGCCACTAGCCCTTGTCACAAATTCTCTTCCAGATTGCAAAGTCGGAAGAGCATTGTAATCATTCGCCTTTTCTGGTTTCCGACGGAATTCTACAACTTTGTACCTGGACTGATGCGCTCTGTGCAGCCGTGACTTGCGGTAACTGCGAACTTCACAGAGAAAAGTAAGGCATAGGTTGGACTCCACTGTTGTCCTGAAGAGGAACAAGTTTCGACGAAAGTTTACAGATAGAAAATAACTTGCTTCGACGTTGGCATTGACGTGATGTGCATGTAACGTGCGGGTGGATGGCGACTGGCACTTTCAGGTGAACCGTACTGCAGCAGTACAGCCTACCTGTGCTGCACGTGTTTGTCGAGACTTTGTGCCATACTAGTTTACCATAGCAGTAGTCACTTCTCGCTACGGTGTGAAGTCGACTTTCAAGTCTGTCCTGTAACGTACATGTAGCTGTAGTGCCAGGCCAAAAGGCCGAGGGTTAGTGCATACAAGCCAGGGGATTTTGCAACGGGGGGGGGGGGGGGGGGGGTTGCAGCGGACTTTTCGGTATATTGTAGTATCGACTTCTGTCTAATGTTTCTTATTTTAATGACAGGTTTCTTCTCGTTAACTCGTTAGATTTAGCACTCCGTTACATATCATGACTTTTACAGTACTAGCGCGAAGCAGCGTGTCCTCACGAAAAAAAGCCGGCGTGTTATGCGGAGAGAGAGGGAAGGGGGGAATCAAGTAGGAATCTTGGAAAGATGACTTATTGGTTATCGAGCCACCCAGTGACTGGCACCACCCCACCCCCGAATCCCCAAACACTGGATAGACCTGGAAATATGGCACCACTAAAGCAAGATTCGCAATATCACTATCTGCGATTGGACGTCCTGCGACTACAGCACACAATCAACATCTGTAGGTGCATAGTAGTGATGTGCCTGTGGTAATTTTCCACCGGAATGAATCTCCTTGAAAACTGTACTCCATTGACATTGTTGCGAAAGTTGAACTCTCGTCAACTTCTGAGTTAGCGGCCTTGCGATTGTATGCGGCGGCAAGTACTTTAAGTGACAGCGTTTTCTTGTCACATGAGTTGCATGTCGCATGTTGCGTCATAGAAAAACTGATATTGTGCATCATGCTTTGTGGACTCACGACACTGCGGAGAGTGGATTAGAACAAAGTGTAGAAGAAGACGGACGCCATCGGGATATCTCTCCCGGGATCCGACTGCATTTACAGTGCTCCCTCTATAATCCGGCACGGCACCATTTGTGCTACGGAAATTCTGCTGGATGCAGGGAGGTTGCGGGATTAGAAAATCTGATGTGCTGTAGCAATGTGCATGAAAAGGACATTTTGGTATTAAACTAAAAATTATGCTGGTTTATAGAGGGTGCTGGTTTATAAAGTGCTGGATTAATGAGGAACAACTGTACTCATATCTCCGTTGATAATAATAACTTGTTTTTTTGGTGTGGGTTGCTAATTTAGAGTGGCTCTTATTATTAGCTTCACTGGCACCATTGACTATGCGCTAGGTGCCTTACTTTACAGACACTGTATGTTGCAGTATAGGAGAGCATCTCTTTTCCGGGGCGCCTCGGGGACCGAAGGGTGCCCACATCACATAATCATGATGATAATTGTTTGCAACTCGGAAATACACTGCAACCACAGTTGATATGGCATGTCTTTCACTTCAATGGGGCTTGCTGGCCCCAGATTGTTACCACTGACAAGCATACACTGTAAGAGTGGAACAGTATTGTCTTTCAGGCTGTGCAGTACTTCAGCTGACTGCCACGTCTTCCGAGCCCGAAGAATGCCCGGTTGAGGGAGGTACCCGGTTAAGAGAGGTTCTACTGCACTTGTACATGCTGTATGGGCTGGGAAGGTGTGCGGCAACATGGCTACTCCATGGAGCCATTCAACACACTATGTACAATGCACTGCATTGTGCTTGTGGTCTTGCCCTGTGTGTATCTGCTCCAGTTCAGACACCAACCCAACTCACCGCCAGTGCATTCAGACCAGGCAAAGATTGGCGGCCGCTAGTCGTCAACAGCGACATCGCTGCCGTCTTGTTTAATGTAAGCTCCTTGTTCTTGCTCCATGGGTGGTATTTTGGTAGTGCCCTAATACATACGCACTCTTCCAGTCGTTGCTCACTAGCCTAGTCTTTCTCCCTTGGATTCTAGTGTATATGCTCAGACAGTTGTAGTAGTACACTGTACACTGTATTGCGATGTTCGTATCATCAAATACTGTCTGCCCTGGCATGTGTGTGTGTGTGTTTGGATCTGTTTGTGCTGTGAGCATAGATTCATGGCTTGTGCAAAGGCAGTGTTGAGCTACGTCACCTATCCAGCCGTTGCTTAGCTCAGCTGGCATCCCTGAGTGGGCCAGTCCTGATTGAGATGCGTGATCAAGTCCAGCATGTCACAACCTTCTTGCAGAGACTGCTGCCGCTGCTGCAGACGTAAGCTACGAAGCGCTCTGACCTGAGCACATTGTTTTGATGTTATGCTCTGTACTATACTGGAGGTGCTGTTTTATGGCAGAGCGCTTCACCCTAGCATGTTAATCCAGGTCATGTTTACATTACAACCCCGTATACAACCCCGTACTGCAACGGGCGGATAGCGGTAGGGCTAAGAAATAACACCCTAAACGGCCTGTACAATGGATAGGACAAGCCTATCACTGGCTGTATTTGCCCAATAATTGTTATGGAATAATGCAGTTTGCCAATCACCGCGTACTTGTGGAAAGTGCTGATTCTTGGTGCTGTTCTTCGGCTGACGGTGTGAGATCTGCTGTCTGTGGCAGTGAAACGAGCTATGATGGCGCTGGCCCTACCATGGGACGGACCGACCCCGAAAGTCTGATTGGCGGTAGTCAGAGTAGCTGGTGGTTTGTGGTTGTAAGGGTGGTATCTTGTGTTTGAAGATTGGCCACTGACACGGCAGATTTAGACAGTTTGGCCATGTCGTAGATTTCCTTCATGGTATCCTGGACATTGCCACCGAATAATTGGCCAGTCACTTTGACTGGGGAGTTATAAAGGCCATAGTACTGCTTGTTGATACCAGAGCATATGAACTCACGCCTCCGCTGGGCCAAGTCCATAAAGGAATTGCCCAAAACAGCGATAGCTGTGGAGAGATCAACCTTGATCTCCTGCGTGCCAGAATGCTGCAGACACTCGAACTTTTATAGTTTGTCCTTGGCAAACATAACAGCGTTGAGCACTCGGCTTACCTGTTATTGTACTGTACGTGTTGGTCACTATCTTCCACTGCTTTCGTTTGTGTGTGTGTGCGCATGTGTGTGTGTGTGTGTGTGTGTGTGTGTGTGTGTGTGTGTGTGTGTGTGTGTGTGTGTGTGTGTGTGTGTGTGCGTGCTTGCATGCGTGCGTGCGCGCATGTGTGTATGTGTTCTCTGCTTCACTGGACTCAGTGAGGATTACTGCAATGACGGAGCAGCATCCCTGGCGCATGCCAACATCGTGTCGCAGATCATCAGTGCTCACAGTAGCACGTTCTGGGCCAGCTTTGACGAGAGCCTCTGCCAACCGTTTGCACTCATCATCTCAGTGTTTGCCTGTAGTGTTGCACAGTCAGCACACACTGCAGAGCAGGTTAGTGTTCATTTATTTTATTCCTTACTGCTACGGGCTGCTACAACAAGGTAGAATTTCGTGCTTTGATTATGGCCATGGGGCCATTGGGCATCATACTATAAGCTGGCCAACAATGCTCTTGTAATGTGTATTATAATTGCTGTCAACAATCTCTCTCTCTCTCTCTCTCTCTCTCTCTCTCTCTCTCTCTCTCTCTCCTGTGCAGTCCAACGACTCAGAAAATGCTGCACTGTTCCAGGAGTCGTTTGACAAGCTGCTGGAGTGCTGGTTGTTGTGGCTCACCTCGCCGGGCGCTGTGCACTCCGTCATGCTCTCGCGATCCCTGGCCATATTTGAGGCCTACCTGTCGTGGCATCTGAAAGGCTCCTCACCATCGTACCAGGACGAGGAGGAGGTGGATGAGCTGGATGAGGATGATCGGGTATGTTATGTTGCTTATCGCGGGGCGGCATTTGGCGTGGATGCTATTTGTTACGTTGTGAAGTATGGCCTATCTTGGGCCTTCTTGATTCAGGTCTATTGAGAAGACCAATGTAATCATGTGCAGTAAGGGTACGGCTACAACTTCCTGGAAGCTTGTTTGTTCTCCCGCACTAGTATCACTCATATGTTGGGTATCTTGCATTGTTCTTCCTTCCGCTCCCATGTTGTCTGCTTAGGTACGATATGAAGATCAGCTGTGCTCCATGGGCACGCTAAGTCGAGCGATTCTGCCCGCGTGCATGCCCCTCATGTGTCAGCTGCTAGAAGAGAGGCTTGCACAGTGGATGGAGATTTGCCAGCGATGTGAAGCCAATCCCAGCCTGTCGCAGTCGCCCGAGGTTTCAGCGTCGCTGGCCGGTCTGTACGAGGATCTGCACTGGCTTGTGTTACTCTCTGGCCACACTCTATGCTATGACTGCCTGTCTGGTGAGACACCAACTGTACCAAAGCCAGTGCGTGACTTCTCCGCTGCCCAACAAGATCAGGTATGACAGCTGGTCCGCTACGTTATTGTAGAGGATTTTGAGTGCTTCTAAGTACAATCGTGTTTTGCCCCGTTCCGATAATGCACTGAATGTGATTCGTCTAACGTGCCAAGTCCCTGTAGAGTGCTGAAGTTGGGTTATCCGTACTTATCAATAAATATGTCAGAAGGACTTGAAATAGTGGTTCTGACTGGGGTGGCCTGGCCTCTTACCTTCACAGGGTTCGGAAACAACAACCGTCTCCTTCATTTTCTGTATTCAATCCTGTTTCTCAATTTTTTGAAATTGCTATTGGAAAGTCAATGTTTGCGTATCTTTGTGTAACTCTTTTTCTGGCGTCCTGTCTCTGTGGCTACCAGGTATCAGCTGATGCAGCTCAAGCATACATGTCCGCTTTGGGCCAGCCAATCACAGAGAGAATAGCGTGCCCGCACGGCACTGACCTGGTTGTGCGACTGGCTGTGGATGTGATGCGCGTGGCGGATTTCCAACGCTACATTCACTGCCAGTCGAGCAAGGGCCTCACCTCCATGTTCCCTAGTCCCCAGGTATGCTCTAACTTGTTGCCTTGTTCTAGTATAGCTGACTGCTGCACCTGCATGTTACCTTGTTCTAGTATGGCTGACTGCTGCACCTGCATGTTACCTTGTTCTAGTATGGCTGACTGCTGCACATGCTTGTTACCTTGCTCTGGCGTGGCTGACTGCCACACATGCATGTTCATTCCAAGTGTGATTTGACTCTGATTAACAACCAAAATATTAATACGATTACGTTGAATAACGTAGCTTGAGCCATTCGCATCACACTGTCATGATAATTCAATGCTGGTTTCATGCGGATCAAAGAGATGGGGAAAGCTGTGTATACCTTCTTGTTTTTTTACAGCTTTCACATTCGCTGTTCTGTATGTTCTTGGTCTACAACGTTCACACTCGCTGTGCTGTATGTTCTTGCTCTGCAGCTTTCACGCTCACTGTTCTGGTACTTACGGTGCTGGTGTGCTACGTATGTCATGCTCAATGCTGACCAAGCCGACGTCAGTGCAAGCTTGAAGTGCACCATGTCCGTGCAGGGTGCTGGCAAGGCCTGCTTGCAGTGGCTAGTTGACCATATGACCTGCGAGATGCCACTCTGGGCTGGTGACTCCGATGTCCTCAAGGACTTGGTGGAACTACTGGGTTCGCTGACAGAGTGTCCTGTTCGGTGAGGGCTCAGTGCTGCATGTGATAGAATTGATGTGTATTTGATCATGGGGTTTCCACCTGGTCTTGATTGAGCAAGGGGCAGTTTCTCTCTGGCATTCTTCTTCTTGGCGAAATGGTATCGTGCTCAAGTTATTTGAACAGGGCAGGTGTCTGCTGACATGCTGTGTGATTTCCTTGTAAAAACGGCTCAAAAGTCTCCATGCTGGATTGGAATGTACTGAAATCGAGTCGCCCATGTACATTGTACATGTATATGTACTGTTTCACACACTGCTATACAACTGCATATTTGACCATGCCAACTGTCATTGGATGTATCTTCAGTTCTTCGCATAGATGCTCACCGTTGATGTTTGGCAATGTTATGTGCATGTCCTGTTCTTTCAGCTCTTTGTGTATATATGGTGTCGTAAATGCCTGTGGCTAACCTTTTTCTTTCTGTTCTGTGTATCTCCTAGGTTTCATCTTGCACTGGGCTCACCAGATTTCTGGCAACTGACAGTGTCCTGCGTTCGATCAGACAGCTGGCTGCGTTCTGCCGATGGGCAACGCAGCGTGGACCTACTCTCTGCCCTTGTCAAAGGCTGCTCTAGCCCGCCTAGCACTTGGTCTGAGTCTTCATCTCTGTCAGCGATGTCCAAACTTTTCGGCCCTGGTGAACTGGCACAGGTAGAGCAGAGGATGAGCGAGTTTTTACGTTTGGTAAGAGAAAGATGTTTCTCCTCTTCACCTTTTTTTTGTAACTGAGGTACTATGCACAATTTCGAATGACAGTGAATGCGAGAGTACTGCTGTCTGGTTTAGCCTTTTCCAGTGTTTCTAGTTCATGGGTTTAATCCAACGTGACCAATGCGTAGTTTCTCACGGTTCTCTGCGAGATCATTGAGTTTTGAGGAGAGTTTGGATACTGCTTCAGGCTTCTCTTGTTTGAAATGTCTTTATGAGGAGCTGGGACTCCTGTGTTGTGCATTGGGGACTCCTGTGTTGTGCATTGGGGACTCCTGTGTTGTGCATTGGGGACTCCTGTGTTGTGCATTGGGGACTCCTGTGTTGTGCATTGGGGACTCCTGTGTTGTGCATTGGGGACTCCTGTGTTGTGCATTGGGGACTCCTGTGTTGTGCATTGGGGACTCCTGTGTTGTGCATTGGGCACATACATGTACATGTTGCACTATTGGAGTCCTATCAGAGATTTGCATCGTCAGCAACGTTAAGGATCTTGGGTTGGCTCCCTTGTGCGTTGTTTCAATCGAATCACTCCTGGTCATCTCTGTTTTCTGTGCTGTTTGCTTCTTCCTGGATGCCCCTGTGCAGGTACTGGAGCCTCTGACAGGTCGTGTTAGTAGCTTGCAGCTTGGCTCACCAGAGTTTGCCAAGCACCGGCAGGAGAGTGCGGTGAAGGAGGAGGTCTCGTCGCTCATGCGCCTGCTGCGTGGTGTGTTTCAGGGTGTCACCTCGGCGACTCTTCCGACGGCGTTCTCGCTCTTCTTTGGTCTTTGCCTGCCAAAGAAGAGCGAAGGTCACGTCTCCGTTGACGAGCTTCGAGCTGTTGCCAACGGTGCTGGTTTTGACGACGAGTCGTGCAGCATTCTATCACTTATCAATCACTACGCAGACCATTCTGACATTCTTGTCAGCATACTTGAGTTCTTCGAGGCTCTGGCGTCGTCTATGCTTCCGCTAATACCACAGGTTAGGGACGTTATCTTCTGCAATACACTCACACTCTGGCACAAGGGACGATACCAGTTATGAACTGCACCTGTGGTAGCTAGGTGGCTATGATAGTATTAATCACGGGGTGTGTACATACATGTGATTTGGATTATCACGTAAATCCAGTGCATGTACTGGCACCTTGGGTGACATGTTGACAGTTGTAGGTGTGTATCAGTAAGCTCTAAATACTGACCTAGCTTGCCAGTAGCAGCATTCTTGTCTTATCATCTTTGGTCTTCACATCAATTTACAGGCCTGGCTCTGCTAGCACATCACATAGTGAGTAGGTGCAGTAGTATTCCTCAACACATCCCTTCTCTCGATTGGATGGCGCCTTGACAACACAGTGCCCATCGCAGTGTCTGCACTTATTACACAGTCATCTTGTGAGTTCGGCCACTTTGCTGACTTTGCTGGCAGAGTTTAACAATACTTGCAGCAATAGCGGCCATTATCGCTGTACGTGCTCGAGTGTGACTTTGTGGAAAGCAATGTTCTTCTGTTCTTTCTTCTCTGCTGTTGTTCCCGTGTCCGTAGAGCAATGCTCCAGCAACGTACGCGGTTCTGCTACGTACTATGCAACTGTACTCCAAGTCTAGTCTTGGTAAGATATCAAGAGTGTGCATAATTATGTATTCAATATTCATTCATCACCTGAAATACACCTACGTGTACGAGAATATCTTGGAAATAGATTCCGATGAGCTTTGCACTGAGCACCGTGGTGTATCATCACTGGTTGCCGACCATACGTGAGAGACTGTTAGGAAAGGTGTACTAGTATTGTGGCAGGTATTCCATAGTGGTTTGATCTACACTTTTACTCTATTATCAGACGTCTGCATATTCCCCTTGTGCTGATCCTCTGTGTGTTCAGGTAAATTCAAGTCACTAGCTAATGGTGATGATGAACAACTTGAGGATCTTCTGGTCTTCATGAAGCTATGCGATCACCTCATTTCTCGTGATTACTGGCATGATTCTGAAGGTATGTGTGCCAGCTGCTACGATAGATGTCTTAACACTCTTTGTTTGTCTTCCTTGATTCTGAGCATTTCGAGCCGGAGGCTATCTGTGCGTGTCCATGTGTTCACACTTGCTGCAAGACTCAATGACCGGTAGTGCTCATGTATTCTGTGCTGCTGTCCTGGCCACCACTGTGCTGCTTAGATGCTGCCGGCAACGGTCAAATAGAAGGTGTTGACGTCTCTCTGTGCGGACTCGGCTTCATCTTGCCGCTCATAACACCAGAGCTGTTGCAGGTTAGGTCCATGGCGGCTTTTTCTTGTACTTTCTTGCACTTGGGTTATGATAGGTACTAGAACCTGTGTGTATAATACAGTGTACTCTTCCAGTACAATTTGATGAGCACGAGCATGTGCAGCACTGCAGTGTATGTCGTATCAGTCACACAATGGTACAAAGGACTTGCCAAGCACAGGCTTGGCCTGCCTCTTGCTGTTGGACAAAGCCGGCCTGCCTCTTGCTGTTGGACAAAGCCGGTAGACAGCTGAGATAGTGAGTGCTGACAGTGTGAGGTGTTGGATATGCTCAGATGATTGGATCCCCAGCTCCGGTGAGAGTACGAACTCAGCTGCTGCTCTGAATTGCTCTTTTGAATCTTGTCTATCCAGTTCCCGAAGATGTGTGAGGAGTATTTCCGTATCGTCACATTCCTGGCTGAGTTCCATGCAGGCAAGGTTGCGGCGCTTCCTGATAGTCTTTTCGAAGCTTTTGTCAAATCCTTGGAGCTCGGCTTGTCCAAGTAAGTGCACAGCGTACCGGTATACCAGCTCGTGTTCTCTGTGCGCAGTCGGTGGATCCTTATACTATACTGCTGTTGTTTCTGAATGCTCCAAGCATATGTACTAGTAGCCAAACTGGATACAACTTATGGAGTAGTTGTTACTGAGCAAAGGTGGCATACTGTGATCTCCTTCAGGCTTGAAGTGAATGTATTCTGGGTGGTAGACACCGAAGCTAGGTTTTGCCAACTGCTTTTTACAAAGACCCATAACATAATTATGGAACCACCAGAAGAAATGACGAGAAAGAACGCCACTCGCCAACCCGGCAGACCATCCAGACGTGGGTCTGTGCATCAAAAGTGCACATAGACTGTGAGGGGAAAGAGTGGGCGAAGCGAATGGTGGTGCGAAGGTGAGATACGTAACGTGTGTGCCAGACGTGCAATGACAGAGGTACAGACTACAGAGGGCATGGTGACGCATAAGTACACTCATACATATGATCTATACAGGAGTGTGAACGAAGGGTCACGTACAAAATACTACAGTGACTGATTATCGTAGTACAGACAGGTGTGGCTACAGAAGGGGGAAGGCATATAGGGCTACAGAAGGGGGAAGGCATATAGGGCTACAGAAGGGGGAAGGCATATAGGGCTACAGAAGAGACATGCTTGTTGTTATGATGAATGTCATTACGTCGTTACATTCTGCAATGGCCACTTTTTTGAAGACAGTATCAAGGGATATGTCGGGGTATTCCAGGTCGGAGTATTCCAAGTTGAAGTATTCCAAGTAAGGGTGTACCAGGCAGGGGTATACACCATTTGCGTGTTCCTATATCTCACACTGTGCCTGTGTTTTTCTCATCGTGTTTGCCCTTTCAGTTATGGCTCCGAGGTGATGAAGATGTGTTTAGAAGGATTAGCATCGATGGCCGAATGGTTTGCCTTGAAAGGCAGCCGACACCCAGACCAGGCAACTCGCCTACAGCCGATCATGGATCATTTCCTCAAAGTAAGTTCTCCACCCACTACAGCTTGTGTCAAGAGTTGGCGTTTGTATTGCGAGTAATTCTACGAACTGGGCAGCATGGTTTGCATGCAAGCCGGACAATGAAAACGTGTGTCCCTGTGCACAAGCCTGTTGCTTGTGTTGATTTTTCGTACGATAGTGTGTGCGTGCACTGGCTGGCTGAAAAAAAGAAGAAAAACATCTCCCCACCCCGCCTTTTATGGGAGCAGGCTAGCTTTTGTATGTGATTTTGAAACCATACCCAAGTTATGTGTGCGTGCTACCCTTTGCATACAACAAGGAGAGGGGAATGCCATATCTCAGAGTTTCACGCTCTAGTCTACAGTCGACCTACCCTTATACCGATAACCTCTATAACGATATTACCCAACGATATTTTTCTGCCAAACCAAATCACTCCATTGACTTGTGTATACAATGCCTTACCTATCACAATATTGCTATAACGATATTACCCCTATAACGATATAAAATGGGCTGACCAATCGACATTTTCAATTATCTGTCAGGGAATATGTAGGGCCCACTATCCAGGTAGGGCAAGCTTCACTTCATAAGTTGCTGGGAAATGACGAAATGCAATGGGGGCACCAGTGGGCACCTTGCTGTGTACATAATGTGCATGTACGTCAGTTTTTTATGCTATGAAGAGTGTAAAAAATGAACAAAATCCATGCATTATGACGTATGTGTATGAAATGAACCAGTTACCCCTTTAACAATATTACCCTTATAGCAATATTTCTTGGTCTGACGCAAATATCGTTCCACTATACAATATTACCAAGAGTAGATAAACAAGAGTGTGCAACTCCGAGATGGGTTGGCACGCGGTGGAATTTTTTGTTGACGTAATCTTTTCGACGATGCACGCGCTGCGAGTCTTTTGGAAAGTTTTGCCTCGTGCACTTGGCCGGGCTTTACATTACAAAGTCGGTGCACACTCTTGTTTATGGATACTACCCATAATGTGGATCTGTCATAGAATGAAAACTCGTTGGCCATTATCTCTGAAGAGCAAAGAAATCGATGCCGCATGTTACATTCAACTCTTGGGTTAGCTGTGTTCCCTCTGCCTATGCTCACCTGTATGCATTTTTCTGCTCCATGTTCATGATGTTTCTTTGTTCCAGATTGTTTTCAATAAAGGATTGGTGAACCAGGTGGATGGAATGGCAGAGCTCACTTCCGCCTCAGAAGCTTTGTTCAATCTCATTTGCTGCAGCAAGGTAATTAAAATCTGTTTTTGCAGGTGCAAGATGTCATGCTTCAAGCATATGTGCTTTCTGACATGTCTGTTGTCATTAAAGTAACTGGTGCTTTTCTGGCGTCTGCTAGCTTAACATGCAGCCTTGGGTGAGCATCACTTTATGAAGCAGCAGAAAGTGTGTGTTTCTGTGAGTACACTCATGTAGGTGGTCTCCCTGGATAGAAGCCATGCGGATGCCATGCGGATGCCATGCGGATGCCATGCGGATGCCATGCGGATGCCATGCGGATGCCATGCGGATGCCATGCGGATGCCATGCGGATGCCATGCGGATGCCATGCGGATGCCATGCGGATGCCATGCGGATGCCATGCGGATGCCATGCGGATGCCATGCGGATGCCATGCGGATGCCATGCGGATGCCATGCGGATGCCATGCGGATGCCATGCGGATGCCATGCGGATGCCATGCGGATGCCATGCGGATGCCATGCGGATGCCATGCGGATGCCATGCGGATGCCATGCGGATGCCATGCGGATGCCATGCGGATGCCATGCGGATGCCATGCGGATGCCATGCGGATGCCATGCGGATGCCATGCGGATGCCATGCGGATGCCATGCGGATGCCATGCGGATGCCATGCGGATGCCATGCGGATGCCATGCGGATGCCATGCGGATGCCATGCGGATGCCATGCGGATGCCATGCGGATGCCATGCGGATGCCATGCGGATGCCATGCGGATGCCATGCGGATGCCATGCGGATGCCATGCGGATGCCATGCGGATGACTTGAAATGAGTTACTTTTTAAAACATGTACACGAGTGCTTGTGGGGCATCTACATCATTGTGATGTGTGTTACCATACCCCATCTACATCATTGTGATGTGTGTTACCATACCCCATCTACATCATTGTGATGTGTGTTACCATACCCCATCTACATCATTGTGATGTGTGTTACCATACCCCATCTACATCATTGTGATGTGTGTTACCATACCCCATCTACATCATTGTGATGTGTGTTACCATACCCCATCTACATCATTGTGATGTGTGTTACCATACCCCATCTACATCATTGTGATGTGTGTTACCATACCCCATCTACATCATTGTGATGTGTGTTACCATACCCCATCTACATCATTGTGATGTGTGTTACCATACCCCATCTACATCATTGTGATGTGTGTTACCATACCCCATCTACATCATTGTGATGTGTGTTACCATACCCCATCTACATCATTGTGATGTGTGTTACCATACCCCATCTACATCATTGTGATGTGTGTTACCATACCCCATCTACATCATTGTGATGTGTGTTACCATACCCCATCTACATCATTGTGATGTGTGTTACCATACCCCATCTACATCATTGTGATGTGTGTTACCATACCCCATCTACATCATTGTGATGTGTGTTACCATACCCCATCTACATCATTGTGATGTGTGTTACCATACCCCATCTACATCATTGTGATGTGTGTTACCATACCCCATCTACATCATTGTGATGTGTGTTACCATACCCCATCTACATCATTGTGATGTGTGTTACCATACCCCATCTACATCATTGTGATGTGTGTTACCATACCCCATCTACATCATTGTGATGTGTGTTACCATACCCCATCTACATCATTGTGATGTGTGTTACCATACCCCATCTACATCATTGTGATGTGTGTTACCATACCCCATCTACATCATTGTGATGTGTGTTACCATACCCCATCTACATCATTGTGATGTGTGTTACCATACCCCATCTACATCATTGTGATGTGTGTTACCATACCCCATCTACATCATTGTGATGTGTGTTACCATACCTCTTTTGTTGCGCTGTTCTACAGGACACGTACAGGCAGTTAGCGCAGCAACTGGTAGTTGCTCAACCAAATCTTCCCAGCCAACAACGAATGGCTGCATCGTTTGAGCAGTTGATTCCAGCTGATCTGCCCCTTGTCCCCGAGCACTCCAACAAGGTGATCTTCCGCCGTCACTTTCAGACTGTTCTGGAGAGTGTACGCCATCTACTTGCTGCCTGAAGGTTCTCCCCTGACTCTGGACTGTTGCAGTGTACGCGTGTGTGTACATAATTATATATGTGTGTGGGTGTGGGTGTGGGTGTGTGCACAAGTTGATATGGCTTCTGCCGTAGCAGCGCTATCACCGCCTCCGGCGGTGGGCGTCAACAGGTGTGTGTGTGTGTGTGTGTGTGTGTGTGTGTGTGTGTGTGTGTGTGTGTGTGTGTGTGTGCGTGTGTGTGTGTGTGTGTGCGTGTGTGTGTGCGTATATGTGTACTTTCGCTAACTGTTCCATTTTGTATGAAACTTTCCCTGTGGGATGTGCTCATTTGAGTTCTAGGGTGCTGTGATTTTGTGTGCTGTCCACAGTTTGTGTGTCTGCGATGACCTGATTAATAGGCAATCAGAATTTGGTATTATATTTTATCTCCAGCCGTGTTTGGACACATCGCATTGCCTATTTTTTTTTAAAAATATTATCAATGAAATTGGCTGGGCCATTGGTGTGCTTATTTATAAGTTATACATGTAGTATACTGTACTTCGTATAATTATATTGTAACGTTAGGAGGCTTCAGTTGAATTCATAGAATGCCTTTTCATATTTTATTCAGCTTTTTAGGCTCTTGATATTCTCATGCTTTGTGTGTTAGTTTCCGCATGTACATGTGTATGCGATATCGGTCAGCGTGCAGTCTTTTCCCCTGGCCCTAACTTACATGTCAAGTATACTGTGGCACGGTGGTGCAAAGTGAAATCGCGCCGTGAATAAAGCAGAGCGGCTGCACATCCCGGGGCTAGTCGCCCAGTGACTGTGCCGGGGCTGGGCAAACCAGGTACAGTCAGACCTCACTTATCCGGTCCTCTTTTATCCGGATCCCTCACCATCCGGAAGAAAATCGTTGGTTACCGATTTACAGCACATGCCATGCATACATACAGTAGCAAGATGCACTCTTGACAGTATGTGTGTTCGATTATCCGGTTCCCTCGCCTATCCGGATATTTTTGCTTTTACGACTTTTACGACGCTTTCACTGTACGTACATGTACAGTTTTACTGTTGCTGGAAACGTACAACTGGGACACTACACCACATGGTGTGAGTTTTCGCCGTCGGCGACTCGGCGAACCCCATAGAAAGGGTATCAGGAGTTGCACACTCTTGGGGGGGGGGGGGGGGGGTTATACTCTTGGTAAAACCTGTGACTAATGACCACCCCTTGCGGCCAGAGAAAGCGGTTTTTACAACCTGTAACTAAAGACCACCGTGACTAGCGACCAGCCTGGTACTACAGGCCACTTCGCCAGGTACGGACGCGTCGACGGTCTCACAATCACATTCATTATGCTTGTGCGCTGCAAACCTCTAACTAAGGACCACCTGCGTGGTCCTTAGAGTATAACCCCCCCCCCAAGAGTGTGCAACTCCTGATACCCTTTCTATGGGGTTCGCCGAGTCGCCGACGGCGAAAACTCACACCATGTGGTGTAGTGACTAGTGTCCCAGTTGTACGTTTCCAGCCCGTTTCTAGCGAACATGTTTACTATGGTGTTATGTCTTTTTGGGCAGTCATGCCTCGCTACATTTTTTTTACTAAGGCCACAGCTTCCAATCATGACATGCAAAGCAGCATGACTTTGTACTACTCCCTGCCGGCTGCCATGCCCTTGCTTGGCCTTGCCTTGTCACCATGGTCACAGCAGCAGTGACAGCACAAGCACGGTAACATGGTAACCGTTCGAACAGCTAAGCAGCCAGCATACAACACTGACACCGATCGAAGGCACTGTACTGTGCTCTTGCAGTCTTGGTACTACACTCTACAGAGTACAGGACTGCCAGAGCCACTCACTTCGTCTTGTGCTATCAACCGCAAACAGTCAAAGGTCGCATCACCAACTAATCAATCTTCAGAGGCTTGTTGGTCTAGCGGTATGATTCTCGCTTCGGATGCGAGAGGTCCCGGGTTCAATTCCCGGACAAGCCCCACTTTTTACTTTTTTTTATACGATTGTATCTTTTCTACAAACTATGATGTTTCCCTTCTTTTTGACTTTTTGTGGCCTTGAACTTTGTTGAAGTAATTAGTTGAAACCTGAAATTGGCCATTCATTTTTGAGTTTTGCAGCATTGCATTGCATTGTAACTTACTTCTTTTTTACTTCAGCAAAGTATTAGTTCGAGCAAGTTAGTTCATATTGCATCAGAGTACCATCTCCACTGTTCCAGTAGAAGTCGTGAGGAAGAAGAGGCTTTATGAGTGATGTATGCACGGTAATAATGCTGACACCGACAACGAGTGCGTGAGATAATGTTGTGGAATGAGGTATTACAGAGCTGTGTTTAAGCGCAGCCTTAGTTTTTGTGTGAATGGAGCTTTCGACCGTCCTCTCTCTTTTGGAGTTGTGATACTCGGGGCGTTGATATTGATAGGGATCGGTGAGTGTATATTGAAGATCTTCCTGTACACACACCATTGATATGTTAGGTCTTGGTGCACGCCAACTTTGCAGTGTAACCAACGAAGGCCTAGATATGAGATTCATTTCTAGTACTTGATGGATTTCAACCAGGGGGAATGCACTGATGTAGTGTTGATCGACAGACTCATGCTCAGTGCACGAGTGAATTGATTAAAAGAAAGTTTAGATGATTTTAACTCTTGCATGTCGGCCACTAGTTTGTTTCCACAATTTAGGTGAATTGCCATATATCGTATATCATGGAAATTTACACAGGTTCAAATTATATTCAAGCCTTTTGAACCCCAAACCGCCATCGGTGAACCCCTCGGAGCTCCCATCAGAATGGCACTAACATTATGCTGATCACACTGTAAAGTACCGCGAGAGCGCCCCACCTTGATCTTGTAGGCTACTCATACTACGTTTAATACAATACGCGTCACGTTTTGGAATATGACGTACTGGCAGATGTCGTTTTCATGCAGGTGCATTCACACAGGCACATACACGCTGCTCGAACAGCTGTGTGTATAGCTTCTTTTGGACACAAACTGCTGGGAACGACAGAATGAAACTCGGTACAGGGGTCTGGATACGTCGTCTACGTTTTCGTATCAGGGGTACGATTTTCCCGCCACGTTCCATGTTGCCATGGCTATCCGGACGAAAACGTCATGTACGCCACGTTTTGGGCGTAGTGTGAATGGCCCATTACAGCCAGGGAAAGAAAATGGCAGAGCGCAGCAGCGTTTGTACAGTGTGAGCACCTTAGTGTACTAAGGTCACGCTTGGCATTTTTTTCCAATTTGTCTCGAGCTCAAAGGTAAACTGAGTACAGATTGACTGCAGAGTGTGCGGTGTGTGTACATGCTGTCCCCACAGAATAACGCGGATGAAATCATAAAACTATGCGTATAATTATGCGGGCGTAAACAGGCCATTATGCGGCAAATATGCGGTATAATGCGGTCATTTTGCACGAGTTTTCTGTCATTTGTACAGCTTTAGCATGCAATTTCATGCAAGTATACAACTTTGTCGTACAAACTCATGCACCGGTACGACTTTGTAGTACATTTTCAACATCATGTGCTATTTTCTTGTACATTCTCATGAATAACGCGGGTTTTATACAAAACCTCTCGAAAACGCGGATGACAGCCAATAACGCGGAAAATTGCGCGTCCGCGGAATCGCGGTATCCTGTGGGGACAGTACAGGGTATGTGTCGTATGGCCGTCGGCCAGGACACCACCTCCACAGCACGACCGCGAAACTTTGTGACGAAAGGATGAGTTGGTAGGGCGCTCTCATGGTACTTTACAGTAGGTGTGTTTTTAAACTGGATCTGGGTAAATGCAACCGTGATCAAGATTTGTATTGCCTGTGATTTTAAATTAAAGGAGAAGTCCGGTGAAACATTTAAATTTCAGGGTCCGTATAGTTTGGGGCGCTGAGTCGAATGGTCTTTGTCTGAGGAGGCTGCGGTCAATGGTTTGTCGGATATGCCCAATCGAACATGGGCGAAGTTGAGCGCCCAGTCATCCGGAGCCAGGTACTATCGGTGGCCGAATCATTTGAATTAGCATTCACACTATTGCTTCCACGCACTCCTTTTGACCTAGGTGCACGCTATGACGTTGCGGAAGGTGTGGCGCAGCCGCATGACGTCATGGCGCAGCCCCCCCCCCCCCGAAACTCAGTTTTTCAAACGGATATATCTCAAGAACGCTTTGTCGGAGACACGTGGGACCAACACCATTCGACCCAGGGACCCAAACTCTACGGACCCAGAAGTACATGTACATATATGTCGATGATGTAATACCTAAAATCAAAATGTCCCTACTGAGTGGAATGGTATTGGTCCAATGAGTCTGCAATGCCCTGCTCGTCCTATATTCCCAATCGAATTCGAGCACCTTCACCAAATTGGAAAAAGTTTGCCCTACTGAATGGATGTTACGTAAGAAATTTTCACTGGAAGCGTCATTTCGTTCGTATAGAAGCGCAGATGAAGATAAACTTTCAGAGTCTTTAGTCTTCTGGGTGCTGAACTGAGTAGTGTTGGTAAAATGTTAACGAATTCTGGCTGTTAACGTGCTAAGTGTATGTATGTACATTGTGTTTGCAGATAACGAATTCAAAAGAAGTCCCTACACTCCATTCAGAAAGATATGATATCCTAGCTTTTGGCCATAAATGGGTCAAATTTTGAGTTTTTCACAAATTTTCCTGCAATCCCCATGGAATGCTCTTCCAATTATGATTCTGAAGTTCATTTCTCCAAAACGCAAGCCGTAACAAGAATAGGATTTCGGCCAGGTTTTGTCTTATAAACACTGAATTGGGAAAGGCCATGAAAATCCATTCCGTTTCACTCCATTTGCATCACTGCGTTGATTGTGCGGTTCGAACCCCAGTTGAGGTACCTTTTCGACCCTTTTTCAAACTTCAAATTTTTGCAGTACTGTGTACGATAGAATCACGAAAAATCGCCAAATACGGGAGGTCGCCAGAGCCAGCGCTCATCTTTTTATGAATGGACTGTGCTTGTAGATATGAATGTTCGTTATTAAAAGTGGTCTTGCAGTACAATGGTGAGGTGCGCTGTTCATGAGTGCATCAGAGAGTTCACACACACGTATGTTAAACGACTACAACATGGCAGGTAGATTTGAAATGCACCGGGCACAGATACCGTATTTTCCGGAGTATACGCCGCACCTTAAACACCAGTAATTCACCCAAAAAAAGTCGGTGCTGCTTATGCAGTCGTCCCTCTGTAATCCGGCACCTTTTGCAGCGGCATTTTCTGCTGGATAAACAAGGGTGCTGGATCATCAAATCCTGCCCTCCAACCCGGCCCACCTATTAACATACATGTTTGTGTTGTACGTCAAAACGCACGGATTTTCTGTGTCAATCTAAGTACTTCGTGGAATGCATGTCTATAGCATAGGACATTCCCAAGTGTATGTTACATGTGTAGAATGCTCCCTGATAAGTTAGTTCATGCACGTCATGCACTGACCAAACTGACATAGCTATGCACGGCCGTACGGTATGCGATGTGCAACTGCTGGATTATAAAATCGAATTATGTACAGTTTGAGCGATTTGTTGCAGAAAATCGCTGCTGGAGGCGGAATTCAAGTGCCGGATTAAAGAGGAGGAAATGAACTGAACAAATCCGTTTCGCCAGAAAGTGTGCTGGTTTGCAAGGGTGCTGGATAAGCAAGTGCCGGATTAGAGAGGGACGACTGTACTGTGATTGTCAAATTAGCGATGATAAACAGGATAGATGTCTGTATTTCGTGGTAACAACATCTGGGTGCAGCTTATACTCCAGTGCAGCTTATACTCCAGAAATACAGTACTAGTAATGGTTTCTTGTTTTGTGTGTTCCCTATGCAGCCTTAGCAGATCACCACATTGGGAGCCAGCACGGCGTTACGACCACAACCCGTCTATCCAGTGGGGGCCGTCATTATAGTTTCCTGCGCAGTAAGTTGAGCTATTTTGTTGTTACGCTTTGTGGTGAGGTTCAACAGGCCAGCTGACTACATCTACCCGGTATGCGTATGGCCAGAGTGTGCAATACTGCGCCTATGCAGTCGAACACTAACGTCACTAGCTGTTTGTGCATGTCGGCAGTCTTGTCAACTTGAATGAACTTGGTCCATCCTTGGCATGTTTGATCTGTAATTGCAGCCACTGCCTCTGTCTCTGTGTGTCTGCCTGTTACAAATCGCATCTCTCGTGGCTTGTTGCCAAGCAGGCGTTCACTGCCTCTGTCTTTGTGTGTCTGCCTGTTACGAATCGCATCTCTCGTGGCTTGTTGCCAAGCAGGCGTTCGAAGGCTAAGCATGAGTGTGGAGTATGACCGAGAGCAGCTGTCAGCTGAGGCAGGTTTACCTATAGACGGGGCGGACGAACTCAGTGAGGTGAGATCTTAACTAGCTACTTGAAGTACACTCATGTACTCTTGAGCGATACAGTGTATTTGAAGTTTTGGAACACACGCAAATATTGTGCGATGGTGCCTATAGCAGATCTGTGCATGTACCGTATACGTCAGTATGTTGACACTCGTATGGTCGCTCTGGTGCCTCAGCTGGCTGGTTTCTATTCTAAGCACTGGCGGTCTCTTAGGACATGGGTTCTGCTGTGCACGGCTTGTGCCGATCAACTCCAGTGCATGCTGGCCATGACACAGGAAACTTAGGAAAGGCTGCCATTTCGGCAATGGGGTACTTCAGGAGCCCTTTGTATCGGAAGAGGAGGAGATTGGTAGATTGCAACGCTGTCATTTTGGCAATGGTAGCCGTTTTGCTTCGGAAGAGGAGGAAATTAGTAGATTGCACATGCTTCCTCGCAAAACTCTCATTCTTTGGTATGTGAAAACACAGGGGTGCGAGTTATGAGTAACTGTCCACCACTTTGACTGCTCCTTATCTCGTTACAGTGGTGGGCAGTTGCTCATAACTCGTACGTATCTTTTTACATTTATTGCTGGCTTTGTTCATTTCTCCCCAGACCCCTCCCTTTACCCTCAAAACGAACATACACACGTTTATGCAGGGAATTGATATTTTTAATGAAGGCCAATTTCCTCATGAAACGTGACCAGCAGCAACTCCGACTTCACCGTACACCTAGGTTTTCATTGCCATGGTCACAAAACCTTGCCGTGGCTATCTTCACAAGGCTGACTTTCACTTCTTGTAGGTTATCAGCTACATGTTTGTACAGTGCCCATCCACATTTAGAGATCGATATATTTTTTAACAAGGCGAGACGAACAGAGACCAAACCTCCTCCCACCCCCCCCCCCCCTCCCCAACGAACCAATATCTTCTCTAAAAAGATTGATATTAGTTTTGTGGACGACCCCTTAAAACTGGAATTGGATTAGTCGGATCTGAATCCAGATCGATCGGATTCACTCAACATGTGCATGCCGAATTGCATCTCTCTCTCTCTCTCTCTCTCTCACTCTCTATCTCTCTCTCTCTCTCTCTCTCTCTCTCTCTCTCTCTCTCTCTCTCTCTCTCTCTCTCTCTCTCTCTCTCTCTCTCTCTCTCTCTCTATCTCTATCTCTCTCTCTCTCTCTCTCGCACGCGCGTGTGTGTGTGTGTGTGTGTGTGTGTGTGTGTGTGTGTGTGTGATCTGTGTGCACGTGCTTGCGAGAAAGCGATACTGCAGAAACCGAGAAATCATCATGCAATATGTCAGTGGTTCTTGACCCATAGTGGTGAGGAAGGCGTGTTGCTATCATAAAATATATGTTGCTGTACAGGTGTATGTTACGAGTGTAGCCTTGTGTGTCTGTCGATCTCTTGATTGGATTTTCTCTATTGGGCAGTTTGACAAAGAGCTTCAAGAGCGATGGAACCAAGCAATGCACAAGCAGTACTTTCGTTACAAGCTGGGAGAGCTCAAGTATCGCAAGCTTAACGGCTCGCAGATGTTTGTGGCAATGGTAAGGCGGTGGATGCAAAAGCAATTGTGCACCATGTTTGTGTTTGTGCATATTCCAACACTGCACATACAGTAAAACCTGTCGAGGCGACCACCTGTCCTAGAAGACCACCTGTCCTAGAAGACCACCTGTCCTAGAAGACCACCTGTCCTAGAAGACCACCTGTCCTAGAAGACCACCTGTCCTAGAAGACCACCTGTCCTAGAAGACCACCTGTCCTAGAAGACCACCTGTCCTAGAAGACCACCTGTCCTAGAAGACCACTAGAATCACGATCAAGGGATGCTATTTCCAGTCAACTGACCTTGGATAAGGCGACCACCTGTCCTAGAAGACCACTGAAACCAGGACCGGACCGGTCCCGAGGGACGCTATTTCCAGTCTAATGACCCTGGATAAGGAGACCACCTGGTAACAGAGACCTCGTTTTGAAGGTCCCATGAGCGGTCGTCTTAGGCAGGTCCCACTGTATAGTGCACACGTACTGTATGTAGTGCGTACTAGTTTATTAGAATCTGCTTTTTGGGCCTAATTTGGCCCAAGCCGGGTTTGAAAAAGGCCAGAGATCGACTATTTCCGGGTTTTGCGTGAGGTATGCTCATACGCTACATGCAAGAGCCCATACGATGTGTAAGAGACTAAGAGTATACAAGTAGCGATATGTACTCGTGCAAGTCCTTCCAAAAGTAACCATCAGTAATTTTCTTGCTATGATTTCCCGCACAACAATGCGTACAGTACCTCCAAAGTCACCACCACCACTACCAGTATTTTGTGTAATTTTTCTCGTCTGCGTATTGAGTACAAAAGGACGAATGGAGCTCGTGTCACTTGAGCCTTCATCAGTCTCTTCCACACTTTCATACTTTCATACTTGCTATTGTGTTGTGTTTATGTGGTGCTGTGGTTCTCTCAGAGCAACCGTTCGCGGGGTGCACTTCGGAGACCCCCTGAGCCGATGACCAACATCCACGAACCATTCGACCCTGACAAGTTTCATTTTGGCAAGATCAAGGCAAGGGAGGTAAGCTTGAGACACCAGTAAGCATATGCATGTACTTCACTAGTACAGTTGCCCAGTGACGCTAGCAAGCATGTACTTCACTAGTACAGTTGCCCAGTGACGCTAGCAAGCATACACTTCACTAGTACAGTTGCCCAGTGACGCTAGCAAGCATACACTTCACTAGTACAGTTGCCCAGTGACGCTAGCAAGCATACACTTTACTAGTGCAGTTACCTAGTGCTGGTCGGCTGCCACGCAATGCCGCCCATTCATACTGTTTGATGTGCAGATGGGTAGCTTTGCACACTTCGACTATCATAGATGGTAAGCAGAAGGGTGAGCATCAGCTTTCGGTATTTCAATTCCATGAGACTTCACTCTGCCACCAGCGCTGCATATGCTCTCAGGACCTGGAATGGCTGGAACGGTGTGAGCCTACCTGGCAGATGTTCAGCGACACCAGTGTCCAAGCCAATGCCCCGTGGGCACCTCGAACGACGCCAGAAAATTTTCTTTTTGTCTCAACACTGCCATGGAGATGCTATTGCTAGGCAACTGTAACTTCGCCTCTCATACTGGTAGCCACTTGTGACGTGTGATGCCAGACTACAGTGAAACTCGGATAAGACCAACCTGCTACAGGACTGCGCAGCACTCGTACTCGCGCTCGTAGTGCGCTGCATGCCCAGCCGCAAGGAATGAGTCGAGAAGACCTAGGTCCTAGCTCTACAAGTACGAGTCATACATCAGGGAGTCGTACAAGCCCGGGTTTGTGTGACTCCCTGTCGCAGAGCTACTCACACAATCAGTACTGTACACTCATGTACATGTACATAAACTGTACAAAAGAAATGACTTCGGCTTGATTTTGGTACAGGAGGGTCCGTGAATCTCAATCTTTTGGTCTCACCTTATCGTTACTTTTCTCTGTCTGATGTATCCTCTCCAGTTGCTGTTGAAAATGTACCCGAAGTTCCGGTGGCACTCCAAAGACTCACAACCGGACACCGATGCAAACAACGACATCATTATCAATGACAGTCCTATCGATCATGGCCATGTCTTACTTGTGCCACATCGACTTGCCATGGATGGAAGTCCACAGGTTAGCAGCAATACTGTAAATTGGGTCGTTTTAGCAGGGACATCTTAAGCAATTCCCAAAGCAGACCTAAATTCTGAGCAACTCAAGTGTCAAAAACAATACAGTGAATGCTGATCCAAGGAATGCTGATCTCACTTGGAGAGCCTAAAGCTGAGTGGATACACTGATGTCGCTAAACTCACTAAAGTTACTGTGTGTTTTACAGTTGGTAGAAGTAGACGTATGGTGCATGTTGTCGCTGCTGTGTACTGCTGTACCTCGCAGCACTTGACTCTGTGTGGCCTAATTATGCCAGGTGAGTGAAGTGTCGCGCGTTGCAGCATCCTAGCCCATCCTATTCGCTACTGTAAACCGTGAAATTATTGCGATGGTCTGATTTCTGCGAAATTCGCGACCGCGTGGAAATCGCGAAATTTAGACAGCGCGAAAAGGAGATCCATGAAAGGTTTAGCAAGAATGCCACAGGTTTAGCGAGAATGCCATTGTGCAATCGCAAAATTAAAACCTCGCGAACCTGTCCGGATTCTGAAAACGCGAACTAAAAACGCCGTGAAAATTTCACTCTTTACAGTATTCTGTCAGCTGTGCATCACTGTATGAGTGTATGTATATAGTACAGGCATGTACGCTTGTCACTATTGCCTTATAGGAATGTGCATAGTACAATCGTGGCCAAAGAAATCCGATTCACAAGTCCAAAGTAGCGCCAGATCTTTATTTTGATTACATCATACACCGTCCGAAACAAACATCCGAGGGCCCACGTGGGTCTTGGGGCTGCTTCCAGCACGTGGGTCGGATTTCTTTGGTCACGACTGATTATGTACAGTGCTGCGCAATGAAATCCGATCGCGTGAATCAAGTTTGCGCCCTGCGCCAGTTCAAATACTAGTGTTTGCAGGCCTAGGACCGATAGCACCTGGTGTGGCATTGACTCGCTTGATCGGATTTCATTGAGTGGCACTGTACATTAGCACCACGGCTGACTAGTTTCTAGTTAGACCGGTGCTAAGTTTACCGCTTGGCTCTGCTTATGACGTCGTGCCTCTCAGGAGAACTACATTAGAATGGCGTTGTCAACATCTTGCCTTTGTTTGATGTGAGCAGCCATATTGCAAGTAGAGTACAGTACATCTGGTCTTGTTTTAGTGCTGTGGTGTCTTTACGTGTCTTGGTGGAGCGAGGTAGGAATGAACTGTTGCTGCTGTATTGCGGTCTGATGTCCCTATGAAGCCTTTTCCAGCCAGGCGGTGATTGGACCCCGTTTTCGGCATGTATATCATTTGCTGGCTTGGACTGAGTAGCTGAACCAATGTTCCTACTGATAGAATACCCTGTGGCTGGCTGAGAGCTGTTCCTATGAGCTATATGTATGGTAAAATCTGTGGAAGCATCCACCTGTCGATGTCTTTAGGGGCCACTTATCTCAAGTGCCATACGTCAATGTACAATGTGGCTTGTGTAGAAAGACCACCCATGTATAAAGACTGTGTATCTGTGCACACTACACACTGCTGCAGTATGGTCTCTAAAGGCAGGTCTGGCCATGTGTGAAATTACTGTACTAAGTACTTGTGGAACTGTTCCATTGTATTGTCTGGTAGTGGCTTTGTCACATGACCCCTTTGCTCTGCTCATCCTGTTGTTCATGTTGTGCTTGCACGGGTCCTCTCTCTGTATCTGTGTGTGTGTCTGTGTGTGTGTGTGTGTCTACCGGTATATGTTCTTTTGGTCTGTAGAGTATAACGGAATATGGTCTTCGTTATGCAGTCGATCTGTTCTTACTCAGTCGCAGCAGGTAAGCTGTTCGAATCTGCTTTGCTCTCCCCGGCCTGTGCGGATACTAGTAGTGGATACTAGTAGTACTTGCGCCTTTTCTGGGAATGTGATGATACATGTACAGTCACAACCATGGCAGGAATTGTTTTACAAAGGTTCAGCAACATGTTCTGTGTGTGTGTGTGTGTGTGTCTCTCTCTCTCTCTCTCTCTCTCTCTCTCTCTCTCTCTCTCTCTCTCTCTCTCTCTCTCTCTCTCTCTCTCTCTCTCTCTCTCCTCTCTCTCTCTCTCTCTCTCTCTCTCTCTCTCTCTCTCTCTCTCTCTCTCTCTCTCTCTCTCTCTCTCTCTCTCTCTCTCCGTCTTGTCATTTCTCACCCAGTCCTCCTTCCTCTCCATGCTGTGAACTATGGTATGTATTTATGGCTCTTCTTGTGCTGCAAAGTCTATTTTTTTCTTCCTGTCTTTGCACAGAAATTGGATAGTTGTTTTCAATAGCCTGTGTGCACTAGCATCTGTGAATCACCTTCACTTCCAAGCCATGTATACAAAGACTAGCATACCGGTTCAGAACTGGGTAAGTCCATCCTCGTTGCTGTTGCTCTTCCAAGCGATACAGTAATGTGCCTGGTGATACATGCCAATACATTATAACAGTTAGGAATTCTAGCAGTCAAACTGCTGGGCTTATAAACTGTAAGGATCTCACGCATGACACTCCACAGAAATTATCAACCTTGATAATGAAGCCTACTTCTCCTGTCCAATACACTCATTGAGAAGATACTGGTGTTTCTGCAATGTCAACATTTGCTCCTTCTCCTGTGATGTGCGCAGCATACTGAGCATTTAGAGAACAGTCTCTATCGTCTGGATGACAGATATCACAGTTTTGGTTTTCTCGTCAGCTGGCGTGGCAATTCAGAACAGCTCACACTGTAAGTGCTTCAAGTCCCAGTGACTGCTGCTGCTGCTAGTGCTGCTAGTGCTGCTGCTAGTGCTATTAGTGCTAGTGCTGCTGCTGGTGTTGCTGCTAGTGCTGCTGCTGCTGCTAGTGCTGCTGCTGGTGTCGCTGCTAGCGCTGCTGCTGCTAGTGCTATTAGTGCTGCTGCTAGTGCTGCTGCTGCTGCTGCTGCTGCTGCTAGTGCTATTAGTGCTAGTGCTGCTGCTAGTGCTGCTGCTGGTGTTGCTGCTAGTGCTATTAGTGCTAGTGCTGCTGCTAGTGCTGCTGCTGCTAGTGCTATTAGTGCTAGTGCTGCTGCTAGTGCTGCTGCTGCTAGTGCTGCTGCTAGTGCTGCTGCTGCTGCTGCTGCTGGTGTTGCTGCTAGTGCTATTAGTGCTAGTGCTGCTGCTGGTGTTGCTGCTAGTGCTGCTGCTGGTGTTGCTGCTAGTGCTATAAGTGCTAGTGCTGCTGCTGGTGTTGCTGCTAGTGCTGCTGCTGCTAGTGCTGCTGCTGCTAGTGCTGCTGCTAGTGCTGCTGCTGCTAGTGCTGCTGCTGGTGCTGCTGCTAGTGCTGCTGTTGCTAGTGACTTCTGCTGCCAGTGACTGCCATTGCTGCTGCTGGTGATGCTGCTAGTGCTGCTGCTGCCGCTGCTGCTAGTGCTGCTGTTGCTGCTGCTGGTGATGCTGCTAGTGCTGCTGCTGCTAGTGCTGCTGTTGCTGCTGCTGGTGATGCTGTTGCTAGTGCTGCTGTTGCTGCTGCTGCTGGTGATGCTGCTGCTGGTGATGCTACCGCTAGTGCTGCTGTTGCTGCTGCTGGTGATGCTGGTGATGCTGCTGCTGCTAGTGCTGCTGTTGCTGCTGCTGGTGATGCTGGTGATGCTGCTGCTGGTGATGCTGCTGCTGGTGATGCTGCTGCTGGTGATGCTGCTGCTAGTGCTGCTGTTGCTGCTGCTGGTTATGCTGCTGCTGGGGATGCTGCTGCTATCAATGCCTAGTGCTTGGTATAGGTACCTTGATATCAGATGGAAAGAACTCCATGCGCTGCATAGCAGCCTCGACAGCAATGCACATGCAATTTTTCTCCAACCCAGTGGTTTTACTTTGTCACCAACCGCCATAACTATGACATTTTCTTCGTGTTGAATATGATTGTTATGTTTGTTGCTTCCTGTTTCGGGGGCCTCGCTGCCACGGCAGCATTTCAGCAACCCTGCGTCGTGTCTGGACTGTTCTGTGTGACTGTGTGTTATCTCTGTTTTGGTGGCATTCAGAGATGTTCTGCGCGTGGTGAAAGTGCTCAATGCCAACAGTATAGCACATAATGTGGTCATGGTGCGTGGCCAGTCAGTGTCCAGTGCACTCTACCCTGGCCTGTTGGTGCCACGAGTCATCATCTTCCCTCGCAAGCACTTCCTAGGTATGCGCACAGCTGTTAGCTAATGGTTTGCGGCAGTCAACCTGTCTCCTTTGGGTGTATTTTATTGCCATGGTGTTACTGCTTCAAGCATCCGTGTTCCCTACATGTATTTGATATCCGTGGCAGCATTGCTACCTCAAGTACTCGCACAACTGCACAATATATGTACCATAAAATGAGAAGGGTATGGAATGTGATATCAAACCCAGCTATACATGTACATCCTGTTGGAGTGATTGAGAACTCAGCCAGATATGTGGGGAGCTTTCAAGACACTTTGATAAAAAAAAACTAAACCCTTCTCTATTTCTCTCCTCTCCCCCCCCCCCCCCCCCCCCCACACACACACACACACACTCCTCGGCATTACCACATGTTTCTTTTGTAGCTGCAGTGTGGGTGCTTGCTAGCATTCATGTGGTTGGGCAGGTGGCTGGGCATTACTCGCCTGCGTTCGGTGTGCATCAATCTATTTGAGGTTTGTGCGCTCTTGTTGGTGGTGGTGGTGTTGGTGTCCGTGCAGGTGCAAAGCAGCAGAGCATGCACTTCAATGTGGCTGCATTGGAACTAGCTGGATTGCTGTTACATTATGGGTGTAAGTTCATATGTGTGCTGTACTGGCATGGAGCACTTTTAAAGTGGAAGACTCTCTGCAGGAATTTCTATTAGGATTCTGTTCTGATTTCTTGCATTGTGAAGATAATGGGCTGGTAGTTTTGGAACAATAAAATATATCGGGGTTGTACACGCTGATTTTTTGTATAGAAAATGGTCAAAGAGTGTGGATTCTGATTTTACGGTCCACGCCAATGAATGGGTTGGTGATCAACCAGAAATATAATTATGGCTTTTACAGCATTTTTACAATGTATGCTACCTAAACAAGTTACTCTGTGGTGTTGTGGCCACTGCACCTTGTATAAGGCCTGTTTTGGAAGAATTCATTTTTTTGCGAAATTTGGATGAAAAATGAAAGTAAAAATTAAAAAAAGAAAACACATCGCTCCCATGGCATGTATTTTCTTCTTCTTCTATTTTACATCTATTACTGGCTCATTCTCTGAGTTAGAAATAATGAATAGGGTACACATTGAAAAATCTCTATAGGATTTGCTTCCAAATGCTTTCATCTGTTCAGGGAATGGTTTAAAGTTGGAGGAAAGCAACTGAAATAATAGATGTTATAATGGACTGGGATGGAGAGCCAAGGATAAATTTATAGAAAAGAAAAAGGACCAAGGAACTATAAGTTACGCTATAATAGAGAGGTTCTGCAAAACGAAAATGTGTACGAGCTTTCGCTCTACGTCACGAAGTGAGAAACTTCGCACGAACTTTTGCAACTTTGGACGCGAAATGAACTTTCGTAGGAAGTTTTGTGAGATCGGGTCATGGTGTGCGTGCACTTGGCGCGTGCAAACTACGAAAATGTGCAGAACACAAAGTTCGTGCGAAAATTCGTACACATTTTCGCAAGGCCTGTCGCGAAACTTCGTTCGAATTTTCATTGTGCAGAACCTCTCTTATGTCCACTAACACCACCAGTTACTAAACAATCAGCTCATGCGATAACATTGCACGACAATGACCGACAGTACTGGCGTTCTACGTTGGTCACTATTCTTCTCTATAGATGTTATAATCTTCATTTTTTCCTAACATACCTTGCACGTGTGACTGCTGCTGTATCTAACGCACACAGGAGGGGCCGGGGAGTCCTATCAAGTCCATGCTGGAAAAAATACCTTTCATCAATGATGAAAGCAAAATGCTTGTATTTAGGTACAGCGCAATAGCTGTTGAACATGTCTTTTCATTGTTTACAAGCAATGGCCACTCTTGGCAAAGGCATGGTCGCGAGGGGATTGAACTGTTAATAAATTCTGGTTGTCAAAACCAGAAAATGACTGTACATACTACCAAGAGTACATAACCCCAAGAGTGTGCAACTCCAGTTATGGGGTCTGCGACGGCAGAACTTCACATCACGTGATGAACCCGTAACCATTATTTGCACTCTGTGCATGATAGATACAGGGTTGTACGCAGCCCAGCTTTGGGTACAACTCTCTTGTGGTCACTTTGCACTGTTTGCCAGCATAACCTTTTGAACCATGTCACGTGATGTGAAGTTCTGCCGTCGCAGCACAGCATAGAGGTTGTGCAGGCAGTTGCACACTCTTTGGGGTTATGTACTCTTGATACTAGTACCACCAAGAGTAAATAAGCTCCCAAGAGTGTGCAACTCTGCACGTGGGGTCCCCGACGGCGAAAACTCACATCACTTGTCTCCGGTATGTTTTGTACTACGTACAACTAAGGTTCGCGTGCGCGCAATCCGAATATCTGCCATGATTATGCTGGCGAGTTGCAGACGTGCAGTGAGTTTCTGTCAGGGAGTGCTTTTTTTATTACTCCGCTGCTCGCTAAAAATGGGCTCGAAGCGTACAACTGGGACACTACACCACGTGATGTGCGTTTTCACCGTCGGCGAACCCCATAGAAAGGGTGTCAGGAGTTGCACACTCTTGGAGGCTTATATACATGTACTCTTGGTATCACGAGGTACTATGTACATCATTTTTGCACATAACGACTCAAAATTTAACGAATTTAATTCGTTGATCGTTAATATTAAATGTTTGTAAAATAATAGTGGTCTTACAGTATTGCAAACAAAGTGAAAGTTTCTTGTGCGTTTATGGTGAACCCAGCTGCTGGCCAGCCAGGATCCGAGGTCAAGGTGTCCAAGATCCTGGCTATGCACGCACGGACCAGCCCGCCGTTGGGCATGTGTGTCGTAAATATTAATTAGTTACTGTTGACCCCCCCCCCCCCCCCACACACACACACTGTGTTGTTCCCCTGATGGTTTTTCAGCTGGGATCTGGAATTACATCCTGGTTGCCAAGTGCAGTACAATGTACAACACTGCTGCAGAAGATCAGGCTTGCCGTGCTGTATTGTGCGCAGTACAAAATTTAACAAATTATTGATTTCAATAAGTTTGACTCTGGTTTTGGGCATTCAATTATCAATGAAAATCCAAAATCCACACAGCTTGGAGCAGCTGGTTCCATGACAATACGAAGAATGAACAGGTCTTTAGGATAGATGCGTAATCCAGAGACTACCATTCCATGAACAGGAATGCGAGCAAGGAGGTCTTGTTCTTCGACACAATGAGGAATCGCTTGGAAGTCTCTGGTTCCGATGCTGAATATTGACAGCTGAGTCAGGTGCAGCAGCTCACCGACTCTGCCCCATGGTCTTGATGGACAGTGCCAAGTACTGGTTGATGACAACATCTACTCGTCGATAGGTGCAATTGACCAGAGGCACTACGACGCGACGCAAGACGTTTTCGTGTGAACCAGCGCGGGCATGGGCAGTCAATGCCCATCGCTGGAGAGCACACTCCTTCGAACTGATCCCAGTGACACCGCCACTGCTCTTCATATCTTTGTTGATCGTCTGCTCAATGCACTGATCGATGGCCGCCCTAGAGAAGACGTTGTTGGAACGCTGGGCTGAGAATTAGGAGGTAGAGGAAAGTCCTCCGACACAAGTTGTCAACACACCATAGTTTTCATTGTTTGACTGACCGGTTTCACTGTCTTAAAGGCCTCATGTAGTGATTGGCTTCTGGGTCAGTTTCATCCAATGTTCTCATCTCGAAGAGGTACGCTGACAGGTAGCGGCTGTAATTCACCTTGTCATAGGCAAATGCCCATGGCAGCATTCGCTAGGCACAATCTAAGTGTACATGTAGACGCTGTAGAGGCCAGCTCCCCTCTCTGGTGGCACGTATAAATTGAAGCAGCAACTGCACTATGTCCAAGTAGGACTGCCAAAACTTCGCCTTGGGTGTAGAAAGCGAGTTCATGAATGCAGCATGGGCTTTCTGCAGGGCATCAAATGCTGGTGAAGCCAGTGGACACCGACTCTTGAGACAAATCACTGTGCATCGTGGCGAGGAGACTCTTGCATGCAGCTATATCCACATGATGCGGCAGGTTCTCTTCATCCAGATACAATTCAAAGGAAACCCACGGATGCCGAAATAGTATAATCTTGGACGTACCCTTCCCTATATGGCCTAATATATCTATTGTCGCTACTTTCTGTCTGTCTTTTCTCCATCTCTCTCTCTCTCTCTCTCTCTCTCTCTCTCTCTCTCTCTCTCTCTCTCTCTCTCTCTCTCTCTCTCCCTCCCTCCCTCCCTCCCTCCCCTCTCTCTCTCTCCCTCCCTCCCTCCCCCCCCCTCTCTCTCTCTCTTTCTCTATTTCTCCACTTCCTCTGCAGCTGATGAAGAGTTTGAGTCTCTAACGGAAGAAGCTGCACTGGAAACGCTGAGGGAAGCACGTCTGGACAAGGACGTGCTTGAAAAGTTGACAATTCAAGTCACCCAAGAATTTGTTGTGCCAACGGACTCCACAGACAGGTAATTCTTTTTGTTGTGCCTCCTAAGAATGTAACTACATGTAGTACTAGTAGTTGCAGCTAACAGTTATCTTCCTTAGCCTTAGATGCCTTATTTCTGCTACTATGGAGGCTGTTGAGTACATTTTTTTCCAGTTCTACTGCTGAGTACTGAATGTTTCAAGTACACGCAGCTTTGTGCTATACAGTTCACCGCCAAACGGCTGTCGATTGCTTCATGCGTGGAACATAAAGTGATAAAAAAGCATGAAACTATTGAATTGAAACTATTTCCACAGAATGTTCCACAAAACGAAATTGAACTATCCTGCTCAGATGAAGACTCCTTGAATGTCTGATATATTTTCTACATACCTAGGGTGTTTTTATATTAGCAAGTGCACGTATTCCTTTAAATTTAAAAACTGTTTCTTAAACAATGTTGTACTCTTGGGTCTGCAATTTGATCTAAATTGGTAGGTGGTAATTGGTAATTTGGTCTAAATATTGTGTGTTGGTGCTCGACTCTTCTATCTCAAACTTTTCTTTTATTATCTAAGCGTGCTTTGCCATACTTCCTCTCTCGCTTGCTCGCTGTAGCTTGCAACTGGCAAAAGGTATTCTAGTTTTCATTACGATCAGCTTCTGAATTCTGTTTGGGTCCGTAGACGGATTTTGTTTGGGGGATTGAGGGAACAATTGGAATCTGTACACAGATTTGGTTCCAGTGGGCTTTTTTTCTTAGAAGGAAATAGCTCGAGCCGACTTCACACCTGCAGCTGCATTCACAACTGAAGAAATGGTAACCTACAGTCCATTCATTGGAAACTGGCACCCTAACTTTTTGGTGTCTGTCATATAGTTGTAGATATCGTGAAAACAACAGTACATCACGCATTGTGTGACCCGTGCAATTACTCCTTGCCACATTTGAGGCCAGAAAATTCCAAGAACAGGGAAATAGAAATTCAGCCAGGTTTTACAAAATTAGGACAGGTATGCCATGACAAAATGTATGGAGAAGCAGATCCAAAACCCAGATTTTTGAGATTTAAAGTGGGTTTTTGATCCTCAATTCGGCCCAAATCCGACTTTCAAAAGCCAGCGGGCCAGTTTCCGATGAATGGACTGTAGTAAAAAAATATCAGTTAAAATATCAGTTACAATAAGTTGAAGATATATCCTACAGCCAAAATAATAATTATCATCTCTAACTTGCCACTCAGCCCTGGACTGACAAGGTCATTGAAAGAAGGTTGATAAAGAATACCAGTAAGAGTGCATTCTGGTAATACTCGTACGCAGTACTTCACATATCAGAGACCGGCCACTACACTATCAAGGTGATGACAGTTCTGAAATTCAAATCCCCACATAGACTTTCCATCTCTCTGGTTGGTGGTGCTGAAGCTTGCCTTGTGAAGATTCAGGGCAGCGTCGTCTGGTCGACTCCCAGGTACTCTTCTTGAACGCGCATCCCATGCGTGCGCAGCGCATATGTAGGCTGCTAGAAGTACAAGTAGTTGGTAATCCCAGCATCTAGTCACAAGGCAGTGAAGCCAGAGCGGTGAATGTGATGACATCAACAGGCGGTAAAACCACCATCAACAGGCAACATGGTGCCGGTAATCATGGTACTGCGATCACTCAGCAGATAGAGGATGGGGTCAACCACCTCGGATACCTCTGCATGTAGAGGAAAGACGGACGGGCATAGCAACGGAACATAGGCATACGCACAGGCACATGTACACGCACACGCCCGCACACACACACACACACACACGCACCGGCTGGACCGGTGCAAGAATCATTGTGAGAAAGGGATTCTTGCTTGTATCCCGAAGAAGAATACAGTAAAACCTGTGTTTGCTGGACCCTGTACCAAGCAGACTCCTGTATTGACCGGAAGATTTTTTTTCGTTTTTACATAGCTTCGGGAATGAAGGCTTTGTAGTACTCTCTGCTTCCAACATTTCTAGTTTCTATGAAAGTCCATTCCCAGATTGTAGGCAATGGATCATGGCTTCGTCACAATGGCGAGTCAGTGCATGCACACATACATGCATACCCAATATCACTGACCTGCAAAGCGTCCCAGCGGGATGTGATCTAGCATTGGTTTGGCAACGGCAGGGTCGGACCAGTTCTCACGTCCCATAGCAGTAAGGACTACTGTAGGATTGACACTATTCACTCGGATCTACGGAATAGGAATGGGATACACAAAGTTCACAAACCAAGACACACACGCACACACACACACACACACGCACACACGCACACACACACACACGCACACACACACACACGCACACGCACACACGCACACACACACACACACACACACACACACACACACACACACACACACACACACAACATACACTAGGCTATAAACTGACCCTGGGTACGGGTGAGCACTAATGTGACTGGAGAGATACGTATGGAGGGAGTTGCACAAGGCCACTCTGAAGCCAAAATTATCACTCTCCACAATGGGGGCAATCAAACTGTAAATACCACCAGACCCTACTTAGTATGTTTCGCAGCACAAGTCAAAGACACAACACAACACTGGTGTTGTATGCCTCACCAGGAACTGCTTGTGTGCACCAACTGACCGACCGACCGACCAAAACAGTATGCACATAAAAACATGTAAATACTTCAAGGTACTACATGTATATCAATTTGCAGTTGCACTACATACACCAAACAGTGTCTGAGTGTGTGACTTGCCTTGTGTGGTCCCAGCTCCAATGCCATGACACGAGTAAGGTTGTCCACAGCACCCTTGGAAGTACCTGCCAGCAAGCCAGTCAACACCATCAAAGGGCAGCAAACAGACAGCAGCAGCAGCAGCAGCAAACAGACAGCAGCAGCAGCAGCAGCAAACAACAATCAGGGAGGAGAGGTAACTAATTCAGACACAACAAAAGCTTGAAGATAAGTGCGGGTGGCACTTCAGCTCATCTACAATTAGAACATGAACAGCAACTGCAAAGAATAGAAATCCATTCTCGTCAAAATCCGCATCAAGCCATCTTCACAGCATTGCAAGCTAGCTCATGAGCAGAGCAATCCCTCGGTGATGTTGAGGCCAGCAGAGCAATAGTATAAATGACATGATACACTGCTGGGAGTGAGTGGTTCATAACGTCGGTACCGGCATGTGCCTGCTGAGCCACAGGTGTAAGGACAAGTGAGGAAGTTGCACTTGTACAACACTTCACAGGATGCTAACTTGAGGATGTGTGATTAGTCACTGGACCAGTCATCTACTGTCACATACTCATACATCAACAGTACACGTAAGTCATCTACTGTCACTAGCCTCATCTACTGTCACTAACCTCATCTACTGTCACTAACCTCATCTACTGTCACTAACTTGAGGGGAAAGAATACACTTCGTGTGACATCTTTAGTAGTATTCTTTACAATGCTTCTAATTCTAACACAGCACAACGTCAAGGTACTATGTTCTCGCACAGTGTTGTGTGATGCTCACAATCACACTTTATTTCCCATTCCACTCAGTAAGTGGCACATAACCTAGCCCTACAGGACACACCAACCCTGGAAAGGAGCAGTCACTGGCGTGGACTAAAACCTGTAGTCAATGACTACTAAAACAGGCACTACAGAGAATAACCAGCACCAGCAGCACCAGTGCCAGCACCAGCAGCACCAGTGCCAGCACCAGCACCAGCAGCACCAGTGTCAGCACCAGCAGCACCAGTGCCAGCACCAGCAGAGTTGTTAATTGGGAAAGAAAGTGTGGATGTCAGTCAGGTTAATTTGATCACTCACCATACACTGAGTGACCGCTAATGGCGCGCATTGACGCTTGGCTTGAGACATTGACAATGGCACCGCCACCTTTCTGCTCCACCATAGCCTTGGCCACACACTAACAGCAACAGGAGCAACATCACCACAACACCACAACATCACCACATCACCACAACACAAAACACAGTGACAACATCCCCATACCACAAGACACATGCCGGATTCGCCCCAGGACTACTGTACATGTATAAGCAGAAATATTCGTCTGGAACTTAATTTCGTCTTTGTCGTCCAAGGAGCTTTTGGACTAAAATAAATGCCGGACTAATGTCGATTTGTCCAGCTTTTCAATACACTCCTATGATCCATGGACGAAATTTACAACCGGACGAACTCCCTTTCATTGGCGTTGGACGAAATTATTGACCGAGGAAATGTTCTGCCTGTACAGCATATGGAGTGCCCTCTCCTTGACCAAAAAATCCACTCCACCAACATTTCTCAATAAGCACAGGCTCCAATGCAGCAATCAATTATAACCACACTGCCACACTGGTACACTGGTACACTGCCACACTGGTACACTGCCACACTGGTACACTGGCACACTGGCACACTGGCACACTGCCACACTGGTACATCCTCACAACACTGTTTAAACAGGCTACACCAATCCATGAAAAAGAAAAAGTGATCCGAATTTTCAGGCAAGGACGTTTGTCGAATGCCCACCTTCAGGGTGTAGCCCAGAGACCGTTTGAAGAGTGCTGTGAGGATGTATGGTCACTCAATGTTCAGGTGATACTACAATCATGTACATGTACTAGTATACACAGTAGACAGTGTAGGTACTTGTCATATCGGCAGCACAGCCGATATCTTTGAATGCGGCAACTTCTGAATCTCCCCAACAGTCTTTTCGCTGCAACTAACTGACTTTTTGCCCTGATGATGAACCAGGCCCGGGATTTTCAGTTATTCGCAGCAAAGAGACCGTTGGGAAATTGAGTAGCCATATGCTAGTACAAGTATGTGTAGGCTGCGTAGGAGTTTACGAACAATCAAAAAAAGGATATTTTTGAAGCTGAAAAAAGTGCAACAAAAGTGCACACTATACTACGGTCTATACGGTGACTGAGATAGTATCACTGGCCAGCCAAGTCAGAAACCCGGAGCATGCATAATCAGACTAAACAAAGACCGGTTAGAGTCCACATCACACTATAGACTACTGTAGAGGCAGAACATTTCGTCCGTCAATAATTTCGTCCAACTCCAAAGAAAAGGAGTTCGTCCGGTTGAAAATTTCGTCCATGGATCGTAAGAGTGTATAGAAAAGCTGGACAAATCGATATTCGTCCTACATTTAATTTAGTCCAAAAGCTCCTTGGACGAAAAAGACGAAATTAAATTCCAGATGAATATTTCTGCTTGTACAGTATACAGGGACTGCCTTTACAGTTGCAGCCCCCCCCCCCCCCCCCCCCCCCCCCAGTGGAGGTACTGTATGCCACACAGAAAATTAAATGTATGCGCACGAGAAGACCGGTGCCAATGCACAAAGGTGGCCAACATTGGTTGAGTAGTGGTCGACTTGAACAAGCTTCAGCTAGCCGAAATCTAGTTACAAGTATGCCACAAGAAACCTGTGTATGCTCTTCTTACCTGCCCAACAAAGAACACTGCCTTCACATTCACATCCATTTGCCTGTACAGTACAACAAAATGAAGCACAAAACAAAGAACGAGATTGTCACAAAAAAACAAAACAGAACTCAATACAGCACACCATGGTCAGAACACACATGCAGGAACACACATACATACACACACACCTCAGACCTCAGACCTCAGACATGCCCATCGCGGAAGCGATGATAGCGAACAGCTATGTTAGACATAGCAACTTGTGCTGGGATTACACCATTCAACAGCTTGCAAGGCTGATGAATTGACCGCCACTATTTTTAGCCTGGTATCCACCACACAGCTGCACACACACACACACACACACACACACACACACACACACACACACACACACACACACACACACACACACACACACACACACACACACACACACACACACACACACACACACACACACACACACACACACACACACACACACATGCAAACACACACACACACATGCGCACACACATGCACACACGCACGCACACACACACACACACACACAGGCGTGCACGCACGCACACGCACACACATACACATGTGTACATGTACTGACTTGTCATAGGACTCCTCGGTGACTTCGACAAACGGGAGAATGTCAGCAACTGCTGCGTTGTTGACTAGCCCATCAACATGACCAACTTGTGAGACGGCCTTGCGGATTGCGTCCAATCCTTCTCCAAGATCGGCTTGGATCAGCTGAATGTTGGAGTTCTGAAATAAGAGACATCAATGTGCATCCAGTACATGACTCATGCTCAGTCTCACAGTAAACACCTCCACTATCACCGGTATGAAACTTGCTAGATACACTATGGACTACGAGAGGTGTCATCAGACATCATGCAACAGTCACGATAAATATGTGCTATTCTAGTAAGCATTTCTAGTTTCTACCACATTTCGAAACACACGATGGAGAGATCATCCCAATCAGAGCAGGAACACAAGGTGACAACCTGGTGGCATGATCAAAGTACTACTGTAGAGGCAGAAAATTTCGTTGGTCAATAATTTCGTCCAACTCCAAAGAAAAGGAGTTCGTCCGGTTGAAATTTTCGTCCGAAGATCATAAGAGTGTATAGAAACGCTGGACAAATCGATATTTGTCCTACATTTAATTTAGTCCAAAAGCTCCTTGGACGAAAAAGATGAAATTAAATTCCAGACGAATATTTCTGCTTATACAGTACTTCAAAGTAGTACAGTGCTGCACTTGTAAGGATAAAATCAGACCTCTTTAACCAGATGACATCCGTTTGGCAGATTTTCGCCGGCTGAACAAAGGTGCTGGATAAATGAATATCCACACGTAGTGGCAATATGCATGAAACACCGTGTAAATTCGGTTCTCTGTCCACCCTGCACTCACTCGTTGCGCACACATCCGCACACTCACTCATACGTGTACATCACTATTGAACACGTGAACATTGCCAGTGGGGGCCACCACAGCACAGCACAAAATGAATATCCACACGTAGTGGCAATATGCATGAAACACCGTGTAAATTCGGGTGCTCTATTTGTCAGAGGGGAATGCGGGCTTGTTTCATACAATGACCTTGCTCTTAGACAACATTTACAGACGTTTGATCTCTAGTCCAGTCTACTGGATACACAAGCTTGTACACACCCTACCATCTCCACTCACTTGTTTTCCAAGTGCCTCCAGTGACCCGGAGGACTTGCTAATAACGGCTACATGTGCGCCTTCCTTGGCAGCTGCCAGACACACAGCACCGCCAATACCTGACAGAATAAAACCCACATGTGTACACATGTGCGCACACATATGCATGCACGAGCGTGCGAGCGCATGTGCACGCACATACGCACGCACACGCAGACAAACAGACAGACATACACACACTTATTATAACTACATGTACATAGTATTCGATATCGACAGCATGTTACAATGCGAGGACGCATATTGTAAAAGCCATTATTCTAACGAGGCGCAATATAACGATTTCCCAAAATTGACTGGTTTACGTGTACCAAAGATAACGATTCTCACTCATTCTCAACGCTCAATAGGACTGTATATGTATCGATTTCTGTGCAACGATTTATATTTTAACGACAGATTTCTCCTCGTAAACTCGTTAGAATTAGCACTTCGTTATAAATATGGCTTTTACAGTAGCGCTCCTGACTACAACCGCAACCCGGTTGGCAGAGTCCGGGTCTTGCGACCATTTGAACCGTATTGGGGAAACCCCGGCTCGGACCCTCTTTAAAAAAAAAGAGGGTCCTAACCAGGGTTTCCCCAATATGGATCAAAATAATGGTCGCAAGACCGGCACTCTGCCAACCGGGTTGCGGTTGTAGGCAGGAGCATTATGCTATCAAGCAAGGCTTCTATGTTATGTACATAGTACCGTTGAATGCCCAGTACTCACAGTACTGGGCCTCTGGCGGCACCACACGCATAGTTCATGTGATGGGGTGCTCGTGTGCTCGTGAGCGCAGCATTTTCTCGTTTCCTTGCCATCATCTTGTTGGACGGGGCCAATGAGACTTGTTCTGGAAGAGCGTTGCAATGGCAATATCAGTATTGTCTTATCACAATACAACTTCCTCTGCACGAAAATGAATGAAACAAATCCAGTTTCACGTTGGTTCCCTGATGTTGCCCAATACATGTATTGCCTGTTGCACTGCTATTCAGCTCAGCAGCGTGTGTAATTGAGTATACGAGATGGCAGGTATTTTCAACTTGAAAACAAACTGAAGTGAGTGGGGTATGAGCGTTTTGAAGGTGAACAGTCATAGTGATACATTTTACATCTTTCTCAACAGCCCAAACTAACTAAACTCATTGATGGGTTCAGATTGAGTCTCAGACTGAGCATCACATTATTTTTTGAAATTTCCAGTTCCATAGGCCTATTACATACCACTGGCTCCCGTGACCAGAATGCGCTTTCCTGACAGCATTTTCTTTCCAACACCAAAGTACTTTACTCGGACGTCCGTTGATCGATAGGCTCACAACAACTGTTGTCTTGGCAAGTACTTTTTGATGGAGAAGCCTCACCTAAAAATCGACCTGATCTAATACTGCCAATGATTATGTGTCATTGGATGTTGCAGCTTGTGTCTCGAGTCTGAATTCGGGCGCCATGGAGGCGTCAAAAACACTCCATAGACATGTGCGTCACGTACATGTATTTTACCAGGCACATGCACAGTCATTCATCGGCATCATCGCTCATCAAGCATCAGCTGTCAGAGTCCAGATACAGTACTCGTAGATCTACGAGTATTTACTACCTGATCTACTCCTTGCGGGATTTCTTTCCTTCTACTCCTTGCTTTAAATTTGGCATAGCCAATAGCCATGAATGATCAGAATCATGGCTATAGCTAGGGTGTTGTTGTATGTCGTGACCCGCCGCCTGGTCGATATCAACTGCAAGTCATAATAGCGAATGCCATAAGCGAATGGGCATGGCCCCTGTACCATCGCAAGGGCAATTGGAACAAGCAGGCCGGGAGCAAAACCTCATACTAATATTGTTTTGTGTTCCACTGGCATGTCACTTCCACTATAAGCCCATGTCAATTGTTATCTCCTCACAAGGTACATGTATGCCTCCCCAGCCGACAAGCACAGTACAACGACGACGACGACAACGACGACGACAACAACAACAACAACAACAACAACTTCTCTTACTGATGATGGTGCCATCGTGAGAATAAAGAATTCAATTTAAACAACGAATAAAGAAATCAAATTCAAACAAACACTCTTATTGGACATTGCCATTTGTAACAACAGCTGCAGCTACCCGAAGAAGCATTCACAAGCCACCTCAGCTCAGCACACAGTGACAATCACATCATTCAGAACAACAAGAGAAAGAAGTCAATCTTAGCTTGGTGTTCTTTCCACCATGTGGACTCTTTCTTATAGCGGCTCGAACTGGACATTGATTCGTAGGAGTCTAGAATGAAATAATCAGCGTAAAGACATGACTGCTATGTGCGCTTGGGCAACAGTCACAGAGTTTGTCCAAACTGGACAGAGTCAAAACCTTTATCGAAAACACAATATAAAAATTGATATGGAGCTCCGAGACAAAAGACCAAACAAACGAAGAAAAGCAAAAAGAATTTTATGACTTGACCAGCATGTGTGACTATGTGCAGGTTAGTAGAAAAATATAGTGAGGCCAGTACTGATATAGAGAGAACTGTTTAATAAAACGGGATTTCGCCGGACAGACACTGTAAATAAATGCACAAAAAGTTCAGCAACACGAAGTCAAATGAGCTAAAACAACTGGTGCAGCACCAATGAGAGAGGAGGCCAGCGGCGTCCACCAGCTGAAAATCGTAAAATTCACGAAGAGCGGCCAGGGAGTAGAGTGTATGAAATGAGCAGAGTTACCACTGGTACACAGTGACAATCGGCAGCTGAAAATCGTCTTGGCAACGATAGGACTGTTAGCATGCTCTAGTGCAAGATGCAGCTACACACAGGGCAGTGGGGAACATGCATGTTCCGGACAGAGCCTACCCCAACAGGAAGACAATGGCGTTACACGTGAGCAAGTGAGGAGGCAGCAACGCCTCTCTCTATCACAACAGGCAACAGGAGTCCTGTAGGCCAACAGCACATATGAACAAAGAGAGCGAGAGCAAGAGCGAGAGCAAGAGCAAGAGCAAGAGCAAGAGAGAGATAGAGATAGAGATAGAGAGAGAGAGAGAGAGAGAGAGAGAGATAGAGAGATAGAGAAAGAGAGAGACCGGTTAGGATTTTGGGAGCGCTGCCAGACAGTCGTTGGACGGACAGACAAGCAGACACAGGAGCAAACATATTTGTAGACTGCTTACGAATACAGTACCTCATTTGTGTGTTTTGCATTCCAGATGAGGACGCGCAAGTGCCAACAAAACTTCAGTCCATCAGCCAGCCATCTTCCAACTTACGTCCCTTGACTTGGATGCTGTGCATATTTACAACCAAGTCAAGGGGACATAAGACTAATAAGAGTCCAACTAACTTCAGCATGATCTACCACACCTATACCATACCCGATTTTCTGGGATATTGTGTGCACTTTTCGCACCCAAAATTTAGAGATTACATCGGTACTTGATTCGTACATATCATGTGCTGGTTCGAGTGGCTGTGGTTTTGAGTGCACGAGGACAGGACGTGATATAGGCAAGTTACAAAGCACAGTGGGCATTGGTCCATAATTACACAGATGCACACTCTTGATAGCGCCCGATACAATGCATCACATACCCCACCCCCCGTCCTGTTCATGCCGGCTGGATTTAATCCAGCACCCTCCCTAAGGGCCTGGTCAGACTGCGGCAAATTTTGGGTGCCTGGCGAAAAAAGAAAATCGTTCAAGATTAGAATCGCGATCACACTGCACATGTGGGGAGAATGAAAATTCAAACTTCATTTCGAGCGTCAAGTGGTAATCTCCACAAACAACGTCAAACTCCTTTACCTCAGTAATCGCGAACACCTTCAGTGCAATCCTTGCAACCATCCTTAGGAGTTTTGTTGTTGTCGGTGGCCAATTCGCTCCTCGATATCAAGATGAAAAAATCAGTGAATATCAGCGTCAAACTCCTGTTTGAAGCGGAAACGCGTGGTCCGTTCTTGCTTTTTTTTGGAGCGTCAACTCTCGATTTTGCCGCTCTGGCGTCAAGTTAGTATGGAGATTCGGATTATAATCACAGGATTATTTCGTTTTTGCCGCAGTCTGACCAGGCCCTAACCAAGCAGAAGTAGCAGAACTGGTGCCAGATTATAAAGACCGTATATTGAAGTTTCGCTATTATATAACGAGAGAGAGAGAGAGAGAGAGTGTGTGTGTGTGTCCTCACCCACTTACTGAGGTGTGGTGAGCCCATAAGTGGGATCATTTTCAAGTCCACCCAGAGTTTTGGGGATTTCAGGGGGTGTTGGCCGTTGGGCAGTTCAATAGCCAATTGAGTCATCTTTCCAAGATTCCTTTCGAGTCTCTCTCCCCTCTCCCGGGGAGACCCACGTGACCAGTTTTGGCAGTGAGCAACAAGTACAAGTACAAGTGTGTGTGGGGGGGGGGGGGGGAGAGAGACAGGGACAGAGAGGGAGAGAGGGAGGGAGGGAGAGGGAGAGAGAGAGAGGGAGAGAGAGAGAGAGAGAGAGAGAGAGAGAGAGAGAGAGAGAGAGGGAGAGAGAGAGAGAGACCGTGATTCATTAACAGTGAACACACTAATGGTACGAGCGCTAACGTACAGGTGAACGTCCATCCCCAGATCCCTGTCCAGGTTGCCGCTGCCGTTGCTGTCCCTGCTGCTGCTGCTGCTGTCCTTGTTGCTGTTGCTGCTGCTGCTGCAGTTCGGAAACCTGAGCCGTAGAAGGTTGCGTCTGTCGAAGTTGCACTTCTTCCTCCTGCAAACGCAGAGTTTCTTCTTGCCGATGGAGTTCCATGGCAACGTCCTGATCCAAGGCTGCTTGAAGCTCTCGTGCTACTTGCATACTGTGCAGCACAGCACAGTACAACACAGCACAACACAATACAAAGTATCATATCAATCATCAAAGCAACTCCTGTCAATGCTATTTCAAGTACGATGAAGTAGGCTTTCAGCACCCGCTCTGGCAGGTCCGGTTATGGCCCAATCAGCCTTCTGAACACCCAAACACCAGGGCTATTTTTTAGGGACACTGCCTATACTGGGTACTGTATAAATGTAATATTAGGTGTAGTAAATTTTTGGTGTCAGGGGCCAGCCAGGTTTCAGGTGTAACATTAATGTAGAATTATGTGACCAGCGTTCCATGCACCTACTTGTACAGTGCATACTCCAGTGCCATCTAGGTGTACTCTAAATTTCGGTGTCTGGTCTCTCGATACTGGAGATGGTGCATGAAACTGTACAAAACATTCTGTACGAAGTACTACTGTAAATATACAAAATTTCGGCGCTGCAAAATTTCGGCACTTCACGATTTTTGACATTTCGGCGGCGATTTATTTTCGGCGTGGGGTAGAGGGCACTGTATAGTGCGACAGATGCTGTGAAAAATTTCATCGGCGTTTTAATTTAGGCGTTTTGGGTCGGTGCCGAATATAGCCGAAATTAAATAGCTGCCGAAAATTTGTATATTTACAGTACGCAGTTTTACTAAAAGTTCAAAAATCAAATTTTTGGTAAAAGAAAACTGCCCCACACGTGATCCATCAGCTCAAACGCGGGAACTCTAGCTTCTTCTTCACCCTTTTTTCAGCGCATTATAGATCCTATTGGGAGGGTACCAGGGTGGGACTGTTATATCTCCGCTCTCCGCTTTGGTAACGGAGCGCTCATCATCCATCATCAACTGTTATATCTCCGCTCCTCATGAACACTGGGCATTTCATCACAGCTGACAGCAACAGTACGTCGTAAGGACTGCTGTTCGAAGCTAAGCAAGGAACAACCCGAGCACAAGCAATACGCAAGAGATCAAAAGCCAAGTGCCACACACTGACACTGAACGGTACACTAGTACAGGGGGGGGGGGGGGCACTTACTCTAGATCCTCTTGGGTAGGCTGGGTGGGACCTGATTGTGATTGGGTAGGCTGGATAGCGGCAGTTGCCATGGCAATCGCACTGGTCAGCTGATCAGCAGTAAGAACAGGACAAGGTGCTGCATGATCGGCCGCGGGCAAACCGCCGTCCGTTGCTGCGGGCACGTTAGCTACGGCCTGGTGTGCTTGCGTGGACGGACGGCTCACGGAGACCGGAATCAAGCCGGAGCTTTCCTGCACAGGGCGGCATGTGGCGGCCGCTTCTTGCCGAGGCACTTCGGCCGGGGGCACACCGTGTGCGGTGGGTAAGGATACCGCCACGGTGTTGCTGCTTGTAGCCGCTGCTGTACCACTGCCTGCTGCTTGCCCACGCGCAGCTGCAGCTGATTCTTCGTCGCGCAGTGTCAACGCCAGCAAGTAGCTGAGGGAGAGAGAGAGAGAGAGAGAGAGAGAGAGAGAGAGAGAGAGAGAGAGAGAGAGAGAGAGAGAAGGAGGAGGAGAGTACACAGACTTCACAAATGTTCCACGCAAACCCAGAGTATCATACAGGTACTAGTCCATGACGGGCAGGTTGAGAATAAAGAAACGCCAGTCATTCATGAACTACAATGTACTATTCTCATGTACATGAGGTATTACTACTTTGAAGCAACAACAGTGCATCCATAGTCATGCAACAACGAAGCCTCTGACAAACCTAATGAGGTCTTTCCAATCTATACTCACAAAGATCACCACAACGTCCACAAGGGCAATTTGACCACGGAGTAGACATGACACATGCATTGCTCAAGTGAATATGCAGCGTCGAGCCAGCCACGGGAAGACTGACAAGGGTAATGGTACGGAGATAGTCTGAGGCTCTGTTGTTGTGCATTCCACGCCTCCAATTCATTACAAGCAATGCCCCTACCGGCCATGGTAAAGCTGTTCAGAAATTACTGACAGGGAAAGGCATGCAGTAAAGTGAAAGCAGTCTAGATTGAACTCACTCCTGATCTTCCTGCGTAGATGCCAGTCCAGTTGTCGCAGCACCCACCGATGATGGTGCAACCGCCGCTGTTGCCCCGACAGATCCTTGATTAGAAGATTGCGCAGCAGCTGCTTCCTTCGCTCTGTTTTGCAACGCAGCCGTCACCTCGGTGAGGTTATGGTCATAGAAAGCACTGCTACCATGTACATCATTAAGGCTTTCGAACACTACTTGATGCTCGTCAAAGTAGCCTTGATCCGTTACTAGAACATACAGATTACCCTGCAGTACCAGTTATCCAGTGGAAGAAAACAAAACAAAAAACTCTTTCAAATAGAACAAAGGTAGAAAAGATGATAACTTCTCACAACAAGTTTTTAGCACATGTTGATATGAATCAGTTATTTTGATCTACACAAAAGTACAATCCAGTGCACAATATTTCTCAAGTACATGTCATGTACTTGAGAAATATTGTGCACTGGATATGGTCATACCATTCCATTCCTTCTCGCTAGTACTGGTGTACAGTGGTATCACCACCACCACCACCACCACCACACACACATACCGCCTGACACCATGTGTATAAAAAGTAGGGCTGAAACAATTATACCGATAACTCGCATATCGATCGTTAAGAGTGCGATCGATAATCGTTAGTGTTCAAAACGAGTACTAACGATTTTTATGCATGCATATCAGTGACAGTATTCTAGCCCTTGCACTCCATCCGATAGTGGAATACGAGTGCAATCATGTACTTTCAAGCGCAGTAAAATTGATTTGTGGCTTTGAAAGAGATTGGGAGAGAAGAAGTCTTTTCGGTTTATTTGTGGGAGAAGTTGGAGATGAGAGCAGCTGCCAGAGGGTGATGACAAGATTCTTCGCTCAAGAAACAACATGAAATTCTCTACTTGAGTAGTTCATGCTGCATAAAACCAGCCAGATATCTACAGATGTCAACAGGTGCGGTGCCACAAATTTCTAGCATAGCAAAGGAATCATAGAATTTCTTTATAAACCGGTGTTCGATAGAGCCGACAAGAATCGATAAAACCAATATATCGATCGTTAATGATATTGGTTGATCGTTAGGAGTTATTGAATGATCGTTTCAGCCCTAATAAAAAGCAAGATATCATTTACCAGTACACATGCATTTGAAACCTTTTACTTCTAGAAATGTCTCCTTTGGAAGCAGAGCAACTTGCCTCAGACAGAACGCACTGGCTCGATGTTGTTGACAGATGCATGACCCTCATTTGATTTTTTCATATGAGCTATATGCATGCTGTATTGTTATTATTATTATGCACTTGAAACGGGCGAGATGAGAGGCACTATGCTTACATTTTGCTTGTACAGAGTACTGAAATGATTGTTGCGGAAGAATACGCTTGTCTGACCGTCTGTCAAGGCGCGCTTCAGCTCCAGAAGACCATGCACAGTCAATTGGCTAGCTGACTGGTCCAAGAAATCCTTCGCCGCAGTACCTGTCAGAGTGGACAACACGAGAACAACATGTCAAAAAGACTAAATATACTTTAAAGACATGTTGCTATAAAATATCTTTTTAACCCTTTACTGTCCGATTAAAATGTATACAAGCCCACGCAACCCCAAAATCTGAAACTAAAATTAGACGTAACGTTGGTTTGAATTTGACGATTTCCACGATCTTGGGCATCCTGGAAAGGTCTTGACGAGCCGAACGCAATGAGCCCACACTCGGCGCCACAGGATGCACTGGTCCAGCGCTGCAAGCCAGGGAACGCGCAAAAGCGCTGAGCTCACGTTCGAGATCGATCTCAATCCACCATGTCACCCCTGTTGCTCGTATCGAGCTCAAATATTTTCGTAGAGACTCCCGGGAACCTACTTTTGAATTTGAATCGGTGTAGCCTTGCCAACAGGTGACGTAAACAGGGAAAATCCCAGCCGTCGACATGCGCGTCGCGCTCTGAACGCACATTTCCCGGGACCAGAATTACGAGTGCAATAACTCCGCAACCGCTCTTCGTATCGCTTCGGGAATTGTTCGAGGCGACAGCTGAGACTTTTCTCTTCGACCTACATATTTCGATCTCTCCAAAAGACCTAGATTTGAGCAAGTTACGATAATTTCAAAATGCCTACCCCATCGATCCCATTGGATCGATGCTTGTATGTACGGACAGTAAAGGGTTAAACCGTTCGCATGGCACTCAGTTAGACTGAGTTTTCCGCATTTGTAGACAGCCACCCATCCCCCCCCCCCCCCCCCCGAAGATCAAGGCGCAGATGCAGCTCCTAAAGCGGTGGGAAGCGAGTGGATCAGACCCACCAGCAAAGCGGCCAATGACCGAAAATCCCATTCACTGCATCCATGTTTCCCTCGTGCCAGGCCGTGTTACTGAAACAATTGTTAGGCATAATGGCCCAGACAAAATTTATTCTAATGAAGATATTTCTCTAGTTAAAATGCTAAACTAACTTCCTCGCTTTTATCTTCATGTCGTACAGTATGAGAATAGTGGCACTCTGGTACTACAGCAGTATGCTGTACAATTCATTTAGTGGCAACATTCTGTGGCAGGTCCAGGCGGTGCAGCAACTGACCACCCTTGTAAGTGGCACAGTATGTACTTGAGAAAGCTACTGGTAAGTGCCATCGACTTGCGACAAGTCACGCACTGCCCTATAAAGTTACATGCTCCTGATAAGCTGCGCATTTTTTTGGCAATCCAGACAGCAAGTATGTTTACTAGAATACAGTATACACAAGCCAGGCAATCACGATAACACACGCGGCATTGCCCCTACGAGCAGGTTCGCATATTATCAAGAGTAGACAGTATGATGTGATGTAAGTTTTCAGAGCTGCAAACTTTTGACACATCGCACACCCTTGGAGCATTACGTACGGTGAAAAAAATTCTTGATCTACTAAAATGAGTTGCTAAAATGCATGCTACCCAAGGGTTGGGGGCTGTAGAGGTTGTATCTTCCAATGCTTACCAATACTCCGCTGCTCCGTCCAGGCTTCCTGCTGTGCCTCTGTAGCATCCATGGGCAGGTCTTCTGTGGCTGCGATGGCCTTCTCCACCATTGTGTTGTATGTGAGCGTAGCCAGCAGATCGCTGTGAATACTGGAGCCTGGCTCCACTAGCCAACCATGGTACAGGTTGACACCGACCAGGTCAAATATGATCATCTCGGGTGTGTACTCAAACTGATCCACCCTGGGTGATTGACAGCAAACACATGGAGTGTTGCACACAACTCAGTGTCATCCATAAGCAGCCCGTAGGTCAACATGCTTCAATACAGGTGCCCAGAGTCAGACATACTGTACTCCCCAACAGCTGAACCAGTTGGTGGGAGGCCCTAATTTTATCAGGCAACCTGTTACATGCCGTGGTTGGCTATCACCCTTTATTTCACATTCATTTGTCATTGGCAGTTGTTTGACGAGCCAGAAAATGTTGAATAAATACAACAAAAATCACACCCCACTAACAAACACACATACAGTCAACTTCGCTAATAACGACTGCGGATATAACGACAATTCGTGAATAACGACAGAATTTCCATGCCCAGAGCCAAGTCCCATCCCACTGTAATACATATAATGAGACTTCGGGTATAACGACACTTTGCGAATAAGGACAACTTTTTGATGCCCCGCCGAGTGTCGTTATAAGCGAAGTTGACTGTACACAATCACCTTTCGTCTCCCAGCAACACTGCCACAAGCAAAAACAGTTCAAAACACATGCACACACGCGCGCGCGCGCGCACACACACACACACACGCAGTGCAAACATGAGCTATCACATTTACCTGCTCATCTTGACATTCATATTCAGGCCTGTCAGTAGATGCCGTGAAACAGCCATTGCGTCTTGCACATTGCGCTCGTAGTTCAGTTTCTGTGCCTCTGTCATCTCCTGATTCAGAAAAGACATGGCCAAGAAAAAAATAGTAATGCTGTAGTGGTGAAGACTGACATTCACCATCATGAACATGACTGAAACAGGGAACGGGCATGGTACTATCACATCACAGCTGGCTAGCCGCATGCACCAGCCAGTTCCATGAAAGAGGCTTAGGCTGCATGTAGGATAGAGTCTTCTTGTCCTGGTTTGCGTTGCTTGAACACCCCGGCGGGTAAGAACTGTTGTGGACATTGAAGTCCGGTGGTGGAATGACCGGGGGCACCGCCCTTGGCCTTAGTGCGTACACATACACACCCTGCCTCTCACCCCCCCCCCCCCCCCCCCCACACACACACACACAAACAGTCCAGGGTTCTAGCCAAAGGGGGGGGGGGGGGGGGCACAGCTCCCCCACCTCTGATTGAGCTGGCTTACTGCCACCAAATGTACTATACTGCAGTAAATAGCAAATACATAACAGTTGTAGCCAGTATAGTAGTACAACATGTCAGGAACGGTGGAAGCAGGTTTTGATTGATTGGTCCGGCCATACCATAGTCCTTCATACAGTTTCTGTATAGCCTGGGTTACTTTCGACGGAACACTGATGGTACAGGGTGTAAGGGCCTGTCAGGAAGGCTGGGGTGAGCTGTAAAATCCTTTACGATTCGAATGACACGACATGCTGCAGCTGTTGCGATGTTCAACGTCGAATGGCGCAAGTCATAAGGCATGGTCCGCGACGGGGTGACTTTCGGACCTAATTTCTTGTTTCCAGGCCTTCTTTTCAATTATTTCTCCTTGAATGAAGCGGAATCAAGTTCACAATACCAGTTTTTCATGAAGACCAAAAAAGTAGCCCCAAAAGTGGTGCCATTCTAATAATAGCCCCAGGAAATAATAAAACAGTTTGTCCGTCACACTCCTGGACTATCCCTAAATACAGGAAGTGACATGAAATCTTATCTTGCTAAAATTCAACTCAAGTCATGTTAACCATTCTGCAAGTTATCATGGGAAGCGTAGTGTTCCAAGTGCAAACAATTTCCACGTACGAACCGGGAGTAGTCGGCGCATGATGCCGTCTAATGTTCACACTCAAAGTGCAGCCGTTTTGTACGCTTGCGTCCCGACTACAGTATGAAAATTGAACTGATTGAACTCATCCCGTCGCTTCCCGATCTGTACGGTAGTACGGTTGCGTTCCCGTTCCTGGTGTTCACATTGGACGCCGTCAGACTGTCCTGTCGATCCTTACGCCGCGTCCCGTCGAATATGAACTAGGCTTATGATATGGCGGGTACACATGACCTCCTCAGTAATATACATGGGTTGGCGGTCAAACAGCTGGTCCAGCCATAGCCTGACAAACAGGGTGGGTTTCGCCGCTTCTGCAATGCGCCAGTACGCAACATTCCAATGGGCGCTTTCGATTACACATTTGAACCCCAGTTGTATAATTCTCGAATGAACGTATTGCGACCATGTAAACGAATGACTACACGTAAAATCGTAAAAGGGGATCATGTGGGATCCCGTGCACCCTCGCACACACGTGGACCTAGCATGGGGTTAACGTCGAGTGCGTCAATTCTGGAAATAGCAATTCTGAAATTAGCAATTCCGTCGTCTCTTCAGAATTGACGGAATAGGAAGCGACGACGGAATTTGTGTAATCGAACGGTGCATCCACCATAACTAAATCTAGAATTGACCGAAATGTGTGTATCGAACGCGCCCAATGACTATGTCCCCAGTCCTGACGTCATGATGCCCGCACAAGAATGTTCAACGTCATCATGGTAAAAAAATCCACCAGGGAATGGAATTCGAAGGGAATGGAATTCGAAAACATAGAAATGGAATTGTATTACCCCCGGTCCAGGACCCCTGAAATCCACAATGTACAAATACGACCGGACAAGCTCCATATACGTACCTGCGGCTGATTCTCAAGTAAATAGGCGAACAAAGTTTCGATCAGTTGCTGGCCAGAAATAGACATCTTCCCAGGCGTTAGCCGCATTCTCCGTGACAAACATAAAGCATTGATAAGAGCTAGAAGTGGACAGGGTCCGTTTTCATTCTGCGTCACAATGGGGATGCTCAAGTCCTCCTTTTCCAGGTATAGCCACTTTATTTTATGGAATGAACACGTCGCCATATTCACGTCCATTCCCTCCTCACCCACTGCTGACGCAATTGCAGTTGCTGTGGCGAGGTCAATCTCATCATCTCCTGGAACGCGGCTTGCCGACATTTTAAATATAATGCAAGTTACCGGTACATTGACTAGTATGCACCAGTATCCAATAAGATGATAATTCAGCCCCGAAGTAGTTGCTGGACAAACTGCTTGGACGGCGTTCGACTGTCACTGCGAGGCCAGGACTTTTGACGAGGGAATTTGTTCGTGTTGATCGACCACTGAGCACGTACTGCATGCCTGCTATGCATGCATGCTGCCACTCACACTGCACGTCATGAATGACGTCATCTGACCTGAACCGCGCGCGCGGCGCGCTTAGCCGCGCTATATCGCTAGCGCTAACCAGTGCCCAGTGGCAGCTAGATGCTAGATCCTGTTTGATGATCCGCTAGCGCTGGCTAGTTAGGCTACGGTACGTAGATCTACTATACTACACACTCCTTTTATGGTACGGGATGTGTACGGGATGCCTCGCCTGTACCGTATTGTGATTTGTGTACATAGTTTTTTTGTAGTGTACAATGACCACGTCGCCGGGTGCCTCTCAACTCCAGCAAGATCAAACCTGGTTTTCATGTACTCTTGATATCAGACTCATCAGAGACGCACGTGCAGTCTGCCCAGATCAGCCAGGACTTTTCGCGGGACTCCCTCCCACTAGGCCACTGAGCAGCGATCGCTTTCACGCATTGTGAAAGGCAACGCTTCAGGATGGCTCTTTCTCCCTTTACGTCAAGAAGGTTACGACATCATCGCCGGTCTGTACAGTTCCGGGATCAGCTCGCCTGCATCAGATATGGACGCGAGCCCATGCATCTTCCTGCTGAGTGCGATGGTTGCGGCGCTCGTTTCACCCTGCAGCATGGGTTGGATTGCCACAAGGGTGGCCTGGTGAAGAAAGGGCATAATGACATCCGTGAGTCACTCAGATCCCTCGATTTAGGCTAAGGCCTGTGGAGAATCCATAAAATAATATTAAATACAAATACAAAATACAGATACCAGACTCGCCCAGGTAACGTTTGGTGGTGTCCGGGCCATGTTGAGTCTGTTCTCGTTCCGGAGGATGGTCGGAACAACCTGCAAGCTGATTGGTCAGCCCGGGGTGTCTGGGAAGGTAGCCGGGTGGCAGTTGCATTGTTCGACAACCGCATCGTTGCTGCTGATGCACCCAGCTACCCGGCCGGTCATCTTGGGAAACCGTCGCTCGGAAAGCAGCAGAAAGCAAGAAGAAGAAGTATGGCCAGGTGAGTGAGGAGTTGCGTGCATCATTTACTCCTCTTGTTTGCTCCACCGATGCCATACTTCATTGCGAGTATGCTGCCTACCAGCGGCGCCTGAACAGTCAGCTTGCACACAAGTGGGGGAGGTCATACGCGTCTGTGATGGCATGGGTTCGTATCCGCACCCAGTTCGCAATCTTTCGTGCTGTCGACCTTCGGCTGCATGGATCTCGCCATGGACTCATTGGTTTGTCCCTCCATGACGGGGTGGGCATCGGAGTTGGGCACTGATTGGGATACTGACTGTCAGTCTGTCACTCAATGAATGGTTTTGAACTACATGTATATGCAATCTTTTCAGGCAGTTTTTCTTTCCGGTACAACCGTCACTGTTCGCTCTTTTACAAAACATATTTTTAGTTTTGACATAGTTTTGACATCCATGTGTACATGATTGTGCAACATTATTTTTGAGTTTTGCCCGTACTCGTACAACTACAAGAGGCTTTTTTCTCTCTCTCTCTCTTTTCATTTTTGTAGTGTACAATCATGTACACTAGTACTAGCAAGAGTACATAACCCCTTTTGTACACTTGGCCGACTAGTAGTAGTGTTTGTCGCCGTATTGTCTCTCTACATATTGTCTCTCTCTCTCTCATCTGAAAAATGGAAAAAAATGGGGAGAGGAGGGGAAGATGAAGCATGGGAAGAGGGAAACAAGTAGGTCTACCTAAAGATCGAGGTATAACAGCAGGAAAGAAATGAACAAGAGAAGAAATTACCTCCAATCATGCTCGCATCTCACCCCAACTGCTGTCACAGAATCGACACGAGTCATCAACCTCTCTTGGAAGACTGGTCTTTGTCCCAAAGTGTCGGGAGGTCCAGCCAACTCTTGCCCATGCCGAAGAGCAAACCAGGAGCCTATCGCGATCAGCCTGACGAATGCCTTGGGGAGGGTAGCTGACCGCGTGATCACCAGGCGGCTCCGGCACGCGTTTCCTTGAACAGGCGCACGCTATTCCAGCAGTACAAGCTGGATTCCGCCGGGCTATGTCCGCCGAGATGCAATGCTGCTCCTTCGTGGAGTGGATCTCACAACAACAGCAGCTTGGCAACAGTGTGAACAGTGTGTTTCTTGATGCATCTGCGGCTTATGAAAATGTCCACCATGATATCCTCTTATCCCACCTTCGTGCACTCGATCCTCCAGCGCACCTGCTCCGATAGATCAACTCTTTGTCCGTGGTCGCACAGTTGACACGAAATGGGGATCTTCCGAATCAGTAAAAAAAAAGCACAACAGATCGTGGCGTACCCCAAGGTGCTTCCCCCTCACCTGTCCTGTGGGTAATCTACATCCCGCCTACCTTCGACCGCTTTCAGCTATCAACGCCATCTGCAGATTTCATGCCATTCCTCTATGCTGACGGCATTGCTGTGACGAGTAAACAGAACGGGTCCGCCTACAGTCAGTTATGCAGCAGCTGCTGGATCATGTTGCTGAGTTCTGCCGCCAGAGCTGTATCTCCCAGTAAATCCGTCCAGGTAGTCATGTCTACCTCATCCTGTATCCGCGATTCTTCTATCCCTCAGTCTCTGTTCGGGACAGCTGTGCCCTCTGCCACCTCTGCTCGGTTTCTGGGCATTCTGGTGAACTCCAGTATGAATTATGCTGAACAGTGTCTTGCTGCTCGACAAAGAATCCAACAGCGCCTCCGTATCGTCCAGGCAACATGCTCCACCGCCTGGGGTTTAGACCAGCAAAGTTCTAACCGGCTGGTTAGTCAGTATGTCCTGTCGTCTGGGTTGTGCGCAGCGCCCGCGTACTTTGGCCTCGCCACGCAACAAGGACAACACCATCTTCAGGTGGCCTACAACCACTGAATGCCTACGTGTGGTGACTGGGTGCACCCAATCCACACCAATCAGTCTCCTCCATGAATGTGCTGCCGGGTGCCCCCACTCTCACTACCCGCATCTCGCACCAAGCCAGCAACATCGCCAATACTGCCAAGCGACACCCCACTCCAACTCCATCTAGCCACGTTCTCGCATCAAACTCCTCCCAAGCAGCGCATCCGCCTGAAGAAGACCACATGGCGTCAGATGGCAGAACAGCATCTACCACAGGCACGCTTAGAAATTCTGTCCCAGAGATAGCCCTTTCCCAAAGATGCCATAATTTTTCGCAAATGCTTTTCGCAACCGTGCCAAAACAAGTGCTAGTTGCTGAAATCGAATCCATATTTTCAGAAAAAGCTCAAAAGTAATAGTTGCTAATATCGCAACCGGAGAGTTCTTGTGCAAAAACCTACAAAAAAAGGGACCTAGCAGAAATAGCAGAAGTGCATCGACAGCAAACTCGTAGATCTACACCCCTTCCTGCTGTGAACCACCACTTCTCTTTACACAGTGCCAGTAGCCTGTTGCATGTATCCTACATGTACATCATTCCAGTGCAAAGCAAAGGGAACTATTACTTCAGTGCACATTATCACAACTACCGTTGATCTACTGTTTCTCTGAAATCAGTCTGAAGCAGTGAAGGCAGGCGAGAAATGAGCGAGTACGAGTATGCATTTGTCCAACATGTAGGTCTACTAGTAGTCTAGTGACTCTAGTCGGTGAGTCGGTGACTTGACCTTTTGACCCCATGCCATGTCGCCAATTGCGCTAAGGTTGCGGAAAGTTGCGAAATAGTTCGCGAAAATGAAGAAAGTTGCGAAGGTTGCGATTTCTTCCTAAACAACGAAAAGTTGCGAAAAAAGTGGCGAGCATCTTTGGGAAAGGGCTATACCCAGAGAGCACCCACCTCCTTGGAAGTACATCACGGATATGTGTCTGTTCACAAGTCAGCCTGCTCCAGGTGTGATGAACCACGTGCCATGTTCATTCAGTGCTGCAATGGAATGCCTCGACGATGTGTATCGGATGTGTCAAGCCCCGCGCCGACTGGTGATCTGGACAGACGGCAGTGTTACCGAAGATGGAGTTGGCGGAGGTGGCTTTTTTTTATCGAAGAGCACTGTAGCAATGCTGTTGAAGCTAGAGAGGTCAAATGTGGCAGCGTACCCGCTGGAAAGATCGCTACCTCGTTTACAGCGGAGGCCGCTGAGCAGCGGCTACAGTGGCCCTTCAAGCAGCACTCCCATTGGTCAACGTTGATACAGAGATCGTCCTCATTATGGACAGCAGGTCACTCCTGGAAGGCGTTGTGGGTGATCCATACCATTTTGAGCCCCGATGTGACCTCATCATACTCCGCATTATCCGATGTTGCGGAACAGTCCAGATCTGCTCATGTGGTGTGGGTCAGCAGTGGCATCAAGGGCAACAACACGGCAGATCCGAATCAGCTGGGGTGAGATGGTGACCAGGATAACATTGACCTGCCTGTTCAAGCAGCCCCGTAAGTCATTCATCCGCAATGTCACTGCCTGCCCGGGACCACTTCTTGAGCTCAAGAAGCTTGGCCCAGACAACACTGGGCGCAAAACTAAGTCTACACTTAACCAGCTCCTCACTGGACACAGCAGTCTCCTTAATGAGTACCTCCATCGAATCTCGGCACGACCCTCTTGCACCAGACTGCGAATGGTGTGTAGGGACTCGGCTGAGAACGCCGACCACCTACTGCTCAAACTGTGTCCGTTCTGGAAGAGCAGCAGAGATCTCTCGAATTTGGCTGTGTTCACAGATGTACGAGAAGCCATCCTCTCCGAGCCATGCCTGGTCGTTCAGTTTCTGCAATTGGAAGGACTGCTTTAAGTCCTTGCCAAGACTTTATACTAGTAATCAGCGAATGGATTGGACACAAACTATTTGAAGCTTAGCTCCCGTACAGGCGCTAGGCCTCTAGTATCATAGTTATTTTACCGTAACGGCACGTTCTACTGTTTCGGTTGAGCAAGAATCAGATATTTTAGCATCCTTTCAATTGTCTCTATTTCTAGCATCTTTGTTTTGATACCGAAGAAGAAGGAGAAGAATTATGCCAATGATGGTGCTATCATGTGACTATGCTGCGGTACATGTATGGTGAACTCAATAAAAACAGCCCTTGGCAGATTATGCTCGGTAAATTGCTGAATTATGCTTTCCATAATGCCCAAATTATGCCAGTGATTATGCTACCTATGATGGTGCAGCTATACTGTTACACTGTATCCGCCAAGCTTGCAAGGGCTATACCATACATGTAACAAAAAAGTGTTCATGCACTCTTTGAGTCTTGGACTTGGTACCAATACTGGCAATACATGTACCATGTACCGGTATCTGTATGAGCAGGAGATCACCAAATAGGGCATGTGTTGCCAACGGTTCCAAAACTGCCTGCAGCCCTCGGATCGCGGAAATGTGGGCCCGACACCATTCCGATGGCCACCTACAATCTGGCCGGTACGCGGTTGGTAGAGACCCCTGACCCACCCATGCCATGGGGTCCGGCGATTTCGCGGTTACATCAGCTACATGTACATAGTACATAGTACCAAGAGTACATAACCGGGTTAACCGGGTTATGTACTCTTGATAGTACATATGCGGCAATATGCAATGAACTCGTAAAAAGCAGGGAGTAGTACATGTATACAATACTAATCAATACCCCCTGGTAAAAAGCAAAGGAAGAAAGGGTCGTTGTTGGGTGTGTACGGTAAGGACGCTGTACGGTACTGTCGGTAGGCTAAGGTCGGTGCATGCATATCGCGCATTCCACTTTGATAAGTACAACAAGTGGTAGAGAAGAGGTCGAGGTGCAGGTTACAACAAACGGTTTCCATACGAAAGCCACTTCGGCAACTTCGGAAATATGAGAGTCTTCTCAGGAAATTGAAGGCCAATTGGTGGCCTCCAAATCTGCGGATATGGACAGGCAGAGGTCGATGCGTCTGCAGTAAAAGCATTGTTAGTTTCGGTCAATGTTCCCAAAGAACCTAAGAACCCGCCTAAGATCATTGGAATAGCATTTTACCAAGAGTACTCTTCATTTTACTAATACCTAATATTTTATTTACCAACTCCTGTGGAATGGACATCTGCATCTAGTATCTGAAGTCTAGAAACTTCTCCCAAACTTGGTCGGCCAAATTGTTCACGGATGAGGAGAGAAACTCTGGCTACAGCATTGCGGCTTTTGATGGCACGTTTCTAACACTTATCGTATGTTTGGCGGCCCGGAAAACATTGAGCCATGATCGAGAAGGATGACGTTCTGCTGTGGTTCAAAGCCTCATGTGGAAGTAGCCGAGTAAATGTGTTTTGTGGAATGCTGAAATGCTGCACGGCACTAGAACTGCGATACTTCCTCACTCTGCTGGAGGGTATGCTCAAGGAAGTCGAGCATCCTCTGAAGCATGCAGAAAACGAAATAAATAAGTTCATCAAGCCAGCTTCAGATGTCACTTCGTCATTGGACTTATCCCAAGTGAAGGATAGGAGTAACTGTCTGGCATTGTTAGCCTTCCTAAAATCTTCAGATCATAGAATGGCTAGTGATCTGCTTTACCCAGCATTGACCACCATTGACGAAGAAGGCGTCAAAGATGAAAGCGTTCGAGAAGAGCTCTTGCTAATGCTTTACATGGCTGCAAACCACCCTGCTTTTTCCTTTGCTGAAAGAAAGAATCTCTGGGAGAGGATTGACACAGCATGCAAAGCCCTGTCTGCAGGACAAGGAGTTATCCCTGTCGCAAGCCTGGATCCGGCAGCGGAAGAGGTCAGTGCAAGATACATTTTGTGTAAACTGGGATGGTATTATTATTATGAAAAGACCCAAAGGCAATGTGCCTATCGAGGGTATGGCTCTAGGTTGAAGGACTGTGCTACAGCCCTTTGGCCAGCGATAGAACCTTCGAGTAAGGGTAAGATCATATCTTACTAGCAAAGTGCAGGAAGTCTAACCAAGGCCAAAGCCAAGTAAGCATCCAAATACAGTTGAAGTCGAGTTATCCGGCATGCCGGTCATCCAACAGAGCACTGGCAGATCATAGACTGTACATGTATATTTATACTAAACTACAGCCCTGCTTGAAGTAAATGTGGACGGTGAGCAACATGAATGTTGCCTTTATGCAATGTCACGTACAGGTCTGTCTATAGTTGAGTTGAGCACGGCGACAGTCTCTGGATAATACCAGTAACAAAACCATGACATACAGGTCAAATCATGCTCTACGGTCCGTTTGATGTGTGAACGCAAGATAGCTGTGCAGCTCCAGTTATCGAGAACAGGGTTCTAACCAGGTCAAAATTGTAGGGGGGGGGGGGGGGGGCAGGGAAACAGTTACCCCTTAACCCGTTTTTCCATTTTGCGAAAGTGTCTTGCCATGCAATGCCGTACTCGCACGATTAGAGCCCTCTTTGCAGCAGCAATGTTGTGCATCCCATCATACCACGCACACAGAAAAAACACACACACCTTTGAACTTTTGACGCCCATCGCCAGAGGCGATGATAGCAATGCTACAGCAGAAGCCATAGCAACTTGTGCTGGGATTGCACCATTCAACAGCTTGCAAGGCTGAAGAATTGACCGCCACTATTCAGTATTCAGCCTGGTCTACACACACGCACGCACACGCACGCACACACACACACACACACACACACACACACACACACACACACACACACACACACAGAAACACAGAAACACAGAAACACAGAAACACAGAAAAAAACACATCTCGAATAGTGCCCCCCCCCCCCCCCCGGCCTTGTAACCAAGCACATGTGCAAGTTTGATGTTCTTTTGCTAATGATCTTGTCCATGTCATTGCACTGGTGGTTTCAGGATCATGATCGCTGTTCCTGTTGCCGTTTCTGTTGAGTCGTGATAGTTTACAGCAAACTTTAGGCTCTGTGTTTCTTTGTTTTATGCTGGATGATGCAAATTCACCAGCATTGAAAAATAGTACCCTCTCTTGATTAGTGCCCCATCTGTGATGCACATTGAAAAATAGTGCCCCAGGGACACTAATCGCACGAGTACGGTGTGCAAAATACAGGAGCGAACCCCGACTTCATCCCAGACAAGTGTGCCTTTCTGACGCCTCTTTACGACTATCGACTACATTTTTGTTGAATTTCCTTGAAAACACAAAAATCGACAAATGAGTACAGCAGGGGGCGCCACATTGTCACAGGGGGGGGGGGGGGGGGGGGGGGCTCATCGCTACAATTGCATGCTTATTGATGGGCTTCCTGCACTACTTCTTACTAGTATGACTGTCTCTTTCACCCCCCCCCCCCAAAACCTAATTCAAATGGAAATCCTCTTACACCTTTTCTTCTCGTCTCTTTTGTGCCAGCTCAATGATGTATTACATCTTCTTGCTGTTCTTGCTCTCTGCCCTTCTAGAAGTCTCTTGAGACAGGAACAGAAAGTACTAGTCCTATGGTGGACAATGGCTGGGAAGATGACACCAGCAGCACGAATTGGGCTGACTGTGGTGAGATGGCGCTGCATACTTTGCTGCACCTTGCTGTTCTTTGGTTTGAAAAACTGTGTTTTTGGTTGCTGATGCAGGAGTCTTTGAGAGCGTATCTGCCAGCCTACAAGCATACCTGCCAAGTATCCCGATTTTTTCGGGATTTATAATATCCCGCGTTTTTGGATGACCTCCCGAAATCCCGAAATCCTTCTCAAATATCCCGAAAAGTTCAAAAACGGGGTGAACTGCAGTTTTGACGATTTCCTGGCATACTGCATGCAGTCCAGGAAGGATCTCAGCCACAACACTGAAAAGGAATGGTTACGCACAGTTTGTCCTGGTGGCGATGTGGAAGTTTTTTTTGTCTCTGAAAGACTTATGGTACATGTACATGTACATGTGATTGTATAACCTGACATTGTGTAAAATGGATCTTTTACATCATTATTTAATCAATGACGTCACCATGAAAAGTTGAAAATGAATGAATTATGGGAAAATTGACGTATCCCGAAAAAAGAGAGGCAAATCCCGGGCTTTTGCATTGACGATCCAGGAAAGCACCATCTACGTCTATACTTGGCAGGTATGTACAAGTACTTTGACACACAACAAATCTGCATGATAAGGAGTGATCCTGTATGTCATGAAAAACTGATGTTACACTCACAATCTCACTGTTTTACAATGTGCATGATTCTGAACACCCAATGGACGCCATGATTAAGCTGTACGCGAAGTCTGGAATGTTTGCTGACATAATAAATACGCAATTATACTTAGAAGTTAGACTTGGGTGGAGAGCCAAAAATTAATTTATAAGAAGAAAAGAGGACCAAAGAGCTACAAGTTATGCTATATTATCCACTAACACCAAGAGTAGATAAACAAGAGTGTGCAACTTGCGGATGGGTAGGCCCATGGCGGAATTTTTTGTTGACGTAATCTTTTCGACGACGCACGCGCTGCGAGTCTTTCGGAAAGTCTTCCCTCGTGCTCTTGGCCGGGCTTTGCACTACAAGGTCGGTGCCCAGCACGTGCTCTCACACTGCTCTGCGGCAAAATGCGCGTTTCTCTGAAAAAAGGTGACGTCAACAAAAAATTCCGCCGCGGGGGGGGGGGGGGGTATCTGCAGATCCGGAGTTGCACACTCTTGTTTATCTACTCTTGCTAACACTGATTGTAAAGTAACTGGTGGTGTTAGTGGATAATATAGCGTAACTTGTAGCCCTTTGGTCCTCTTTTCTTCTTATACTTAGAAGTAGGACACACTTCAGGCTCTTGAACACTTTGATAGTTTTCACTAGTATACTTTCATGCCTTATCATCAGGTGAAATACAAGCAAAATCAAATGAACATGGACAATGGATTAAATGCAGCAGAGAGGCGATAGCAACAGCGCAAGGAAGAAGAGAGATACTAATATTCATGTGCTTATAAATGTGCTCACAACCATCTATGTACTTCAATTGTAATTGTCATGCCTTACCGCTGTGCACCCATAGATGACGTCATTCCGGAGACAATTGTGGTGACTGGATGCCAGAAGTGTAGTGGAAGTGGTCCTTTTGATGCCTATCGCTTTGATTACTCATTTGAAGTAAGTAGTTGCATGTGCTAGCCTCCTTGTTTTCAGACACCTGTGGCAAACATCGTGTTAGGAGTAGGGCTGTGTGTCAAGTAGCATTTTTCAGGTACTAGTATCTGGTTCAGGTAATAATATTATGGTTACCCATTTTGGTGATATTGCTATGGAAACGCCCTTGTCTCATGGCATGTACTTGTATCTTTTTCTTTTCTTTACCGACCGCAGGTAACTTGGTCTGATGGTGGATTCAACCGGTGTAGCAGAAGTTACACCGACCTCATCCTTTTCCAAAATAAAGTAAGGAAAGTAGATGAAATACTAAGTGTCCATGTTGGTACTCGTTCTGGAAGTGACTTTAATTCTTGTACTTCGAAGTAGGTAATTTAGATTGCATTCACAGGACTACACAGAGCAACAGCTCCTAGGCTTTGCATCGTATCTGCTCCAATCTATGGAAGCGCCGCAAAGAAGCAGGAACAAACTGTTCTCCACCTTTCTCCGACTCTCTTTTTTCCTAGAGAATTAAAAAAAAGATGCACCCCAAGTATGATACTGTAATAGAGGATCCGTTGGACGTAAGAGTCGGCCGTAAATAATTATAACGGTTTTTAAACCAAATCATGAAGACACTTCCTTTATTACCAAACGTTTTCTTTCCCTTCTCTTCAGGATAGTACAGGGAATGGTGGAAATTTTGAAAGACACATTACTACATGTAATTATAGTTATTGTGTCTTTCAAAATTTCCACCATTCCCTATACTTTCCTGAGGAGAAGGGAAAGAAAACGTTTAGGTAAAGGAAGTGTCTTCTTGATGGTGTGGACTTGTGTCTTTGCATGCGAAGTTGTTGATTGCGAAATTAGTTTGACCGCCTCCAAATAATAATATTAGAGAGGTTCCGCACTACGTAAAGTTGAGCAACTTTACGTTAGTGGGCGGGAAAAACCCGTGAATTCGCGAGTTTGCACTCCACTTACGGAAAGTTGTCTACGGAGAGTACGTAGATAGGGCTCTGATAACGTAGCTGGTCCGTAAGTGGATTGGGTACAAATTTATGACTCTCCCCAGGTCGATCTGGTCGTACACTGCCGCATTCGGAGTTGCCAAGGGCAGCTACGTGATTTGAAAACTCGGTATGGCGGAACCCAGATGCGCATGCAGTTTCCGTAAGACTTTCCGTAGATCGACTACGTTTTTTACTAACGTAATTACGTTATGCGGAACCTCTCTAATAATGACAGTTCGCATATCACTCATTGCATGAGGTCAACGCATCTGTTGACAATTTCGAGCCAAGCAGCTCTATCAGAAGCAGATTGCACAGCATGCAGAAGCGAGAGATTAATGCATTGTAAGTCGTTCTTGACGACGTCGATCCATCTCAGACGTGGTCGACCGCCTCCAAACTACCGTTTTAAATAAAATATGTTGTACTATATGTGCTCTTTGCTTCATCAGTGGGCTGTCAGCATGTCGATGTGCTCTGAATGCAGTGCTCATCATGTATGTGTATTCGTTAGAGCAGGAGTGCATAACCCCCAAGAGTGTGCAATTTCAGCTATGGGGTCTGCGATGGCAGAACTTCGCATCACGTGACGGACCCGTACACATTATTTGTGTCCTGTGCATGTCATGATAGGTACAGGGTTGTACCAAGAGTACATTAAGCCTAGTTCACATTCGACACAACGCTGACGGTATGGGACGTAAGGGCCTGTCGGGAAGGTGGGGTGAGCTGTAAAATCTTGTACGATTCGTATGACACGACATGCTGCAGTCGTTGCGTCGTTCAACAGCGAACGGCGCCAGTCATAAGGCACGGTCCGTGACAGGGTGAGTCAGACTTTTGGGCCTAATTTCTTGTTTTTCGGGACTTCTTTTCAACTATTTCTCTTTGAATGAACTGGAATCAAGTTCATAAAACCAGTTTTTCATGAAGACCAAAAAGTAGCTTTGAAAGGTGTGCCATTCAAATAATAGCTCCAGGAAATGATAAAACAGTTCGTCTGTCACGCTCCTGAACTATGCCTAAATACCATACGTGACATCAGACCTTATCTTGCTAAAATTCAACTCAAGTCGTGTTAGCCATTCTGCGAGTTATCATGGGAAGCGCAGTGTTGGAAATGCTAAAATTTCCAAGTACGGATCGGAAGCAGTCGGCGCACGACGCCGTCTCCTGTTCACACTCAAAATGCAGCTGTTTTGTACGCTTGCGTCCCCGTCTACGCCCGTCTACGGTATGAAAAGTTAGATCGATCCAACTCTTCCCGTCACTTCTCGATCCGTACGGCAGTACGGTTGCGTTCCCATTCCTGGTGTTCACATTGGACGCCGTCAGACTGTCCCGTCGCTTCCCGTCGATCCTTACGTCGCGTCCCGTCGCGCCCCGTCGAATGTGAACTAGGCTTAACCCCCTCTTGGTTGTACGCAACGAAGCTTTGGGTTCAACTCTCTTGTGGTCACTATGTACTATGCACTGTTAGCCTGAGTAACCTTTTGAACCATGTCACGTGATGTGAAATTCTGCCATCGCAGCACTGTATAGAGGTCGTGGAGGCAGTTGCACACTCTTGGGGGTTATGTGAGTTCCTCTTGGTTAGAGGGAGGGTATGAGGAGACTTTACGATAACATTTCGTTAAAAAAATATTTGCACTCGACTCACGGATGGCCCAAACAGGTTTCCTTTCAACTTCAGTACTTTGTGGGACTTCTTGTTTCAAGGCAAACACTGTGAAATTCAACCTGTCCTATAAGTAGGCACTGGCTTTCTCAGCATGTTTCTTTTGTAGACTTGTTCAGTGATGTGGTGATGTTTAATAACTTGTCGATATCATGCTCAAGGAACGGGTTTTCAATCTTGCCATTAAATATAAGCACCATTTTATAGCCACGATGAAAACGTTTACTGACAGTTTCATGCTTCTATTATTAAATTTTCCTCTGGCTGCTGCAGCTTCACAATGAAAATGAGGATGCGATGCAGAAAGTTCCACGCCTTTCAAGTGAGTGCTGTTTTGACTTGTTGAGATGTTGCAAACTCAAAGCAATATGTTGCAATATGTTGCAATTTGTTGTGTTCTTTTTGCCAAGCAGAGGTCTAGGCATTGTTAGTGTTGTTGTCTCACGTTGCTACCATGCCAGTCAGGTTGCACCAGAAACCCCCTTCCTTACCTTGGTGCTGAACTTATTCATACTCCAAAGCAGTGCTATCCAGCTACTGTCAACATAGGCTTCTCAACTACCGTATTACAGTCAGACCTCGCATAACCGCACACATCCGTTTTCCACAAAAATATCCGGATAGGCGAGGGAACCGGATAATCGAACACACATACTGTATGTATGCATGGCATATGCTGTAAATCGGTAACCAACGATTTTCTTCCGGATGGCGAGGGGTCCGGATAAAAGAGGACCGGATAAGCGAGGTCTGACTGTATCTCTCTTATAAACACAGGTCTCCATTATAAGCACAGGTCGGAGGGCTGTTGAGATACAAACGCACAGTCTCCAACATAGTCACAGTGATAATACTGGAATGCAGCTGTGCGCCAGTCATACAGTCATATAAAACATAAAAGTGCTCCACGTGCACGTGCGTGACTTCCACTTCCGCATCAATCTTTTTTCTTCTCTCTGTTCTCTAATCATGAAATCTGAGTTAAATTCCAATTTCAGTGTGTTACCGGTATGCAACTTTCTTGACTTTTTCATGGTTGAAAAAATATAAACACGGTCTCCAGTATTATCACGGTCTCCTCTATAAGCACGGGTGCGAGGTGGGTTGAAAAAATATAAGTACCGTGTTTACACACGGAAAGTTGGGTGTGGTCCTCGAAAGAGTGCTCAATGCACCGGGGCGCAGAGCTTCATACAAAAAGAATAGAATAAGATACGCCACAGGCGTGAAACTCTGAGTCACAGCCAACCCAAGCTCCGTATCCCATTCTATTCTTTTTGTAAGTACCGTGTTTATAAGGGAGATAATAGACACCCTTAGCAAAAAACGTTATGTTGTAACGGTATTATCGTAAGGGGGAAAATACCGTGATTTGGGTTCGACCTTTAGCAAGATGCACGCTATTTTTAGTACGCTGTTGCCACGAGAGTAGCTTTGATTTCGCGCGGTACAACCATTTTTGTCACCATATACGCGATACAAGGTGAAATGCGTACGGACTATGCAATATTTGGCCAAAACACGTACCGTTGGTCACAACGATAAATCAGCCCCCATAACGTTTATACGCTGCAGCTTCAACGCTATTTGGGTGATCAAGGTACGAGTACCGTAAAAAAATAGCGTTACCGTCGTTTGCTAAGGGTGTCTACTACGGTATGTTCACTACACCTACAGGAGCTACTGGAATTCCAGGTCGGATCTGTTGTCAAATTTCTGAGCTCGGTTTGGTTTTGTTGCTTCTTTCTCTCTTTTTATTCCTGGATTTCCAGGCAAACGATCATTGAACACATATGAGCAAGCAAAGAAATTGCTTCCTGAGATATCGGAGCTTGTACAGTAAGTGCAAGTATACCCAACTCTACTTGAAGCACAGTAAACTAAAAATACTTGTTTACGAATGTATGCCAGCATTTTGCCACCTTGAAACGACTACACGATTGATCAATGGATCTTCACTTCACTTCATTTGCGAAACTTTGGGAAGAGGTTGAGATTTGGACAGGGTTACCGTACTTTCCCGTGTATAAGCTGCACCCAGATTTTTTGTCACGAAACACAAACATCTACCCTGTACATCACGGTTCCTTTGACCATCTTAGTATAAGCCACATGGACTTTTTTTGGCATGCTAAGGAAGCTGAACCTTGACCAACTGAGTGTGTATTTGAATTTTGTATCTACTTGAACTGTAAGCAAATCTGATGCAAAAGCAGAGATTCACATCACATGACATGGTTCAATAGCTTCTGACAAAGAATGCAATGTGACCACCAGGGAGTTGTACAGGAACAAATTGTAGGGCGATGGTAAGGAAAACAACAGTTCACCTAATTTCCATGTTCCTCTATTGCCTTGTCGGAGAAAAATGCAATGTACGGGTGCACAGAGCACTCGGAACGATCGATTTGTGGCAGCATTTTCGCTGCATGAACTGAAAAAACACAAACGTTGAGAATGAGTGGGGGGGGGGGGGCTGCCTCCCCCCGGTCCTTAGCTAGAACCCTGCAGTGCAGCCCTCTACCTATATGAATTTCTGCTGTCGCGGAACCCAAAGAGTGGAGGTCATTTTGCTCTTGTTGTAACCAAGAGTGTGCAACTCTCGCATACAGAGCTGTCTCAGCAGAATTTCGAGTCATTTTACGATGCAATGCTCCTTGCACGAGTGATGTACACCGCTTGTACTGGGCGTCAGCACATCACATGCGTTTCCTTGCACTATTGTACAGGATCAAATGGGGATTTGTCCACCATGTATGGGCAGGATATGTCTGGTAATACCGTAAAATCCCGCCAGAGCGCCCCTACCTCCTCGATGCTTCAGGTGGGGAGGGGCGGATGGGAGAGTCCTACTTACCGCATTCAGTACTACATGAAAAAGTGCTCACCCTACGAAAACTGTTCGTGCATCTCGTACACCGTCCAAAGGTCAAGAGCTAGGAGTCGTACAGACCCGTCAAAACCCAGGGTTTGTGCGATCCCTGGTCAAGAGGGCGGGCACTGTTGCGCACATTTCCAACGGGGTCGAGCACGTGTCTGCAGTACAGTACGGCATCACAGAGTCATACGAGGATACAATCAATCACTTCCCTGACACGAAGTCAGGGAGGGGCGGATGGGAGAGACGGGGCGCTCTGGCGGGATTTTTACGGTATGTGTACAATGCGCATTGAATCATTAAAAAGTGATGTCAACTTGAAATTCCGTCGGGACAGCACCCATAGTGTAGTTGTACAATCTTGGAGGTCACGTGCTCTTGTTGTAACCTATTGAGCAATGTCATGTGGTGTGAAACTCAGCCGTTGCAGCACTGGATAGAGAAAGTGCAAGCAGTTGCACACTTGTGGGGGCTATGTACTCTTGCTTACTCTGCTTCACCTAACCACAATTCACCAGGAGACACTTCGAGAGGCACTCCCAGTACCGGTGGGTACTGGCGATGAGTGAACCAACTCTTAGCCACTTCTCCGCCTTTTGATTTGGATGCGCTGTGTGTAGGAAATTCCTGGACTTGCCACGTGATGTGCTCAGTAGTCAGCTTGTCATTGATTTCTTCAGCGCTATTGGTGTGGGCTTAGACAGCCTAGAGAGTAGTCGTAGCCTGTCAGATCTGGCAAGCTCACCTACTCGTGCGTCCAAACCTTCAATTGCTACATCCGCCTCTGGGTCTGTGGATAGTTCGACGGACATCACACCACGCTACTCACAGGATAGCTGTAAGCCCATGTGCATGCTGCCTTCTTTGCATTATACTAGTGAGCTACACACTTCATCAGGGTATCTGTCAATGTGTTTATAGCTGGTACTGTCTTCTGTAACACACTTTTCACAGGCATAGTTATTAGTGCAATTCCATTTTTGGTGGGATTTTCGTGGGATTCTGCAGAAATCTTCCTTGCCTCTAACGTTCAACGGCACTCACCTCAAATGTGTAAAACCTTTCTCCAAATGTATTTGTCATACGCTGTGTATGTGGAACAAGTTGACAGAAATTGCTCGATCTTCACATCCCTTTCTTTCGGTATTGTTTTTCTTCCTCTTTTCATAGTGTCCCCATCCAGCTCAACAGATGCTGCTAAATATCAGAATGTTTACATCACAACTACGACTTCTAATTCAGCTTCTCAATCCAATACGAACAGCCTCCCTTCTTTGAAACCCGGGTCCAGTGGTATTCCAAGTCTTCTTAATGGACCACACTCACCTATTGCCGAGGTGGATGAAAATCCTCAAAAGGACCCCCACAGCAAGATTCCTCAGAAGTCCCCTTGCTTTATTCGTCGAATCGGTGGCGGAGTTGTTTATTACGAACCCCACAAAGTCATCGCATCGGCTCCAATGGCATACTTAGAAAAATATGCGAAAATGCGAAGCAATATTTTGCCTTCCATCAAGCACAGCAAGATGGAGACCACTCCTGATGTTACCCGGCCATCTACTGCTGGCAGTAAATCAACAAGGCAGTCGTTGACGATGTCTTTCCGTGATCCACCTACACTCTGTCCATCACCGCAATCCAGGACCAGCAGCAGCAGATCAACAAACTCACCTCATGCCAGTATTCGCTCGGGTGCAATGAGTCCTCCCGGCCTTGGGTCATCCTGTGATGAAGATACTAGCTTTCGGTGCCCCAGTGGCAACGAGTCCAGCAACCGACAGCGGAGGAAGAAAACCACGCCGACGAGTCCAGCAGAGGCGTACATTCTAGGCTCTTACGGCAGTGCTGGGGATATGAAGACATTTCCCTCACTTCAGGAATGGCTGAAGGCCTTGCGGTTGCACAAGTACACTACAACGCTGGAAGACTATGACTTTGATAAGGTAAATTAGAGTGCCTGTGCGTGCGCTGCTATTTTCATACTATTTAGTACAATCAATCCGTTGTTAATCATGTCATAGAGAGAAAAAGAGAGAGAGAGTGCATGTACAGTCAGACTTCTTTAATCTGGCGGCATCCGTTTGCCAGAATTCTGCTGGGTCGGGGAAGGGTGCTGGCTTAACGGATACCAACACATACTTGGACACTCAAAACATACATCGAATACCAACACATACAATGTGCATGTACTTGGACACTCAAAACATACATCCTCACATAACACTCTCCAAGCGATCCCTGACCTACACCAATGTAGCCCAGGGACCATTTGGAGAGTGTTGTGAAGATGTATGGTCACAATGGGTGGCTACAGTGGAGTCTACGCATATTGAGAATGTATACTATTTACTGGAAAAAGTCCTGCAGGGGATGTATTACAAATGCCGGATAAAGGGGTAAAGGGGACTGGCAATGATCTGCTTCTTGAACACCCCTGCCGGAAATCGAGTCCTGGTGGTGACAGTCAATTTTTTCTTCAGACTTTTCCCTTTTTGATTCCCTCAACCAGTGAGTACTAGTATAATATGTCAGCCTTTCATGTACCTAGCCTATTAAAATGTCAGTGGATGTCAGCATTGTCTGTGTTGTGAGACAACTCTGTAGATTTCCATTTCCATTGAGGTAGGTACCGTAGTGTCTTGCACAAAAGCATACCGGTACACTGTACTAGTATCTTGAATTAAAGCCTGATTAGCTTAGCTTTTACCAATATACGCAAGTATACGGTGCATGGCAACTATTCAAAGACATCTTACCGAGACTACATTGACCAGCCCTACAAAAATGGAGTCTTTCAGTTTACAGCGAAATGGCTTTACACAAGGTGTTGGGCATTGAACTTTGACGTGAGCACTACATGTAGTGAAGTCTGGCATCCCCTACCCTTTCGATCTATGTGATTCTCAGCTGATGAGCTTGACACCGGAGGAAGTGGATGCATTGGACATGACGTCCGGTGCTCGATCCAAACTTACCACACACATGGACTGGATGAGGTAGGTACCACTGATGTACTATTCCTGTGTTGCTGTCTTGTTGCAAGAGCACTTACACCTTGCTGCACCGACAATTTCTTTCCTATTGATTTTTGCTGAGTTGTAATCTTTCTTACTTCAAGTATTTCATTTGCACGTAGGATTCGGTGCTCAATCTGCAGGCAGTGCTGTTTCATCCTTTCAGGACCCATTAGCACAGCAGAAACAACTCCCTGGAGGCATTAAATTTAAGAAGACGTCAAAGATAGCAAGAATGAAGAAGTGTATTTGTGGACCAGCAGTTGCTGCATCCGTTCAGCACGCACAGAAGAAAGGTTTTGTTGGATTCGACATTGTTCTTAGAACAAGAAGGTTATTTTATAGAGGAATTGCGCGCACATTGCGCTGACAGGCTGTAGCCTAACAGTAAGCTGGCACATAACAGCTGTGATGCAGCACTCGCAGTCACTCTGTTACAGTTGCAGCCTTTCCTCTTCGTCTTTGTTATGTTGTTCTGTTATCTTGTATGAACAAGGACAAAAGACAAAGGAAACTAATAAAACTACAAGGATAAGCGTTGGTACAAAAGAAGGCAGTACAGAGACGGGGGTCCCGAGAGTGTCCAGATGCATACGCATAGAATCCTAGTTAGGTAATACACGGATATGTGCAAGGCACGCATAAGGAACGTAGTGCGTGCAGGGTACAACAAGCATGCATATATAAGACATGTGAGTTACATACATAGAACACAGTAGACGCAGCACAGAGCAGGGGAGCATCATACATGGACAGGGCAGTCCATAAGAGTGCATACATAAATACGGCAGTGCATACACATCAGTCTTCGCATCTGTGTCTGTCTACCTGTCTGCGTTTGTGTGTGTGTGGCTGTTGTCAATTCTGCAGGAAAAATGGATGCAGTGAGTTTGCCTTGTCCAGCAAAATTTGCGATGGTGGAAAAAAGGTACATGTATTGTGTTATTTGCTCAGACAAAAAACTTTGCACTGCTAATAGTTTGCTAGTCACTAGGGCTGAAACGATTATACATGCCGGTTATTTGAGTAATCGATCATTATGACGAAGCGATCTAACCCATGGAAGGCTGTATGTAGCAACCACCTTTGTCGCAAATTTTGAACAGCAACAGGTGAATTCGCCATGCACAGAATCATTGTACTCTACTTGACTGCATATTGATGTGTGGGATAGCCGAGTGAGATATGTGCAGCCAGAATGCTTGTTTCACAATCTTGGAACAAACATTGATGATCGAAACTATATTCAATAATCGGCTCCTTACAAGGATAGCGATACACAAAATCGGTGATCGTTTCACCCCTACTAGTCACAGTATGAATGCTCGTCAGTATGTTTAAGTCGATTGTTGGCCCACGCCACGATCAATCATCAATAACGCTGTTCACCACCAGACTTGTGAAATGCTGCATGACGGGTTTAATTTGTCCTTGAAGCAGGCGAGTTGGCTATCAGACTTGCTGCCAATATCGTTGTGCTCCCTTGAACCAGGTTGACACGTCAGAGAGATTAACCCATGTCTTGAGATGTCATGCATACCCGTGCTGTTCATGCAGAAGACCACATCCTTTGTGTCATGAAGGTAGTGGTGTTCTACCGCCTGCAGAACAACCTATGTGTCTGGAATGCATGACATTAATTTTTGAAGTTTTACATTTTTTATTGCAGAGTCGGTCTCAGTCACGGACCAGCTCATTTGCCAGTCTTGACCGCATGGACGTTGGATCAGGCCAACCCAGTAGGAGATCCACTAGCGATTTCCCATCGATGCAGTCGAGTGTTTCACCAACTGCCTCGACATGGTCATTGCCAGATGCACTACCAGTAAGAGTTCTCGATTTATCGCCACTGTGCAACGTTCTCTCTTTGTATGAGATAGGAATTTGTCTTTTATATCACCCTGATAACACCATGAAAGCCATGGACTGCAACTGGCAGCCTGGCATTATACTCTTCAGACTCAGCAGCACCTTAGCTTTACTTTACACTGTAATGTCCAGAATGACGTGAACAGTGAAATCCACTTTACCTAATATGGGGTCGTAATTTGTAACAGTCTATGACAGCCTCGTGTAAGGCCACACGTTTTTATTTCTATGTTTCTCGTCACCTGAAAATCTAAAAACGCATGCGAGAGGTGGAAAAAAAATTAAAAAATGACCAAAAAAAGTTTACTAGACCTTTGTTCAAACGGAAATCCTCCAATACACCATGCAAAATAGCATCCATAGTTAGCAACTAGTATGTGGTAGGAGCTTCTGTCACAATCTGTGCATGTGCAGCTAGATTGCGCACAAAAAAATGCCGACCTCGCATCATGTGTCGCGCAGGCTAGGCCACATATGTACATGTGCATGAGTGTGCTGATCCCCACATGCACAGTCAGTGCAGCACAGTTTTTTTTCTTTTTTTCTTCCAGACTCCTGAATCGTATGCGCGCGGGTGACGAGAAACATAGAAATAAAAAATTGTGGCCTAAGAGAGAGTGCTTCATGTGGAACTCTCCCACCGCTTCTGTATTTAGACAGCAAAAAAATATGTATAAAGGAGCCACAGAAAAAGGGAAATGCTGTCAATGAAAAGCACATACGTGTAGTTCATTTGGGAAGGTAGGAGTTAAATTATGTTGAAGTCTCCATGTGTGACTGTTATCTCTATACAGAATAGAATGTGAGACCGTCCGTGCCTGGTGAGGTGGTTAAGTAGTTTGTTTGTAAAGTGACCGTCAACACATGCCGAACAGATTCTCTCATGAGTCCACGAGGGACGAAACTCGAGTCACAATCATAAAAGCCCTCGCCACATCGGCTGAATATTTAAATATTGTACAGTACTAAAGAAGTGCATTGTCTTTAGGGTATACTTCATTGAAAAGCATGTGCAACAGCGCATAAATTCCTTTACTGAAACGATATTCTGCATCATAGGTCATGCTCAGGTTCATCAGAATGTCTGCTACCTTCCTGCTAATGCAAGGGGGCCTTTGCTCATCCCTGGTACTTGTACATTACAGGGAGGCAGTGATTTGACCCGTCCACGCTCCGCAGCTTCAGGAACATCATCGCGTCCTTCTTTATACGGAGCAGAAGCCATGCGCGGACATAACACAGTCTCTCATCACACCAGCATGCCGCAGCTTGCCACATCTCCAAGGCGCAAGTCTGAAACAGGTCTGGGGGGAAGTACCAACAGCATTCCAGCACATAGAGACTCTGGATCTAAAGCACAAGCCATGCCACGCCAATCTTCTGTCAACAGCAAGACCCGGCGGAAAGCCCCTGCTTCTTCAACTCCAGCTCGCCAGTCAAGTCGCCCTGGCTCATCAAACAGCCTTTCATGGAGAAGCTCAGATTCCACTGATGGTGTGCCTCCAAACAGTAGGCGGAAATAACAACAGCATTTTTTTGCTTTGATGATTTTTTAACTACCAAAACAAACTGCCTCCAGGCCACGTTTGTGTCAATCTTTTCGGTAGTGTCGATATTTCTATTTATCTTCTTTCATTCTGGCTTTCTATTTGCAAATGGGCACAGATTCGTCTCCAACTGTTCTCACATCTTCTCATATTTCCTGCACCTGGTATTCTGTCTGCTGGTCTTGATCACATTTTATTCGGTTATCTATTCCAAATACTCTGAAGCGTCGTCTGTTGAAGGTTCACTCCGTATTCAAGGAGAGAACATAGTTTATGTTTTATTTCATAGGCCCTGTTTCATCTCCCAGAGTATATATTTTTCATCTCCCAGAGTATATATTTTGTCCGGTTGTCAGTCAAGGCTTACAGTGCCTTTCTAACATTTTTAAAGGAGATCGACAGACACTTTATTAATTTACTAATGTATACCTCGAAGACAATTATTGTTAGAGCGGTTTTGGTTCTCTTAGTTGGTGTAAGCTACATTTTGATCTGCAGCAGTTATGTAGACTGTGCCAAATTGAAACTATCACCGGCAGGTGCGAATATCTGATTTAAAAAAATACTATAATAATTATACCCTCTCGCTTAGGATGAGCTTTTTTATGGCAGCTTAAGCGAAGGCTATATATCTGCTTTATGCAGGTTTATGCCAATGCGAACAAGCAAAATGATAATAATATACCCGCATCTCAAACTGTTGCAAACCTTTATATGTGTGCCATGAGGCTTATCTATCATACAGTAGGTTCTGCATTTTTGTCATTGCCCGTCGGCATCTTTAATCCTCTCTATGAAACGGCTCTGTTCTATTGTGTGTTTAGTGCACTGCTTTGTTGCACTGCTTGATTGCACAATGAAAACAATTCCTCAAACCCATTCCCACGCGCGAGCACATTTGCAGGCACACTGCATGCAGAATCAGCACATCAATTCCGTTTCTGTGTGTGGCGTGTGTGTGTGTGTGTGTGTGTGTGTGTGTGTGTGTGTGTGTGTGTGTGTGTGTGTATTATGGTCACACACGTCTTTCTTCTCTTTCTCAGACTCTTCCTGACTTTTCTTTCATTCTCCTGGGTGGTTACCAACAGCCAGTGCATGCCGGAGTATGTGGTGTGATGTGTGTGCGGGGGAAAAAAAAATGAAAAGACCAAAAATAGGGATTCACTGGCAAGAAAATGTCACTCCAAATAGCTGTATGGTGTAGACCAGGCTGAATAGTGACGGTCAATTCTTCAGCCTTGCAAGCTGTTGAATGGTGTAATCCCAGCACAAGTTGCTAAGGCTTCTGCCGTAGCATTGCTATCATCGCCTCCGGCGATGGGCGTCAAAGGTCAAAGGTGTGTGTTGAATGGTGCAATCCCAGCACAAGTTGCTATGTCTAACATAGCTGTTTGCTATCATTGCTTCCGCGATGGGCAGGTCTGAGGTGTGTGTGTATGCGTGTGTGTGTCTGTGTGTGTGTCTGTGTGTGTGTCTGTGCACTGCATGTTCTATGTTTCCAATTCTGTTGTTTCCTTTGGGTTGGGAATTTATCGTTTTACCGTAGTGTCTTTAGCCTGTCAATAGAAGCCTGTTTTGAATACGAGCCTGATTTTTCAAGATACACTGTCGGCACATAAGCCTGGTTTAGTGCTGACACACATAGGCATGTCCGGTTTGAATAGAAGCCTGATGTGAATAGAAGCCCAGCCCTGACATTGGCGTCTACAGGAACTTGAATAGCCCGGCTTTAATGTGCGACAATACGTTAGTTGTTAGTACTCTTCTGTTCGCATGTACAAGCAACAAGAAGAAGAACACCCATCTTCGTTGCCAGTTGTGTCTCTAACTAAGAGACTGTGGCTTCACACGTAGAGTTTACGTCAATTCAAAGTTTATTCTACCATTGCAAAGCAATAAGAAGCGTTGAGGTGTGATTGTGCTTGAGGATCTAGAAGTTGTATCCCCAGGTGTGGGATGCATCGGGTGTTGGGTGGCAGTACAATGAATTGCTGTAGAGTGTTCATGACTAAGAGGTTGTGGTTTTGGGGTGGATCAATAGCACTTGCAATTACACTGTAATTAGTTTGTAGCTGAATACGTGTCTGGTACATACACCACATTATGAATCATGATAATATTATTATTATGTGAGTTATCGTTATCAGCACACAAACATTTAACTATTACTTCCGAATCTCTCACTTTGGTGATACCCAGTACATTGTACTATGGTCTCATGAGTCATGTTGTCTACTTCGAAATAACTTCAAGAATCAACACCACAACACTGAGCCACAATTACTACAAAATGACACACACATACACACACGCACACGCACACACACACACACACACACACACACACACACACACACACACACACACACACACACACACACACACACACACACACACACACACACACACACACACACACACACACACACACACACACACACACACACACACACACACACACACACACACACACACACACACACACACACACACACACACACACACACACACACACACACACACACACACACACACACACACACACACACACACACACACACACACACACACACACACACACACACACACACACACACACAATATTATACTGCATGTGAACGATGTGGCTCACGTTTTTGTTGTATTTTTCCCCGCAAGGAGTATCATTTAGATATCAACCGCTGGTAAAACAATAGTACAATCATGTAGTTTGCACAGCCGATTGTACTGGAAGCTTCTCCCGTTTACATCGTGCAGCCAACCAGCTGCTGATGTGAACCATGTGATGTCATACGAGTGTTCGCCATCAGATACTTATACCGGTAGTACCGCGTTTGCAGTCACATACACACACACCTTCCTTCCTTCCTTCGCCCACTGCCACGATTGGCTATGTGTCCCCAAATGGGGCGACTTGAAGGAGTGCTGTCTTCGGGACGCGGCATGAAGCCCTGCGAGTCCGGGGGGACGTGAACGGCTGTTTCACTGTTTTTTTTTTTTTGCTTTTGCGGAGCGACGGGAGGTGCAACTATGTCTAGCGATGTCTTGAGGACGGCTGAAACGGCGTGTGCAGACCATACATAGGAGTGGTTTCACGGCAGGTTGTACACGAGAGCATACCACACTGTAGACTCCATCCTGACACCTGGTTCTCCACTCGGACCTATCATCTGCTGTTTCAAGCCACTCATTCAAGCCAATGGACACTGCCGTCAGGTCATGTTTGATTGGGTCTTTCCACCTCTTCCGGGGGCCATGTGGAGGTCGTTTAGACGGCAAGGCACCAAAGAGCGGGGAATACGGTCATCCATGCGAGCCAGGTGGCCCAGCCATTGGAGACGACGGCGCCGGACCTTGTCCGAGACCTGCTCCATGTCACCCCACCACTGCCGTACCTGAAGGGTTGTCACGTGCTCGTCCATCTGGCGCGCCCGACTGATGCCCAGGACCATGCGTATAGATCGCAGGTGAAACGACTCCAGACGCTGGAGATCCCGTTGCCTCGGTGTCCAGTTCTCAGCACCATAGAGGAGTACCGCCAACACAGTGACTCCGTACACAACACGCTTGAGACCGATAGGAAACTCAGAGTTCGCAAACACAGCTTTCTTCAATGCGCCAAATGCACCCGAAGCTGCGGCGATCCTGCGAGAGACATCAAAGCTACTCCTAGCATCAGGAGTGATCTGGCAGCCAAGATAGTGAAAGCTGTCCACGCATTCGACGGTTCCACCCAAAGGCAACATATCCGACGTCACCACACCAACGCCCATAGGCATGAACTTAGTTTTGCCCAGATTGACTGACAGGCCAAAAGACACACACACACACACACACACACACACACACACACACACACACACACACACACACACACACACACACACAAACTCACTCTTGGGAGCTTACTCTTGATACATGTACAGCAAGGCTTTGGTGACATGGATAGTAACGACCAGTCATCAATAACTACGATAACAATGCACAAGTCATGTAAACGGTTGCTCACAGTACAGTGCTTCCAGCATGGCAGGATCGGATGTAGGAGCTAGGGACACGCGTTAGTTGCATACTGGAGTGTGTGTTACGTGTACACATAAGCTTCACCGCACCACTCACTGCCGTGAACACCAGTCCAACTCACCGTCAGTGCCTCATGACGATGACAACAATTTTTAAATAGCTAATCGTCTACTTCATTGACCCGCACATGTACAAGTACAACAGCGTCGAATAGTCGACAGAAGTGGCCAGAGTCGCATGTACCAGCACCTAGTACATGTACTTGGTTGATAAAACATGATATACCGTATAAAACTCAAGAAGGAAAACAAGCTCACGCCTGTGCTAGAGTGGCATTGTTCAGCCGCAGTCTAGTGTCATGTAAATCGACAGCCAGAAGAAGAAGAAGAAAAAGCTGCTATAAAAGAGATATGACAAACACATCACGTAACGAAACGTACATGTATTGCGTGTATGTGTTCGTGCAGCTGCTAGTAAAATAATAATAATCTGACTAAAGATCAGGATGAAAAAAATGTGAATTCAAATCAGTCTAGTCCTTGTGGTGCCTATGCAGCTAGTACTGCACGGACTGCACTCACTTGTTATGCCCAAACGCACGCGTGGGAAATTGCCGTAGACTGGCAACTGTGTAGACTGTTGGATGTCAGTGCAGACGTAGCAAAACGGTTGGTGCATGGCAATGGCCGCACCTATCCTGTTATCCTGTAGTGCACCGGATCATTCCTGCAGCCACAATGGGAGCGCGGTGAGACAGAACGCAATAGCTCGCCGTGCACACACCCACAGACACACGTGGCTATCTCTGTCTGTCCGGCTGGTTTCTGAGACCACCGGTTGAGAGGAATTTCCTACTCATGGGGTACGCCATTCGCGTGACAACATACCGGAACGGCTCACGGAGACTTTCCCTCTCACCAACGCTCACTTCAAACTGTCTTACATTGTGCATCCGTGACCAATGCGCTGTGGAGACATTGTCAACTACTCGCTCTGATACTAGGTCAGTCTTTGTACCCAGCACAAGCAAGGGGAAGTCTTTGCCCCTCTGCAAATCGAGCTCCTTTCGTAGCTGCACTACGAAGTCAAAGGATTCTTTCGCTGTAACACTATAGACCAGGACGGCTCCATCCGCCATCAGTATGTAGTGCTTTGCCAGTGCTACGGACAACTTTCCTGGAGTGTCCACAATCTGAATCCTCTCCTTGGGTCCCTTCTCCGTTTCTACCCAACATTCGTAAATATCCTCAACTGATGGCATCATAGCGGATCCCACAACATGACGTCCAGTCACCAGCTGTTCAAGTATCGACGTCTTGCCAACAGAACTTTGTCCAAGCACTACTAATTTGTAAGTTTTCTGGGGCATTCTCCTCGGAGCTGACTCGTCCAGAAATGATAAAAATGATAACGTCCAAGACGACACAACTATAAGGCCATTGTCGATTTTGTTGACAGATCCTAAAAATAGGGCACACAGCTGGTACAGATGTCGCCTGAATCAAGTGAATGCAAGGTGTCTTCTCCAGGTTTATACAAACCGCTAGTAGACTACCTTGTCCTCCACTGCTATATACATGCTACCTCAATAGCCTTTGGCCTGGTGAGCTCACGATACGAACGACACGACGCCGTTCAAACCCGAAGTATCTCGGTGACCTGCTCTGTTTTTACTTCTTTCGGTGCATCGAATCTGCTTTCTGGCAGATCATCTGCAGATCTGTACCATTCTGCATGACATCATGAATCATGTCATGGGCACTGTTTCGATATCAATGCAGTCATATTTGGATACACGTAGCCGTATGGATATCGATAGACTTTTTATAGGGCCTATAAGTAGATCTACAAGTACAAGGGGCGATCATAGGGAGTTCCAGATAACCCGTTCAGTCCCTTTATAATCCGGCACCATTTGTGCTACGGAAATTCTCAGCTGGATTAGGGAGAGTGCTGGGGTGCTGGTTGGTCGGTTTGGTTGGTTTTTATTACTTCATGTTCGGTGCCTCAACAGTTCAAAGTACAGTGTGTATCGGCAAGAGTCCATAAGGACCATAACCCTGGGATTATGGCAGGGGCGTCGGAAGGTATTTTTAGTGTGGTACGGTTAGCCATCTGAAGTACAATTTGCTCGCGAGGGAGGGGTGCCGAACCGAATTTTTGGAAATTTAGAGCCCAGATCAGTGTGTTTTATTGATTCACGGGGTACCTGCCGGGGCAAAAAGTGGTACGGTCAATACCGTAGTGACCGGCGCACCGTGTCCGACGCCCCTGTCCATAACTCTTGGTATTGGCGTGGGCGTGTAAAAGAATATACTGCTTACAAGAATGACCTCTCATATTTTCATAATCAGAACATGGGTTTCAATTATTATTATTATTTTATTAAGTTGATTGTTCCAACTAGGAACACACGCTAGTTGGAACAATCAACTTCATGACTATTACCACCGAAGTCGCAACTTCTAAGTTCGTATTATTTTATTAACGCAATAAATAGAGTAAGCTGCGCACTCAGTACAAACACCATGATATGAGACCTGATAGTAGCATACATGTAGGCGTGTGCAGTGTGATGCACTGATCAAAATGATATATCGCATGTACATGTATAGTGCATATGTTCAGGTGACCCACTGGACCTGGATAAGAAGACCACCTGGCCAAGGTGACCACTTTTTCTGGTCCCCGGTGAGTTGTCGCCTTAGACAGGTTTCACTGTATGAACACCCGCATGCACAGCAGCGATACCTGTTGTATGTATGATGGCCATCCTGCACAGCAGCGATACGTTGTATGTATGATGGCCATCCTGTCTCAGCGCACATGCATCTGATATGTCACACTTGATTTATCGCGTGTAAGAAATATCGGAAATAAGAATAGAAAGTCGCTTTTCAAACACCCACGCTATAACCGATACCTACTGTACAAATATCAAGAGGGACGAACGGAAAGAGAAAGTAAAACAGAGCAGAAAGGAAGATGCAAATGGAAGGAAAGAAAAAAATTCCAAGCCTTATTTTGGGAACCTAATGAAGGCAATTTGCCGAAACGTTGTAATAATTATTGTGAATTGAGTTGAATTATTGTAGTGTTAATGGAAGAGAGCGTGTGGGCTCTACTCTTAACTGTTTATGAAACTGCAGGAAGCCTCCCCACTTTTACTTATTTTATTGGTTAAATATACTTTCAAAAAGGAGGGGATACGGGGATACAGCCAATTTGTCATCATTTAGAGCATGCAAAAGTTCTGTAGAAAATGATCTAATGTCTTCAAGTAGCTTCAGGTGAGCAGGGAGGGCATTGAGTGGGTTGCTATGCACACACACACACACACACTGAGGCAATAGCAAAGTCACACCTTAGTGGATCCAAAAGTAGAAATCTGACGTGAACTTACTACTCCCTGGCCGTTTGGACGTCATCACTTTCAAGCCCGGGCCAATATAATGTCTTCAAGTAGCTTCAGGTAAGCAGGGAGGGCATTCCACACAAGGGAGGGCATTCCACACGGCTAGGGATGCTTTGGAAGAAAAAGAATTAGGGCTGAAACGATCGTGGATTTTCACCTATCAATTACACTTTTTAACGATCGATAAATGGAAAAGTAAACAAATTTTAGGAGTTAATAAACAAATTATCGTGTCCGTTCCCGAAGGGAACTCACGACGGCCGCTAACACCCGGCAAACCCTAACGATCGATTAATCGATTATAATCATTAGCAAATAGTGTCAGAATATTGTGCAAAAATTACTCCGTTTCCACAAGCTCTGTCCTCATGATGCCAAAGAATCTGCATTCGAGAAAGGGTAGCTCCGAAACATGGCAGTTTTGAGGTCAATTGAACGTCAGAATATGAACCGTACCCCTGGCAACTGTATACGGCGGCACAGCGGAAACTGATTCCAACTTCGCGAAATGTGGGGGAATATGTAGAGTCCACTATCCAGGTAGGGCAAGCTTCACTTGATATGTCGCTGGGACATGGCGAAATGCATCGGGGGAACCAGTGGGCACCTTGCTGTGTATATAATGTGCATGTACAAATCCTTCCACTGTCGCGCCTTGTCCCGCGCCAGCTTTTTCCCCATACCTTACACCAGATTTAGCGCTAAGTTTGTTTATCCTTGTGGCCCTATGTGTTTATAAGCATACTGCTGGGTAGATCCGAGTATCAGTTGTCTGATGATTGCCTAGCGGCACGAAACTCAGAGTCACAGCAAGGTGATATAGCCGGTGAAATTGACTGGATTGGCTAATGGGGGTGGGGTGACCATGGTGGCAACTGGTGACGAAGAAAAAGTAAAGCCCGCATACGACATGCGTGGGTTGCTATGCACCCACACACTGAGGCAATAGCAAAGTCACACCTTAGTGGATCCAAAAGTAGAAATCTGACGTGAATTCACTACTCCCTGGCCGTTTGGACGTCATCACTTTCAAGCCCAATACGAGAGAGCTTGGAAGCTCAGGCCGGGCCCTACGCTATGCTTTTTTGCCTAGCGCATCATGCATGTTATTAGAACTGATGGAAATGTTTTTCCATTGATTGGCTTGACATCATTGTATTGCAAAAACGTTTCAATCGGTATAAATATGAGTTAGGCAAAAGTAATTGCAGAATTTATTGGGTTATATAAAATTAGGCAAAAAAAGCATAGTCTCAAGGTTTGGAGACTCCACTGTAGCCAATACTTGAATCCATACATCCTGTACACACACCTTGTACACACTCTCTCTAACGGTCTCTAGGCTACACTGCAATTGATATACATTAGCTCTTCAAAAAAAGCATAGGGATGTTATAAATTTTTCATTTCTCCTATTTTTTCAAGACATAACCTGGGATTCAAACCCGCACTATCGCCCTGCATGCATTCCCCCGATACACTCCGCATACATACTCATTCATAAAGTTCCAAGTTGCTTCACGTTATGATCTTGCATTTGAAAGCCCTATTTGAATATTGTGGCCAGCTGTCTTTGATGGTACGGTACGGGACAGGTACGGGATAGCGCCAGGCATCTTTTCCGTTTGCCGTTCTTCGGCAACAGCTCTCTCGCCTTCATCTCTGGTGCGGGTGTAATCTAGTGACTTCGTACATGTGTTATAATAGACCAATCCCTTTGTCTGGGTTCGTGAAAAGGGCCACGCGTGCAAGTCAGCTCGTGTGAAGTGCATGGTTTTGTATTTAGTTGGTATGTGGCAGCTTATGGGACAGAGAGACTTTTGCTCCCTGAGCACATGATGTGTAGCGGCAAATAGTGTTTTACGTCGGCCATGATGGCTACAATGCCCAGCCATACGACAACGAACTGATCGGCTACATCATGTATTGCAAAAAGTTTCCATCTGTTCGAATAACATGCATGATGAGCTAGGCAAAAAAAGCATAGCGTAGGGCCCTGAGCGAAAGAAATGAACTTTCTCTTTGCATTTGAGGGTAATACGACACTGTCTACCACCTTGATGACCTAGGCAAAAAGAGCATAGGGATGTTATAAATTTTTCATTTCCCCTATTTTTTCAAGACATAACCTAGGATTTGAACCCGCACTATCGCCCTGCATGCATTCCCCCGATACACTTCGCATACATACTCATTCTTCCACTGAGTTGCTTCACGTTATGATCTTGCATTTGAAAGCCCTATTTGAATATTGTGGCCAGCTGTCTTTGATGGCACGGTACAGCACAGGCACGGGATAGCGCCAGGCATGTCGACGGCACAAACAGACACACACGAAATTAAAAGCTAAGTGGACCCTGGCTAGCGCCAGACGTTACTGAAGTAACGTCTTTTGCATAGCTACGGGAATAACGGTTAGTTTGTTTGTCTTAGTTCTTATGATTTTAATTGTATTTTAATCTGTATTAGGTGCTGCTGTAGCTTTGGAGTGGTGCGACAAGTACATCACATACAATAGTGTTAATCACCGTGACTGTTTTTTTCTTTTGGGTTACATTTTTTCCCGGTTTTCTGGGTTTGCATTTCCATTATGTTTCTTTTGCCCGTAAAAGAGGCTTCATCATAATATCATAGTCCTAAAAAAGCCGATATGTCTTGGTCTGCCGGAAATATCGTTATAATAAGGGTAGGTTGACTGTAAATTACCATAATACCCTACAGCCTATAATTATGTACAAGTGTGTGGGTTGTGCACAGACTGACCTGTCAAGCATGATTTCAGCATTACGGTATGGTTCCTCGGCAATCGGCATAGTGACGTGTGATACTCCCAGTCCCACATAACCATGATAACACAGCAGTGCAGCCAAGTTTTGTTTCTGAGCAGGTTCTCTACACTACAGTACTTCACTAGTCATCCGGCACTGTGTCAGTCAGATTCATGGGTCGACGGATGTCACGAAGCCTTCATGACTGGTATGGTTGCCTTACAGTCACAGGCTAACGTCTACACGATATACTGGACTACAATGTACATGTAGTATTATTGCTAGGTCAACGTCTAGTCGTTCGATTCGAAAATAGTCACAGTAGCCTAGGAGAGTAATCAGTCCTGGTGATGTCCTAGATAGGACATCACGGAACCCAGCATACATACTATGCTGTTCCCATAGTAATCGTGACACGTGACTCAAAACTTTGTGTCGCGTCCGAGGAAGATGAACATGTCGCACTCAAAAACAAACGCAACGAAGGCCTTTCGTCTCAAAAGTAATTATTAGTTGTCGTTCTCCTGGCGGCTTGCCTCAAGCGAGTCGAGATTCGTATCTTGCCTCTTGCCTTCACGAATTTTATTTTCCTCGTTGTGGAGTACGCCTGGACAAAGGAACTGGCAAGCGAATCGTTTTGGTCACATTGAAAATTGCAAGTGCACAAGAGGATTGGCGAAGCAATTTGTGTTCGCACTTTCAGCAGAGCAGTAGCTGCTGCTGCGATAAAGTTTTTACTTTCGCCATTGGCTTCAGGCAGCAGAAGGATCTGGCTGAAAGCGATGGCGATACGTCCATGACCACCACGTCCTGGGTTGATATCCAAGAAAGACCGTCCAAGGTCCAGTTTTAGCCAAGAGCTGTCGTATCCAAGAAATCAAAAACGCCAACAGCAAGCTTTGGCCAAATAATATCTTCCAGGCAGTAATTTACGGGCCTAGCGCCTGCTGGCTCGTCTTCCTCCTCTGCATGGCCAGGTTTGGGGCGAAATGAACACACGGGGCCCGTGAACATGGTGAAGAAACATTCCAAAGGCAAAATATTCAAAATTAGAACCAATCGTTTCCAAAGAAGCGCCGCGTGGCTACGAGAAACCCCACATGAAATCCCCAAACGAAAACGGCCATTCGGTCGGGTATTCGATGGAGAATCGAATATACACTACCTCAATCCCCGCCGATGTCTGATATTCTCCGCCTATTCCCTCAAACTTGACCAATTCGGAAAGAAATCCATCGCCATTACGATCGTGCATCCTCCACATACATTCAGAAATGCTCACGCAGCACTTCTTTTCATCGCGTGTGCGCGACCGACGCTTCCATGACAACTCTGGGACAGGTAACCAATCAGACTCATTCAGAGTGCGATGTCCTAGATAGGACATCTCCCCGACTGGTAATGGAGAGTAGACCGGTCGACCGTGGTAGAGTTATCTTCTTACTGACTGATAATAAAGTCTGTAGTCAGTGTAGAGTGTACTGGTAGGTAGTGTAGCGCGCATAGCAGTCCACCAGGCACCACTACTGCACTAGGCACTAGCACTGCACCATGCCAGGAACTAGGAACTGCATCGAAGAGATGAGTAGATCTATGAACGACACGTGGCACGCGTAGATTCTATGTGTCTTGTTTATACAATGACTAAGTAGTTATCATGGTTATGTATGACGATCCTTCACCACTTGTCTTCACTTGTCTGACTTCAAGGGGAAGTCCGGTGAAAAATTTAAATTTCACAGTCCGTAGAGTTCGAGTCGCTGAGTCGAATGGTCTTTGTCCGAGGAGGCTGCGGCTTATGGTTCGTCAGATACGCCCAATCGAACATGTGCGAATTTGAGCGCGCATCACCCAGATCCAGGTGATGACGTCACAGCGTGCAGCCAGGTTGCCACACCATCTAGTTGTGTACAAAAATGGCCATATTCGGAGCGCGTTCGATTGGGGAACTGTTTGTCGCAGCTTCTTCGGACCAAGACCATTCGATTCAGTGTTACAAACACTACATACCCTGTGATTTTCAGCTCGGTAAACCTCGAGGTTATACCGTATTTTAGCCGTTTCCGAGTTGGACTTTTTCCGTCAGCCTCTACGCGCTGTGCGCTGCGTGCATGCAGTGCGTGCAGTGTGTTATCTAGCTGTGGTGCAGTCAACAAACTCATCACAGACGGAACTACTCCCGCACTGCCGTGCTGGGGTAGTATCTACAACAAGACTCGAGTCACAACTGACACAAGACTCAGAAAACTAGTCAACACACGGACTTGTCATGTACTGCACTCGTATCAGTCGTATTGTACAGTCATGTAGTCAGAGAACGTGCGTTTCTCCTTGCCGGTGCCGGTGATTGTGCTTTGAGAAAGAAAATTTTAGTTTTCCGCTCCCGCCTCATTATTTTATGCTACAGCGATGCCGGAGTGCACAACCGTGACAAGTGACAAAACAGGGAACAGCTCCCGGACCTAGAACTGTCAGATTCCATAGCGTTGCGAGCGAAGAGTCGTGCCCGTGGTTCAAAGAGCCTGCACTGTTCTCCAAATGAGTAGTCCGAAATATTCCAAGTTCGCACCAAAACATCACCATGTGGCAGGCCACTGGAGTCTAAGCGAATCTAATCGGTATGGAACAACATTTAGAGCACTCGCATCACTCTTCTCCATTTTGGCGACCCTGCTCTCCAGCGATCTGATAATTCGTCAGCCTCGTCTGCAATAGCTGCAGTGCTGCTTCTTCATCAGTCGGAAACTCAGTAACGCTCACTCTTGACGGGCCCGCGCGGCCATTTCTTCAGCTGAATACCGAGGTTCTCAGCCCCAGACCGAACTCATGAAGGTCAGCCATGGCTGCATCCTCACTCTCACAAGGAGTTACAGGTCTTCGGGGTCGCTTGCACCACCTAATATCAGTCGCCAAATCATTTGAAATAGCACTGACACTATTGCTTTCACGCACTCCTTTTGACCTAGCTGCACGCTATGACGTTGCAGAGGGTGTGGCGCGGCCGCATGACGTCATGGCGCAGCCCCCGAAACTCAGTTTTTCAAACGGAAATATCTCGAGAACGCTTTGTCGGAGACACGTGGGACCAACACCATTCGACTCAGCGCCCGAAACTCTACCAACCCTGAAATTTAAATTTTTCACCGGACTTCCCCTTTAAGTCTTCACTTGGTTTTCAGACCTTCACTCATCACGACATCACCAGATCACTGACTGTCATCACTCATCAGTCATCATGTCTACTACTAGTACTAGGTCAGGAAGTCGTACGACTCCCTGTATCAAGCCAAGGCTTAGCCCTATACTCCCTGCGCCTACATTCAGGCTACAAAAAAAGTACAATGTAGGCGCTTGTACTTTTGTAGCCTGCATGCTGCAGGCCTGCTCGATCGTCTGATGACTGATATGTATCAGCACACATCATCACGCGTGAGCGCTTGTGTTTGTGCACGCGACTGACCACGCACGTGGCCAGCTAATGCCACCAACGATAGGTAGATCTAGTACGTGGTTTGAACTTTTTTCAATCTAGCCTAGCCTACACAGGGGAAATAGGAAGAGCAAGTAAGGTTAGTTACGTGAGTTCGCGAGGTCAGGGAAGGACAGTTTTTGTGTACTGGCTACCCTGAATGAAGTGGTTCATCTTCAAGCCAAACTTACTTCTTTCTGTAAGTAGCGACTGCTAGGCGGCGTTATATTTCTAATAAAAAATATAGCGAGCGATCAGGCCGCACGGACCAGAGTGAATATTCATAAGTGAATATTCACAGTCATGCACTATTAGAGTCTCGCTGAGTGTCCAACCTGTACGTCGCGCAGTTTCTGGACCCACGTCGGCACAGTCACAGGGATATCGACGTGGTGCTGCGACTGTAAACAACGATGATGCTGGGTTTGGGAAGGCAATTAGTTATCCGATCATCAGCCGTAGCAACGCGTCGTTTTAAGGTGAGTGCTGCGCCCCACTGCCATGACTACCACTGTCCTTCTTTCCAAACGATCTGTTGCATAATGTTTCATTTTGCCACATCGTGTGCTTTTGGGAGAAGGTGCATCCACTCCCTGGACCTGTAGCCTTGCACTTTGGCTTAGGCTCTTTTGCCTTGCCTTTAATATCGTTTGCCACCCGATGCATGGGTAGACTGAGTCACCTGATGAGTATACCCTGGACCATCATCATGGGTTACTTAGTGACCGTGGCACTGACGGTCTATTACTGTACATGCAGTACACACATGCAAGGCTGCGTAGTACATGCAAGTGGCTACCAGCGCGTGGACTGGAGAGTGCAGAAAGGCTATGAATCAACGATTGTCAGCTACACATTCCGTGATTCCCGGACTGTTCTGAGTCACGCCGGTGTGATTTCCGGCACTCGCGTCCTTTCTGAGAAAGACGCTGAGACAGTGTCCTAGTCCATTGCACCATAATATTATACCGTAACGGCATGCTGAGTACAGTACTGATCGCTGAGCAGGCTCATCATCAATTTCCCACAGCGCGGTGTTTACTGAACCGTGGATATCTTCGCTCCCCAATAGCAGTGCATATGGTCGCATAGACCAGGACCCTACCTAGCATAAAAGTGGCCAGTGTAGTCATGCAAGACTGGCTACATCTCGAAGTACATGTACTCCTTCCACCTGGCTGCACTGGGACTCTAGAAAAAGCCATGACTGGATACAGGACCGGCGGAAGCAGTTTTCGATCGGTCCGGCCACACCCTAACCGTTCATACTTTGTGTATGATATGACGGGTAGGCCATATAGGCATGACCTCCTCGGCAGTGAACACATGATGCTGGTGGCCACAAAGTTGGTCCGGCCATGGCCTGACCAAACTGACCTGTTCCGCCGGGCCTGACATAGTGTTCTCTGGCTACAAAGTATAATACAATGTAGTGTTGCAGATAATATCAAAATATTGTAATCAGGTCCAGTAGGGTATAACCTGGTTGTTAGCTGGGTGCCATTGCCATCCGACCTGTCACTGTTCTTGGCACCTTGACCGTTGACAGTTGACATTTTGGATGTGACAGCAGTGACACGCCAGCGCCTCGTGTAGTCATGATTACGAGGTGTGATGACAGATCAGGGCATGTTGGCCACTGTTTGAAATTTAAATTGTCAGGGAGTTTTACGAATGCCGGCCTCTTCGGAGAACAAAACGTCTCCTCGATGCTCCCAGCGTCATCAGCGGAGGATGAATTAGGCACGTCGGAAGGTATTTGGCATTAGTGCGGCTATGGAAAGGTGTGGGTCTTGTGGGCATCCCATGGGAAATTTTGGAAATTGGGCGCAAATAGGTCATATTTTATTACTTCAAAAATCAAAAAATCAAAAAAATTATTGGTGCTGCTTTAGCCGCACCTGACGCACCGGTGCCGACGCCCCCTGCGGATGATTGTATTTCAGAGAGCTTTGAATAATCCAGCAACACCACCTTTTTGAATGCATTTCCTGTTGAGCAGTTTACAGCAGTACATGTACCATCTGCACATGCACACATCGCGATGGCATACTGTTCTGCACATGCATGAAAAGATCAAGCAGTATCTCTTCTAAGATGATCATCGAAACAATCATGATGCTGCCTCTCCCCGCCGCTTCCCCTCCTAATGTGTGGTCTGGGTGCAGCCTGCGCTAGAGCACTCTTCATTTCCCGCATCATGCTAAACACCTTACCCCGCCTGCTGCGGGAAGTCACTGAAATCAGAAATAACTGCTTGGGCCTTGTCGATTGTGTTACTGTGTGTGTGTGTCCACAGTTGACACGCTTGGTCTCCAGCTCGTCAACTGCATCCGGCCCAGTCGACAACCAGCACCATGCTGGCGATATCATAGCAAACAATCCAGTATGTGGCAGTGTCTCACAGCACTATATCACTTGTATGAACATCTAGTGACGGTGTACCATGGATCTTAGTTTGATGCCCTTAGTTAGGTGTGGGCGAGCCAATGCTCCAATGGCTACTAGTTACAGTATGTTGAACTGCTGCGGCTTATGGCACTTACATTGGCTATGGTCTGGATTGCTACTAGACCAGTGCACCGTGTTGGTTTTCTTGAGTGCCACCATGGGACTGACTCTTGACTCTGCCCCCCCCCCTATACCGGACTCCCCAGATCCAGGAATTCCCCTATACCGGACTCCCCAGATCCGGGAACTCCACTATAACCAGACTCCCCAGATCCGGGAACTCCCCTATGCCGGACTCCCCAGATCCGGGAACTCCCCTATGCCGGACTCCCCAGATCCGGGAACTCCCATCTAACGGTCACATTTCTGACCCAACAAAACCGTTGGTTTGTCACCAATAAAAAAATATATTAATAGTTGATTGGCATGAAAAGTGAGTACTTGCATGCAATCAGTATGGTGTGTGTGTGTTGAGTTGTGGGCAATTCCTCATTACAGCAGTGCCCGGTCCCAACGTGCCCACATAAGGGGAGTTCCACTGTATATACTGGCCACAGGCACAGCTTCTCAACGGTCCACTGTCCCAGTGGCTTGTTATGCCAAATTCACTGTAATGTTACACAGCTTTTGTCGATGTGCATTGTTTGGCCTGCCAGGAGCCACAGGAGGTGCAGAAGAATCAACCGGATCAGCCGTTCACAGAACTGGTGCGGCACTTCGTCAATCCACAGGATTTCTATGGCGTGCTTGCCAGGAATGGGGTAAGTAATTAGTTACCATGGGAACAACAGCGGGTAGCTTTCTAGCAACTTCAGAACATTTCCTGCAGCATCTGCGGATTTCACATTTCCGATCCTGTCACCGACAGTGCAGATAGAGCCGTGTGTGACCTGGACGGCAGGGAACCTTGGCCATGGACCTCAGTGCTCAATGTGCACCTGTACCGAATTGATATACAGTCTACCATGCAGCACAGCACACTGTGTGTACAGACCCACGTACACACAGCGCACTGTGTATGCCATTCCATACATGACACACTGTGTATGCCATTCCATACATGACACACTGTGTATGCCATTCCATACATGACACACTGTGTATTCCGTGCTTGGCCTACACTCGGTGTGTCTGCCTGTGCACCCGTACAGTTTGATTTCTTCTGCGGAGTGCCCGACTCACTGCTGAAGGACTTCTGCAGCTACGTCGAGGAGAACGTACCGGCCGACCGTCATGTGATCACCGCCAATGAAGGGAACGCCATTGCCCTGGCTTCTGGGTACCACCTGGCGACCGGCAAGGCTGCCGTTGTCTACTTACAGGTGAGTGCCGCATGATGTCATCTCATTCTTGTTACATAATGACTTGAGTGTTTTGACCAGTCCCTGGCCACTGGTGTATTCTGCTGGAGATGCAGCACGCTCCCCACTGGGCTGGTGAACTGATAATCCAATACAAGGCTGTAAAAAACTATTTAACTGGTTGTGCTAAATAACAGACAGTGTGGTGGTAACATTAGGAATGCACGCAGCTGCTGGTGTTGGTTATTCTGAACACAGAATTTCATCCGGTGATTAATATTCTGTGTTGGAACAAATGTTGTTTGGATTGTGATGCTGTGCTGCAGAACTCCGGCCTCGGGAACTGTGTTAATCCACTCATGTCGTTAGCCACACCATCCGTCTACAGCATACCAATGCTGCTCTTAGTTGGCTGGAGAGGCGAGCCGGGAAAGCTGGACGAGCCACAGCATCAGGTCCAGGGTAGCTGCACTCCCCTGTTATTGGGTAAGTCTACCGTGGCAGTTGCCACTAAGAGCAGCAGTGCGAAGCAGCCCCTGCGTGGCCACATTTGCTGAACAAGAAGAAAAGAAAACTACTGGCTGTATGTATCAGAGGCGTTGACTCGCAATTCTTGTCACAGTTTGATGGTGCTGGGCTGCATCACTTGCAGCTCAGCGCTGCCGTTAGCCTGCTTGTTTCCCTTTGTCACGGTGGATTTAAGATTGGTTGAGTGAGAGAATGCATCCATGAGTATGTATGTCCGTGATTGCCCCTCTGGACAGGACAAATTGAAAATGATTGTGTACATTTTAAAATGCCTATTTGATGAATACTCACTACAGATTCACTCGGAATACCCTACCAAACATTGCCAGACTACATTGAAGGTGCCGAGAAGGTAAGCCAATCTTTGCCCTAGCTATGCGTTATGTAGCCACAGCTTGCTGCACGGCAAGCCCTATTGCCTTGTTTTGACCAGAGATCTCGATTGTGTGTGTGTGTGCGCGCATGCACGGGGGGGGGGGGGGGGGAGGGGGGGGGGGCATGCTCATCATGATACCCCTGGTATATATATATATATACGCTGTAGTGATACCGTTGCTTGTACCCACACTATGTTGTATTTCAGGCAGTGCTGGCAGCGAGAGACTACGTTAACACCGTCGGAGGTCCATGGGTGCTACTTGTACGTCGCCAGTGCTTCTACAAATTCAAGTCAAAATACGTCCAGAACACGTAAGCGACAATGACATTAGTAACCGGGGTTTGACTACTATTAGTAACCGGGGTTTGACTACTATTAGTTTATTAATTCAGAGTTACTCGAGTCTACAACTGTGTTTCATGAAAATGGACGAACAGTCGTGTTGTAGCAGTTATGGGGTAAGATGCAGATTATATTTACCTCTGCAACATTCATCTCCTTTTGGGAATTTCTGGCAGGAGCTAGAGTAACAAATCAGTCTGGCTGTTAGCTGCTGCCCCATTTGTAGAATGAGTCCTGAAAAAACCCGTAGAACATCTAGTTAGCGAATGACGAAGTGCGGTACTGGAAATGTTCTGCACGGGAAATAGAGGTGTTGAAGTTTAAATTATGCGTTCTTCTGACGGCCCTGGTACTTTGCATGCAGCCACCCATTGACACGTGAAGAGGTGTGTGAGAACATCGTTGCGTCGCTCAGTCCATCGGATGTGGTTGTGAGCACCACCGGTATGCTGTCTAGAGAGCTGTTTGAGTACAGAGCGCGTAACAAGCAAGGCCACCATCGCGACTTCCTGACTGTGGGTAGCATGGGCCATGCGTCCTCCATAGCAATGGGAATTGCCATGGGAAAGCCCAACCGCCAGGTGAGTCACACAACAAGAACAGCATCACGGCTGTATGCTAGCTGAGCGCAGCACCGTCTATACATCAGTATCATCACACGCCACACACATTATACGCCAGTATTTTGCATTTGTGATGCTCATGCACTTCAAACTTTCAAACCAGTTGAAAGCACTGCACCACTGTGTGTGCTTTGCTTGCAGTTGTCCCGCCATGCCAATGCAGGGTTCTATCCAAAGGGGGGGGGGGGGGGGAGGGGGAGGTAGGGGATGCAGCGAAAGTGCCGCCGCCTACTCCTTTTCCAAGTTTTGTGTTTTTTTTCATGCTATTCAATGAGAATGCAGTCGATAGTCAGTACTAGAGGGTTCATAAAGGCACATTTGTCTGGGGTGAAGTCAGGTGTTTGCCCCGTATGTTGCATTTCGCATTGCAAGACAGTTATTTGAAAATGAAAAAAAAATGGGTTATGGGGTAACTGTTTTCCCTGCCCCCCCCCCCCCATACTATTTTGACCTGGCTAGAACCCTGCAATGCCGAACTATAAACGGCCTCGGAGTCAAGACAACAGCTGTCAATTGATCACCCTGGTGTTTCTTTGTAGCATCTTTTATCTTCGTTCGTTTCACTACTTTCCTGTGCTGCTGCTGTTGCTTCTTGTGTAATAGATCTATTGCCTGGATGGAGATGGTGCATGTTTGATGCACATGGGAACCATGGGTGTCGACTACTTTCCTGTGCTGCTGCTGCTGCCTCTTGTGTAATAGATCTATTGCCTGGATGGAGATGGTGCATGTTTGATGCACATGGGAACCATGGGTGTCGCGGGCACAACTGGCTTGGAGAACTTTCGACACATTCTCGTCAACAACGGCGCTCACGACTCTGTTGGTGGGCAACCAACTGCCGGAACCAACTGGGATAGGCTCAGCTTTGGACAGATTGCAAGGGGATGTGGCTACAAGACGGTATGGCTGCCATGTCCATTGTCCACCCTGCCAGCAGCACACTACAATAGTACATTGCACTGCTCTGTTTTGGGACATTTTCCATGCAGTTGATCAGACTCTGACTGCAGTGTGATGAAAATCATTCTGTTTGGTGAACTGTCACGTCTACCCTTGTTTCCAAGAACTAGCTGTGGCTGAATAGTATTCTTCAAGCAGCCTGCAGCTGCTACTGCTGCAGCACACACTTACACGTGCACCCCCCCCCCCCCCCAACACACACACAGACTCAGACTCAGACATGCCCATCGCGGAAGCGATGATAGCGAACAGCTATGTTAGACATAGCAACTTGTACACACACACACACACACACACACACACACACACACACACACACACACACACACACACACACACACACACACACACACACACACATACACACATACATGTGCACATACCACATGTTCTTTCTAACCTAGTATCGCTCTCCTGTTTTTCCCCAAACTTTTCTGTTGTCTGTAGATCTTAGACCCAGTGTCAAGTGCCGAGGAGATTAAAGCCGCCGTTCACAAATTAAGGAGTGTGCCAGCGCCAGCGTTCCTCGAGATTCGCTGCAAGAAGGGAAATCGCATTGACCTGGGCCGACCAACTCGCACCCCGCAGGAGAATAAGCTAGACTTCATGCACTTCCTGAGGAGTGAGTGAATGCAACAGCTGTGCACTATGAAACACACCATCGCACCATGAGACACGCCATCGCAACAGCAGCACCAGCAGCAACAGCAACAACAGCAGCACGACGTATGCTGACCATCACACCAGCTACATGTACACTGCTTTAGTTATCTGCATTGCCGGTTTTGTCTTTCATCACAGACAAGAGTCATCTGTGGTAGAGCATGGCCGCTATTTATACATCTCATCAGGTTATTCCGACAGCATTGATTATTTCATTTCTAAGTTAGCCGGTGCTTCCCATTCACTGGCTACCTGGTTAAATTATCTGTGAGTTTTATGTGAATTTTACGAGCGTCACCCGCGTTATTTGACTGTCTTCATTAGGAATATTCTTCAATTTATTGGTATTGGTATTTTTTATTTTATTTTATTTTTTAAGGTATTACAACAATCTGTGATACCCACCGAAAGGCGTCTGATGTCCAATGTCCGCAGCGACTGTGTTCTGTTCTTTAATGCACCCCGGCCAAGCTCAACAAAGACTGACAGCTGCAACAGTTGCTATCCGACCTCAGGACAGCGCAGTGCATGGTTACAGTTGTAGCGCCACTGCACACCATACACAGCGCATTGAAACACACCCTGCAGTGCAGCACAATCCTGTAGCTATGTACAGTACAGTGCACACCGGAAATACATGACCCTTTGCCGGTACGTTTAGTATCACCAGTGCTTGGCTTGTCACGTCCTGGCCATGTCTCATGTAATTGCATGAAGGTGCAAATACAGATCTGACTCATCACCGTTCATCACCGGCCAGCTCACTCATTCACATTTCTGAAAGTACTCTCAAGCGTGCAGTGGAGAAACGAAACACGGCGGCATTGCCTTCCACAAAGACATTCATGTGGTCAGTGTGACTGCCTGACCGGTATACTGACACAGTGTGTCTATTCGTGTATGGGCCAGAGAATGCCTCTCAGCATGCAGCTACCAAACACAAACAAATCGCCACAGATGGCCCACCATGCCAGCAGTCGCAGCAGCACAAGGTCTACAGTCACGCTCAGTGCTACAGAGTGGTAGGTTTGGAATAGTTACTGTTCTTAGCATTATGGGGTTAAAAAGAGGGTATGTAACCAAGCGGACAAAGCTGCTTAGCTGCCATACATGTTAAACCAAGGCAAATGACCGAGGAATGTCACGATACCTTGGTGCTTGACTAACACGGCAAGGCCATGTTCGAACAAGCCTTGCAAATGAAGACGAGGTCGGTATGCCATTGGCAATGGACTGGGAATTCATGGCATATCAACTAGACGAAACAGCACCAGGCTGATCAACAATAGGATCGTATTCATAAACAAACACATGCACACACACACACGCACACACGTGCGCATGCAAGCGCTACAAAATCTCATGTACCAGCATTCTAAAAAAACAAAAACAGCAACAAAGCAGATGGAACGAGGATGAGATATCTCTCATCCCAAGCCCCACCGAAAGGCATACAACTACAGCTTATCTCGCAGCCAAGTACCTGCCACTGTTAGAGCGCAGTGGCAATATAGACACGTGCAAACACCACCACATAGTGCTAGCACGTACTGACAAGAATGGGGGACAGAACAGAAGAATCAGCACCAATAGCCGAGAAGAGCGGGCGACAAGTACGGACATGTGCCGTCAGCGCTTATTTGAGCGCGTATCGCTTAGCGACTGGAAAATTGCCAAACGACCAGCCTGCTCTCGCTCCTGCCTAGCTCCGGATCTACAAAACGAAGAAAAAAGATAGAAAAATCACAACCATTTCACACTAACCATTAATTAACGGCCGGCATCACTCTGCATCTACAATACTAGTACAAGTAATTTTTATAGAACAATGACCACAATGTAGAGATAAAATGCACCATTTTGCTGTGACAAGCTATGAATACCAGTGTAGTGTGGCGCTGATACTTACGCAAAATTGGTGAAAGAGGACTGGAAAGTGCACACATGCAGCAGAAAACAAAACAAAAACAAAACTGAGCATGATACAGTAAACTGGCGTGGGCCCGTGCGTGGGTATCATCCTATCCAGCATCCAGACCACAGACATTTTCAGCAGGCTCGTTCATGAACATGATAACCTTTGCACACTAGGCCCATTCCACGCCCAAAGAACGGTCACTTGGGAATCTTGTTGCTACTCAAGAGTATCTTACAGAAAGCGATCATCGGGCAGCAGGTGTTCTGACATTATAAACGTTATAGTGATATCAAGTGCATAAAAAAAGAATGGTAAAAAAATTGTTCTGTTGTAATTCTGAGCTTGTGCCACAGGACAGCTAGCTAGGTGAACTCTGACCCAAAGTGCACAAAGCTAGCAGGGCCCCGGACCAGTTCTCAGTACATCACTGTTGTATTACCGTAAAGAGCCGCGGGAGGGCGCCGTCTCGCGAGAGCGCCCCACCTTGACTTACAGCCAGCGAAAGGGCCAGGGAAAGGAAAATCGAATGGCAGGGTGCAAACAAGTTTGTACAGTTTGAGAACCTTTTAACCCTTTCACTACCCATTATTTTCGCAATTGAGTCAATTCACAGTCTACAAAAATACGACCTTTGTTATATCTCTGCTCTCCTTTGGCCATTTCTCACAAGCAACCACTCTCTGGAAAGCTAACGATGGCAGCTACGCACTTGTACAAACTACAACACCAAGCGCCATTCGTGTGTGCTGCGCCGTGATGAAGAAGACGTTTTCAAACTCAAACAAATATGCACAGCGCGATCTGTCACGAGTGGCTCACTGATTTGTAAAATCGTGGCTCATAGAAACCAGACGAAGTTCTTGTGAAAATACCTAAAACCCGAAGGATTTCCAGCCCCAAAATGCATAGGTAAGCGAGAAGATATCAAAGTTATTCTCAGCGTGACGCCGACTCAAAATGTTTGAATGCGCATTTTTGATCGCGCACTAGCTTCGAGCTTCGTCGTGCGCCAATTATGCACCAAGGAAAGAAAGCGATAGTTGCAGTCGATAGTCAAGGTCTTTCTGAAGACGTAGAGCCCTCATTTGTAATAATCTGACAATATTTGAGCGTGTGACGGAATATTTAGTGATCGCCTATTGCATCGATCCACGGGGATCGATATTTGAATGGCTGGTAGTGAGAGGGTTAAAATGAATTTTGGTGGTGACAGTGTGGCACGGGATTGGGTTCACTTGTAAGCCGTGCACATCACTACCGGGAGGGGGGTTATTTACCGCAACTGTATACTACATACAGTTTAGGTGTCAGATTTCAGCTACAGCATAACTGTAAGTACAGTTATACTAGGTAACATGGCGTTGTCTCGGCTCAGCACTCTTTTTGGTTGGCGGCACAACGCTCTCTACCTCAGTCCAAGCTCGCTGCATTTCTTGTAGTTTGAGCCCTCTGATTTTTGACGCTTTCAGCCGATTTAAAAATGCTTTGATATCCCCTTGACTTCATTGCAATCGGTTCGGCCAATAGCTCTGCTGATGACACTAAACAAGGTGGAACCCGCTGGCAGTGTGGAGATTGAGTACACACTAAACAAGGTGGAACCCGTTGGCAGTGTGGAGATTGAGTACACACTAAACAAGGTGGAACCCGCTGGCAGTGTGGAGATTGAGTACACACTAAAAATGATTGTACAGTGAGCCACTCCAGTACCTATTTGTGCCATGGCCCAGGACATGGGTGTGCTGTAGGAACAATGAACGCTGCCCGGTTGGTTAAAAAACAGAGGGGGGGGGGGGGGGGACCTTGCCCAAGGTCAGTTAGTTTTAATTCTAAAAAAAACATTGACAACCCCTTGGTGGTTAACAGTAATGCATGTAAGAAAACAATTCAAGACAAAAAGAAAATTCTAAGAAAATGTTACCTCAAAGAGATCCGATGGAATAGCCATGGCCATGTCGTCATTGCCTGTACACAGCAGAAGAGGAATAATAGTAACCAGAACAAGTCATCATCAACACAGTGGTTGTACATCATCATCTTTCAATGACATTACAAGTCGTTGGCTGATTTGAGCAATGTCAGCTCCAAGTCTAACCGACTTGTGTAACTTCGCTGCGTGGTTAGATTGAGGCGCTGGGTGTTAGCAACACTACAGGTCACAAGTACATGTAGGAGATTGAGTAACTGACAGTCATGTGTCTTGATGCTGTGGTTTCAAACTAGGGAGACACACTCCGACACCTAGTCACCATTTGCAATTTACCCCTTCGGCACGGAGCCATCTCCAGGGGGTTCGGATGACGAGGATGTTCGAAGTTTGTTCGGATACCTAAGCAGGCGCAAGCCCATCTAAGACATGCACATTGCCTCTTGCTTTCACCTTTTCTTGTTCCGCTTGGCAGTGCCACAGGAAATAGGCACAGTCCAGCTCCTTCTAACTACTCATTGGGATACATTTCAACAAGAGTACATCAACCAGAGTGTGCAACTCGGGATGGTTCCTGTGGGAGCGTAATTCGTGCAGTACGTCAAATCTGACAGCATGGTAAGCCACAGGTACGGTGAAAAGTTGCGTAACCAGTCACGGTGGTGCAGGTCACTGAGTTCGTCCTGATTTCGGTTTTTTGATACGGATAGCCTGGTGAATTTACTTGTCGGTGGATGTACGCAGCGTACACAGTCACACAAAAACACCGAAATCCTGAAACAGGACGTCTAAAATCAAGCAAACTTGGCTGATTTCCGGGCTATGAACCATGAAAACTTGAGCTGTACGCAAGTCGCGGCTTGGCTGCCCTCATCAGGGTGACGTAGTGCACGAATTGCGCTGTTTCAGATCTGATATGCACAGTTGCACACTCTGGTTTATGTACTCTTGATTTCAACAATATGGTCGATCGTCATTTCTATTTTATCATCGCATTGAATATATTGATTACTCCTACAAATACGCTGCTTGAATCTTATTCTTTTTCAAAATCTACTTCGAAGTAGTAGTTATTACCTACCATGCCTGACGAGACCAACGGTGGTCGAAACAGCTGCCCGGAGATATTACATGTAATCCGAATTATCAGTATCGAATTCCTTGCTGGGTCTATGCTGGGAGAGTTTATGAGAACTAGAAGAAGAGTGTGCGGTGTTTGTTGGTCGGCTTAGAGTGCATGGTGGGTGAAGACGTTGAACTTATCTGCTATGTGTATGTGACTACGTGTGCAAACTTCAACGCACTAACACGGGATATACGCATCTATACTATACCAAAGAGGTACTGTTTAAATCCGAGGTCCAATGAGCAGTACATGCATGATGCACGGCTCTCAAAACCCGTACTTTATCTCCCATAGTGCTTGTTTTATCCGCGGTAGAGGTCTACATGTAGTTTATACAGGTACTACACTGTTTCACCGTACACTGTTCATGTACAAAACAACTGCACACAGGCACACAGGTGCAGTGTACACTGGATTAGGTGCACAATGTATGGGAACATTTTATTATCAAGACAGCTGTGCTCATCCAGACATGCCTCGGAGAAGATCTGCCCAACCGTATCCACATACTAGTAAGTGAGGTAGAACAGTAGATGCTGTATACATTGGCAGGGGGTGGGGTCATTGCACACTGCAGTGAATGTAGATGCTGTATACATTGTACACTGCAGTGAATGCAAACATACCTGATCTGTTAGCCTGCTTGAGCGCGGTGGTGCCACTTGACCAGTTGCTGCTGCTTCCGGGTGCTAGCGAATGAGAGGCCTGCTGCTGCTGTTGATTGGCAGACCTACTCCAAATATCCTGACAAGGTAGGCCTGGCTGCATGGCATGGCGCTGCTGTTGTTGTCTATGCTGCTGTTGCTGCTGTTGCAGCTGCTGCTGCTGCTGCAGCTGGGCACCTGACCAGTCTGAAGAGGAGTTAGGCCACTGCCTAGATGCAGCAGCATTCGGTGCACCTGCACTCGAGGGAGGCCACTGCCTAGATGCAACAGGCACAGCACTAGCCGTTTTTTGTGGATCAGCGTCACGCGACCACAGGGATGTGGACCCCCGCTGCTGTGAAGAAGTGTCTCGGCGCTGAACTTCAAATGACTGCTGTTGCTGAAGCGGCTGCTGTGGATTTTGATCAGCTTGCAGACCACGCTGTGCAGATACGTCTCGTGCACTCATTCTCTCTGACCAGTCTGCCTGCTGCTGCTGTTGCTGCTGCTGCTGACCAGTGACAATCTGTGAAGATGGTGCAGACATTGACCAAAGGTCATCCGATCTCCGTTGGGTCTGCGTTGGTTGGGACTGCTGGTACTGCGACTGTTGATGTTGGTGGCTGTGCAAGCCAGCACTGCCGCTGGACCCACGCAACTGTCCAGCTGAAGGGCCACTATCATTGCGCTCCTGATGCAGCTGCTGCTGCCATGGAGAACTAGAAGAGGTGGGAGGCTGCTGACCAGGAAAACGGCTGTATGCGTCAGGGACTGGCTGGCGGCGACTTGCCTGATGGCTAGCTGCATAGTCTTCCGGTATGTCTCTTGCCATATGCCGCTGCTGCTGCTGCTGCATTGGCGGCCGCTGGGGTTGTCCTCCATACATAGCACCAGTGTCCTGCCAAGGATCAGTTTCTGGTTTTGCTCGCATCTCTGGGAAAGGCAGTGGCTCCACAGCATCTCTCTGAAGCATGCGGCCTGGGCCAGAATCAAACAGACTACCACCGGATCTTTGATGTTCATAATCCAACTTTTGTCGTTGCTGCTGTTGCTGCTGCTGCTGCTGGGCATGATCATACTGCTGTCGGCTCATGGCATCATCTTGATGACGATTCCTTAGCATACCATCTTCCTGAAGATTCTGCTTTGGAGGCCAAGGCTGGTCCAAACTGCGCTGCTGCTGGTCTTGATGCTGATGTCGGCGGTGAGGATCATGCTGTTCCTTGGAGCTATGTGTGGCATGTGCCGTTGTTGCTGCTACTGCCCCCGCCGCCGGTATAGTCGGTGATGGTGCCGGCCGATATCTCTGGCCCGGGGCAGCTGTACTAACTGAAGTAGGGACAGTCGGTTGCACACCTTGAGGTCGCTCTGGCTGCCAGCCATAGCCAGCAGAATCACTAAAGCTGGATGCACCACCATTCACCTGTGAGCGACCACCATTCGATGTTACATCCCAAGACGATTGATGCTGCTGCTGCTGCTGAACATGCGGTTGAGATTTCGGTGCTGGCAACAGCGGCTGATTCTGGTGTGGCTGCATGTGCCAAGCCGCACTGCTACCCGGGAAGAAATCAGACAGCGCTGCTGCATTAGACTGCTCTCTGGTGCCAGTGCTACGACTACCAGCAACGGCAACACTAACATTAGCATCACCATTAGTACTAGCTGCTGCAGTATTAGATGCTGATGATGCAGATGACCATCCAGCCGAATGCTGGTAACTTACACTGGCTAGAGTTGGCTGCGTAGCAAGCTGATGACTAGTGCCGTGAGCACTCCTATCCAACCCAGTCGTGGTTGTACGACTGGATGCCACAACTGCAGCAGTAGAAGCAGAGGCCGCATGGTTGCTACTAGAGGAAAGCGGCGGTCGAGGTGATGTCAAAGGAGACGGCCGGGACTGGTCTTGACTGGCATCGTGCTGTACGTAGTGCTGTTGACCTTGCACACTGGGACGCGATGCTCCTGTAGACAGTGAAGGAAACAATGATCGTCCACCATCTCCAGCTGGTGGTATCTGCTGCTGCTGCTGCTTTTGTTGTGTGCTTCCAGAGGTGTAGAATGAAGATGGCGCCGGAGCAGAAGTGAGCGTTACTGGCGGAGTATCCGCATGAAGTGGCGCCCGCCTCTGCTGCTGTTGCTGCTGTTGTTGACGTTGCTGCTGTTGCTGCTGTTGTTGCTGCTGCTGCTGCTGATGTTGTTGTTGTTGTTGTTGTTGTTGTTGTTGTTGCTGGGATTGCCAAGGTTGCTGGATGTGGGAATAATCATGACCATGGCGTTTCTCTGCGCTAGACTGCTCATGCTGCAGCTGTTGTTGCCAATGTTGCTGTTGTACATAAGGCTCTGACTGTTCAGTGAGCCTGGATTGGCTGCCTATAGGTTTGGGCATGTTCACATGTTGGCCATTCGCATTACTCTGCGACTGGGCCACTGCTGCTCCAGTTGCGTGGACCTGATCGGCCGAATCTCCCTGTCTCAGGACTGGTGTCGATGAAACTGCCGGGGAAGACTTCGGCGCACGTGCTGGTGTAGGTGTAGCAACAGATGCTGATGTTGGCGCACTACTTCTCATAGATGTTGTGAACAATTGAGGCGAGTGCCCCGCAGTCACTGTCACACTGGATGATGCAGTAACCTGGCGACCCATGGCCGACAGTAGAGAGTGAACAGGCTCAGTAGATCCTTCTGCAAAGACCACGGCATTGTGCTGATGATCAGGTGGATTCACCAGTGCTGCCATTGAACCAGCTTGTCTCTGCCTGTTGGCAGCTGGGGAAGAGGAGTGAAAGCCAGGCGGCGGCGAGCTTCCTTTGTTAGAAGAAGCTGCAGCGGCGAGCGGCATTGGGCTGAGAGCAGATGTTGAAGCACTGGTGGATGAGTAACGCATGTCTTCTTGCTGGAATGATACATCCACAGCAGTTACAGAATTGCTATGGCTGCTCTGGATGGTGATTGGCACGACCGAGTTGGTGGCCTTGCCCTGCACAGAGGAAGACGGTGTACCGGCGGCTGGCCACTGCATTGGCTGAGAAGACGGTGCACTTTCTTGCATCTTGGACAGAGGTGGAGTCTGCATGGCAAGGACAGCACATAACATGAAAGCCAAAAATACGTGAATAAAGAGCACCAAACAAGTTTGCTAGAACCTTACGCTGCTAGAATAAAGGCAGATAACAGGCAGTGATCAAGTCAAAACATCGTTGCAAGGAGAACTTCTACAACATGCTCAATTCCACCACAGAAGTGTGTTAGGAAAAGTCTGCCTGGCTGATTGGAAGCCCCCTTTCTGGGTAACGGCAGTGGAATTGGCAGGATGGAACTAGTACACTGCGAACGGCAACCACCGCATAAGCATCATACATATGCGCCTGTGAAACACTGTGCAACTTTCTACGTGCTTTCTTCTTTTTTATTTCTTTTCGAAGCAATCCACCAAGAAGTACTACACAACAAATCCAAGAAGATTACCTTTTCAGTAGGCACTGCGGGCGGCTGCTCTACATTGGTCTGGTTAGCAGCACGTTGCGATACGCTACTGCGACCTGCCTTCTGTCCTAACTGTTGCTGCACTTGCTCGGCATACGTAGATCCTGGCTGCACTTTGTTACTGGATACTGTGTGGGTGGGCTTGGCAACAGTGACACCGCTGTTGCTGGACGCAGCGGCGGCGGCAGCAGTGGCAGCATTACCGCGCTCCCGAGCAGCGCTGCGATGATTGCCAACACCACTCCGCTGACTGTTAGCTGCAGCACTGCGCGTCTGAGGTTGTTGTGGCGGCTGCGGCTGCGCTGCTTGCGGCAGGCTGGCGTGGGCAGGCTGGCGGGTGCGACCTGTAGAATTCTGTAACTGCTGCTGCTGTTGCTGACGAGAACAGGATTGTTGCCAAGCTGAGTCATGCGACCCAGTCGATGTGGGCAACAACGGGGCAGCAGAGGATTGCCGTGACGAGCGGTCACTCTGCTCTTGTGCTTTGGCCCTTTCTTGCATCTGCTTCTTCCTTTGCGGAGTGCTAGTGCCGGCAGCAGTCACACAAGCAGTACTGGTGACATCAACAGAGCTGGCCTGTAGTGATTTCGATTGATTGGCAGTGCCGTTATTAGTGCTACTGCCGTTGCCGCTACTGCTGCTACTGCTCATTGAGCTGGAGCGAGTATGGCCACCAGATACAGAGCTACTGGAGCGAGCATGATAATCCTCCGATCCTCTGCGTGAAGATGTTGTCTCTGACGCTTTCGTCTTGACTTTCTGACCAGACGATGACGACTCCTTGCTTTCCTCGCTCTGTTTGTGCCCATTCTTCGATGCCGCAGCAGGCATTCTGCTCTCCTCGGCCTTTGTCGACGACTTGGATACCTGTTGCCTTTCAACTGACTGATCCTTCACGTCTGCACGCCTGAGGGAGGTGAAGGTACTGAGTTCATCGAGCGAGCCACCTTTGTGCTCCGACAGGCCAGCAGCACCAGCAGCTGGTGCTTGACTGAGTGATGATTGGTCTTTGGTTGCAATGTGCCGCGAGCTGTTCCGACCGTTGGCCTGATCTTTACCTTTCGATGTAGTCACACCGCTGCTAGCTACAGCCGCCTTCCCCCTACTATCAACCTTCACATCTTTCTTCTTTTTCTTCTTGCCACTGCTGCTGCTAGAGCTAGTTTCTGGTGCCGGTGCCCCCTTGTTAGCGACAGCTGTAGACACTTTAGCCGGCTCCTTCCCGGTCTGCGCATGCACACAAAGAAAAGGCAGCAAACAAGCATTACGACACAGTGATGGTCTCAGACTATACCGGCAAATTCCTACACACGCACACACGCGCGCATGCACGCACACACACACACACACACACACACACACACACACACACACAACAGGGTGGTAGTGTACGACTGAACCATCACACTAAGCCTGTATAGGCATACAGCTGGCAAGCATGACTTCATCTACAGATTCTACACGCATTGAAGTTTGAAACTGTGCTTGGGGTAGGTGCCATACCCAACTACACAACACACAGCTGCTGCAATGACCAGTTCTGTACAAGACCATGTGGGTGCACATGCAGACAGGGCATGCGAGGGCTCACTCGGACAGCACTGGCATGCAAAGAGTCTCACTATAAGCCAGTTCAGGGAAAGGGAGACCCTAAGGATGCACACGGAACAAAATACCAGAAAACTAGCAGCAGCACTAACATTGGCCATGGTCTGCGGGCTGTGACGTCCACTGGTGCCACTACTGCCGGCACTGCATGAGGCGCCCACCGACACGTCAACTTCACAGGAAGTTTCAGTCACAGCAGCGGCATCATCACTAGCTAAGGACGTTGACCGTGCGTTGCCATCCAACTTGGACAGCTCTGCATCCTGGCCAGGCGGCGAGCAATCAGTGGCCGAGTTCTCCACCGGCTTGCCTGCATCCATGCCGACTTGGTCTTGGGAGTCCATACTCTTGTCCTTGCCACTTTCACCAACACTTCCATTGGCAGCAGTGCCCGTGGATGCTTGGGCCTGGCAGCAACAGCAAGCAAAGAAAATGGATGTGAATTGTAAACGAGAGAGCTTGGAAGCTCAGGGCCCTACGCTATGCTTTTTTGCCTTGATGACCTAGACAAAAAAAGCATAGGGATGTTATAAATTCTTTAAAAAAATCCTTTTTTTTAAAAGACATGACCTGGGATTCGAACCCGCACTATCGCGCGCCCTGCACTATCGCGCGCCCTGCATGCATCCCCCGATACATACTAATTCTTCCAAGTTGTTTCACATTTTGATCTTGCATTTGAAAGCCCTATTTGAATATGCATTGTGGCCAGCCGTCTTTGATGGCACGGTACGGTAGGGGATAGGTACGGGACAGGTACGGTCGAGGGTAATACGACAAGGTCTAGCTGCCCGCAATATTCAAATACGGCTTTCAAACGCAAGATAATAACGTGAAGCAACTTGGAAGAATGGATATGAATGCGAAGTGTATGGGGAATGCATTTAGGGCGATAGTGCGGGTTCGAATCCCAGGATATGCCTAAAAAAATTGAAAATTTGATAACATCCTATGCTTTTTTTGCCGTCAGATACGGATAGCGCCAGGCGTGACACAAACAAACAAACAAACACACAAACAAACAAATACCAAACGAGAGAGCTTGGACGCTCAGGGCCCTGCGCTATGCTTTGTTGCCTAGCTCATCATGCATGTTGTTAGAACTGATGGAAATGTTTTTCCTTTGATTAGCTACATCATTGTATTGCAAAAACGTTTCAATGAGTTACTGAAGTAACGTCTTCTGCAAAGCTATGGGACCGGCGCTGACTCTGCCGATCACGGGCGTTCTGGAGTCGACGGGATGTCTGTCCTGACGTTTCCTGGGACCGGCGCTGACTCTGCCGATCACGGGCGTTCTTCTTCTTCTTCTTATTATTATTATACTGACGGCAACTAACATCCATTCTAATTGCATTTACTCGTCTCCCTACTTCGTATTTCTTTCCAGAAAATCTCCCCATACAGCAGGGAGTCGTTTACATAATATGACTCCCTGCTGTATGGGGAGATTTTCTGATTGCATTCACTCGTCTCCCTACTTCGTATTTTTTTTCCCGAAAATCTCCCCATACAGCAGGGAGTCGTTTACATAATATGACTCCCTGCTATAGATCTACATGACTGTATATACGTTATAATTACTCAATCTGATACGTTATAATTATTATGCTATCAGCCTACATGTGATCCCCGGGCTGGTCGACAGGCGGACCAGCCAGCCTGCTAGTGGGTTCTCGGCCTCGCACACAAATCCACACAAAATGTTACTGCACTGAATGCATTCCCCCGATACACTTCGCATATATACTCATTCTCTTGATGGTACCGTACTCTTGATGGTACGGGACAGGTAGGGGATAGCGCCAGGCATGTCGATGGCACAAACAAACTAACATATGTAGCCAGCTGTCTTTGCTGGTACGGTACAGTACGGTACAGATACGGGATAGCGCCAGGCGTGACACAAACAAACAAACAAACAAACAAACACCAAATTAAAGCTGTGTGGACCCTGGCTAGCGCCAGACGTTACTGAAGTAACGTCTTCTGCATAGCTACGGGAATTAAAGCTGTGTGGACCCTGGCTAGCGCCAGACGTTACTGAAGTAACGTCTTCTGCATAGCTACGGGAATAATTAAAATTATTTTATGTTACATGACCTCCAAGCAGTCGCGTGGAGTACACACAGCATACACGTTTGCACAGTGCGCCGGGCAATGCACCGGGCATCACAACGTAGACATTGCAGTGCAACAGAGATGCATCCCACCTCCGAATCTATGCTGCACAAAACCGAGCCCACGGTGAAGATTTTTTAGTTTAGGTCATCATGAATCATAGAAAACGCGTCGTACTGTAGGTTCAGTGCCAAATCACCGTATCAAGGTAATAGCAGGGAAATCATGTGCGTTTTAACCTTTGGTACGACAAGTAGCAATGCGCAACGGAAATTACCTCGGTGATGCGGCAAAATAACCATGTGAACCAGTGCGAGATGCAGCAAAGGTGAGTCACTATGACCTAAACAAACAAAAAACTTCTCTGTGGGACGATTTTTTCGGAGCAGCACACTCCCGTTTATGTACTCTTGATCCCACTACACTGTATAACATAACTATCAATAGCATGTCGAGCATTACTACAGCCTACAGGACATATCCGTAGAAGAGATCACCGGCGTGCAAAGAGACAGCAACACTGTGCAAACGCTACAAATTGACCAATGCAGACCCACCTTCTTCTTTAGCTTTTGCCGCTGTCTCTTGGCTGCCTTGGAGGTGGACTGATCTGATTTCTTGCTGCTAGCCGTAGCACTGGATGCAGCCATTGCTTCAGAACCAACAATGTATTCCATCACCACTTCGATTGGCTGAGCACCCACAGGCTGCTGCTGCTGGCTCTTGTCCGCAGCTTTCGTACCGACCTTCTTCGAGGATACAGATGAATCACTTGAAGCTGGTGTCTTTGTTGATGACCCAACGGCAGCACTGGGCGGCGGCGGCTTTTTACTGAGCACAGCGGCTGCAGAGGCTGTGGTAATCTGCGACTCAGTCACGGCAGCAGTGGAACCATTAGCACTACCGGCACTAGCACTACCGGCGCTAGCACCACTTGCACCAGTGCCAACTGCACTATCAGCGTCTTCGACACCACTGCTGGCTGGTACATCTTCCAGTGGCAAGGGCTGTGACATGTCCATGGCGCTCTCAGTTGCTGTCGCCGCCAGGAGGCCACTGCCGTCTAAGTGATGATGATGATGGTGGTGGTCATGTGGCTGTGTGCAAAAGCGACAAGGGTAGTCACAGCAGGATCAGCATAAGAACTACAGTATCACAAGGGTAGTCAGAGCAGGATCAGCAACAATACTGAAGTACAACATGCAAAGCACCTGACATGTGCCAATGATGAACGTACAAGACCCAAGTGACTTCAGTGTTTGGAGGTAAAAAAAAAAAAAAAAAGTTCCCCGTGATTGCTACAACTCTTGGCATCACGCAGTATCAGCCCACTTCTTGATGAACACAACTCCAGATAAGCTAGCGTTACAAACAATTGCAGGCCATCGGTTGATTTCACATTATACGGAGAGAATCTTCCATATAAAGGGATGTAAGTACACTTATTCAAATGCCCATCACTGTCATAGATGACGATTTTTGACTGAGATCGTTTGCACAGTGATCTGCTGGATTTCAGCAATGTCATGGTACAGATAACGCAAAATGCTCAAAATGACGCAAGCCCCCCCCCCCCCCCCCTTTGGATCTAGAGGTTCATAATAGAGAGGTTCCGCACTACGTAAAGTTGAGCAACTTTATGTTAGTGGGCGGGAAAAACCCGTGAATTCGCGAGTTTGCACTCCACTTACGGAAAGTTATCTACGGAGAGTACGTAGATAGGGCTCTGATAACGTAGCTGGTCCGTAAGTGGATTGGGGTACAAATTTATGACTCTCTCCCCAGGTCGATCTGGTCGTACACTGCCGCGTTCGGAGTTGCCAAGGGCAGCTACATGATTTGAAAACTCTGTATGGCGGAACCCAGACGCGCATGCAGTTTACGTAAGACTTTCCGTAGATCGACTACGTTTTTTACTAGCGTAATTACGTTATGCGGAACCTCTCTAATATAATTATTATTATCTTGGCAGGGACAATATTCCACTGCAGCCACACCATATCATAATCACTGATAGCAAATCACTAGAACTCCACAGCTGACCTCTGGCCTCTTTACTACCGGTCTCTACACTACAAACAGAACATTACATTTCCAAACCATAGTACAATTTAGAAATGCAAATGGAAGTCAGTGCACAGTGAGGCTTACCTTGCCATTGCTCCTCTTGTTGTTTAGCCTGGAACGCAGCTTTTCTCTCACTGTAGTATAGTTGTGGCTGGCTGGCATAGTCGCAGGCTATCGTGGAAATGTGCAGCATCACACACGCACGAACATTCACATTCACAGCCACACCAACCCAACACACGCACCATACCCACACCGACAACCAGAGACACAGAGCGCTGTTATTATTTGGGACAAGTAGAAGGAATGGCACCGACGGGTACTGTCAGATCGCTGCAAAGCAGTGATATGGTTACATTCTTCTACTACAGGAAACCTCCATCACATTAGGCTACATGCACATCAGGCTAAGCAAACCCCTTGCTTCAGAAACCAGCCATGATCACTTAGTGCTACACTTTTCCAGCAATCACCATGGTCACTCCAGCATCAGATATATCAGCACGGCCAGCATGTTAGGTTCCCTTCTCTGGGCGCTTTCCCAGCCAGGCACTTCTCAGAAAACAAATGTGCTATATACTAAATAGGGCACATGGCACAAAATATGCATGGGATCAGACAGCAGCAGCAGCAGTGGCAGCAGCACCAGACCATCACAGTATATGATACTAACCCCGGCACGTCCAAAGAGCTCGCAGTACATGCAGCGGCAAGACTGCTTTCCAGCAGCAGCAGCACCAGTGCCAGCAGCACCCACGTTACCAGCAGGATCACTGGAACAAGCAGTAACAGCACCAGAAGTAGCTAATCCAGCACCGTTGCCACCAGCGGACAGACCTGCTGTCGTGGTGTTTGCAGTGCCGTTGCCACCGGAGTGAGCAAGAGCATGGGAGCTGGATTCGCTTGGTTCTGATGGGTGATGGATTGTGCAGGCAGGGTTGTTGCATGTCACTGTAGTAAGGAGGCAAGTAGACAGTCCGGAAAGGCAGAAACAGCCAGCAGGCACACATTGAATGGTGTAATAATACGAAAGAATGAAGTTGAAGACTCCACTGCAGCTGTACTTATGGTTGATTCCCTATGGTGGTAAATACACACCTGGCAATATGGCGGTAAATGCAGCGTTAAATACTATGCCGGATACCACAAACCATGCATCGACTAGGCGTCAGGCGCTAACTGATGGTGGTGGTGGTGAGAAGGAGAGCTCTGCACCAGAATAACTTTGCAGTTCAGAGAGCGTGTGTGGGCAGGCGTGTATTTACCACCATATTGCCAGGTGTGTACTTACCACCTTATGAATCAATAATAATACAAACTGCGACAAATGCGATGTGAGCATTCTCCAACACTATGTGCTATGGACATAGCATTCGTCTGAATTTCAGCAATGTCAAACTAAGTGCATAGGACACTTGTATACACATGCACACTGCACAATACAAAGGCTGACAGAATCACCGTCCCAAATACTTCACATACTCAAGAGATCAATGGCCTTTGCAGTTCGTATACATGTAGTATTTCCCATGTGTTTTGGCTGCGTTGGGTGTGTAGCGGCGCCGCATAGTTCTAAACAAGACCTAAATCGAAAGCAGCACTGAGTAATGCAAAAGAAAGAGAGACTCGAGCCGCCAACCCACCCAGTGCAGCAGTTTCACAACGTGCTACATGCATGCAGTCAGCCAGTCAGCACTGGTTGAACCAGTCACTTGGAGTACATGTACTATTGTTTGGTGTGAAATGCAAGCATCTAGTCAACACTACACATAGGTAGACAAACACACACACACACACACACACACACACACACACTGCATTGTACACCGCTGGGTTAATGATAAGGCCTGAAAAGTGCTACATCACAACCAGGCCGCAATCATGACAACGCTGACTTTCGGATCCAGATTCTGTAAGGATCCGTACATGTTTGGGTGGTTTCCTTCACAATAAGTGAGACCTCGGCCAGTAGTGACTGGAGTGGGCTCTACCAGGCGACGCCCACTGCTGGTACCAAAACAAGTTTCACGAGCATGAGAGGACTACCCACCGGTATCATACTTCGCTATGGCAAAGAGTGGATACAATTTGACCGAGAAGTTGTTTTTAATAGTTTTTTTTAAAACTTCTGACGTCATCACATTCAAGTCCTACCAGTCGGGCACAAATCCTGGTCAGTAGTCACTACCCTGTCCATGCACTTATACATGTCCATCTGGAGCTACATTGTACAGCACACTGAGCAAAGAATGCCACGTTGAACAAGCGAACATATACGTACCTTGCATGCTGGCTTGCTCCGCAGCAGTGATACTAGAGTCTTTGGACATGCGGCCGCTGCCACCCTCAGCACGACCACCACCACTACTGCCAACAGCATGCTTGAGAGGAGTTGCAGTGTCGTTGGAGCCGTGGACACGTGGCGCGGCCGGGCCAATGCGTGGCAAGTCATCTGGAATAAGCTCACCGCCGCTGTCTGATGAGCCGTTGGCTGCTGCATCACCTTTAGCTCGACGAGCCTACACCAGGAAATCACATATCAACGCAGCTTGCTTAGGGCAGTGAGCATGGGGATGAAAAGTAGAAAAAAGTGACAACTTGCCGATTTCGGCACACCATTACAGGTGGGATATGAATCTATCACATGGGGTTTCGTTGGCACAAAAACATCCACCACAAACTTCACATACCAATATAAGTCAGACATGGCCGACACAAGGATTTTCAAAGAATCCCTGAATGTATTGAACAAGTAGTGAAGGTGAAGCATATGTGAAGTTCACACAAATCATACTAGTATGGTGCTAATACGTTTTAGTCACATCAGAACAAAAAGTTCAGGGATGTATTAAGGGGGGGGGGGGGTACAGTTATGAACTCTCCTTAGCCCTTTCCGACACGTGACTACTTATTCTGAGAGAGGTTCTCCTAAGCGAACTTTGTGGATGAGCTCCAGCTGTGGCAAGAATCAAGGCAGTGGTGGGATAAACAAGGAACGTAAGCAGACAATCAGCTGTGATTTCATGAACGGAAAATCAAACAGCATACCTCTTTTCTCCTCTGTTCTGCTTGCAGCTGGCGAAGGCGTTCCTGACTTAGCTGTGTGGGGTAGCCCTGTAAGTGAAGGGTTATAGAAGGGCACAGCATCGTAGAATCGGGGTTGAGTCGGTTTTAATAACTCTCCAGATGGTGGTGGAGAAGACACAAGTGACAGTCATGTACAATTACTCAAAAACGGGCACAGGCACATCCCAACTTCCTCCCCAGTGCGAGGGCGATGGGGAGACACGTAGGGAGACAGAGAAAGAGAGAGAGAGAGAGAGAGAGGAGAGAGGGTTGGGGAGGAGGGGGCACTTGTGCAGGAAAACAACACACATACACAGCGCGAAGTTCCTTTCACCACGTGCTATACAAATACAGATGGATCCAATTTGATCTAGGAATTGCTATTCTGTGGCTGAATTTGCACTCACCGGCTGCCCAGGTATGTGCTCACACAGTGCCGCACAGTTTGCACATCTGCACAGACGTTTCAACGGGCCGGCAGCAGAGGAGCGGGACGTGCTGCCTGAGCTAGTGCCACTGCTTGCTGGCACGACTGCCATGGAAGAATTCGGCTTGTTCAGGGGCGCACCACTTGTTGCAGCTGGTAAAGAAGCCTCGGTGAGGGAAGCTGAGGTTGACATGGACTCTACAAGACAGTGACACAGGTACAGAGCGAAAAGGAAATTCTGGTGAATACAGATGCATGAACTGTAACCCCAGTGAGCTAGAAACACATATTTCATATGGTAATTCTGGGAAGAAAGAGCCATGTTCACTCACAAGTAGGATATGGCTACTGCAACAGACTTGATGAGTAGCCATCAACATGAACTCAGAGAATATTCACAGAATCGTCATTGGCACAGTTTCCTTCAAGAATAAAAGCTACTACAAACATCTTAGGACAAACTTTGCAGTGATGAGGTATTCTCCCGGACAGTAGCTTTGACTGACATAACTGTTATACGTACAACGGTTTTTGATTTGACCAGATCTTTGCAAGGACAACCTTCAAATGCACTACATTTACCAATATCATGTGTTTGCATTCAAACGTGTGTGTGTGTGTGTGTGTGTGTGTGTGCGTGTGTGTGTGTGCGTGTGTGTAGGTGTTTCTTGTGTGTGCGTGTGTGTAGGTGTTTCAGCGTATCTCACCTAGAAGCTGCTGTTGGCGGCTGGGCAATCCCTTACGAACACGAGCCGCAGCTTGCGTTATAGCTGGCACCGCAGAGCCAATGTGCGCCGCAATAGCAGAGTAGCTGGACACAGACGAACTACACACATCTGATGCAGAAGATGTGCCTGCATGTAACGGCATAGGTGATATCGCTGAAGCTGCCGAAATTCCAGCCGCCATCTTTCTACTGGAAGCGGAGCAAGTGTGAGTTGCTGCTGAACATACAGTTGTCCGATGGCTGCCGTTAGCAGCAGCAGTAGCAGCAGCTGTGCATACTGGCGGTAGTACATGACCTCTGGGTTGAGCTACTGTACTGGCAGCATGGTGTCCAGGGTGAACAGTGCTAGATGCGGCAGTACACGTAGCCATGCCGTTGCTAGCTTTACAATGGTGGCTGTGCGGATGATGATGGTGATGATGGTGGTGGTGATGGTGGCGCAGTTCGCCGGAGAACGGGTAGTCCACGGGCAACGGCTGCATCCATTCTTGCGGATGCGTGTTCTCGGCGAATGAGTGGAACGGGTCACAGGACATGGCTCGATCAAAGCTACGTACTGCTGCCGTACCCAGCAACATTGCCAAGTCAGGACTGGTACTGGGCAGGGCCATTCGACTGACATCTTCGGCATGCAGTGCCTCTTGCGGCTCATTCAACAAGCGCATTTGCTGCAAACAAGATGAGCAATCGCAGGCTGGCAAACCGGCTTCGCGTGCCTGTTAATGAAAGAAAGAAAGAAAGAACAAAACCTTAGGAACCAGCAACGTGAGCCGGGAGTGCACGACCAAGTACGTACCAGCATCATCAAATGTTAGTGGTGCTATTAAGATCTGCTTCCCATGGCACACATTAGCAGAGTACATGTATATAGTCCAATAGGTACACACAGACAGTGCAGTGCCTTGGCCTGCAATAGTATTAGTGCTCAAATGCCCGTAATGGGCAGAGCGTAGTACGCAAGAGGTACACAAAAGGAAATAAAATAGCGCTGTTTCGTTGTTAGAGTTTCACGGTAAAAAGCCAATCATCAGACAACATAAGGAGATTAGAAGAAGCGCAGGGATATGAAGGCAAGCAGAGGAGCTAGGGTAATCCAGTGCAGACAATATAACAATCAACACCTCCCAGAGGCAGAACGCTCTGACGTGCTAGAATCAACACCTCAATGTGCTGGGTGCATAGGGTGAAACATGAACACACACACTCAAAACACCCCCACACCCTCACACTAATCCACATACACAGTCTCACACTAATCCACACACAGCCTCTCACTCTCACACACTCCATACTCCTGCATTATCGCACCCAGACACACACACACGCACGTACCCCCCCCCCCCCCCCCCCCCCCACACACATGCACGCACCCAGCGCAAATACATAAATGCATGCATGCACAGCCAATGGGTTGCTCACATCTTTGAAATTCTTCACAGCAGCTGAGTAGAGGTCGGCATTGATGAGACCCCTGCCCGTGCCACTGGTACCACTAGCTAGTAGGCTGGGCAGATGAGCGCTTGGCTTGAGAAGGGACAGGAAGAAATGATCTGATAACGGCATTGATGACAGACCTGTTGGATCACCTGGCACGGTAGAAACACAGATTAAAAGACAGGTGAAAAACTCACATGAATCATTCAAAACACGAAAGACAACATACACACACGCACACACCACACCACACACACACACACACACACACACACACACACACACACACACACACACACGAACACACACACACACACACACACAAACACACACACAGCAAAGGAGCAACAATAAAGGGCATATCGGAATCTTTTTTTTCAGTTTGCCCAGTCAAATATTCTGCAGGAGAACGGCTGAAACTCAAGTCATTTCCGACAGTAAGTTAAGTAGTGCGTATTTTCGAAAACACTTACCGTACTTCCGCACATATAAGCGCATGTGCTTATGTCCGGACATAAGCGCCCCCCCCCCCCCCCCCCCCCCCAATTATAAGCGCATGGGCTTATATGTGAACACTATTGGTGAAGCATCCGGGAGCTGAATATACTGCTAAGCATTGTGATAACACCGTTGTTTAGGGCACAGACAAACCTACCTTTATTGCACATATAAGCGCATGGGCATCTACCCGAACATGTTCACACAACAAAAAATCCTTTTTGTAGCAAATTTTCACTTATAAGCCCATGCGCTTATATGTGGGGAAGTACGGTATGATGTTGCACACGGAATACATGTAGCAGCACAAGCGTTGCGTCACTGAGTGAAAGTACCGGGTGAAGAGGCTGAAACATGCACATGCGTGATATCTAACATATTTTCGACTTTTCCACCTTTTCTGTTCAACTTCGCAAAAGTTTGACTACATTTTCAACTCTCAAACTCACTTTCCGCTGAACCTGAGCGCATGTACCGTGCGCGCGTGTGTGTGTGTGTGTGTGTGTGTGTGTGTGTGTGTGTGTGTGTGTGTGTGTGTGTGTGTGTATGTATGTATGCATGTCTGAGTCGGAGTGTATGCGTGTCTGAGTCTGAGTGTGTGTGTGTGTGTGTTGCGGAAGGGAAAGAGGGGAGAGGAGCACAGTACTGTGTGTAATAGTCGAGAGTGGAAATAAAGAAGTCAACACGACGAGTCATGAAGACAATAAGAACACACACACTGCTGCTCTTGCTCTAGTCTCTTACCAGCATCACAACCACCAGCACCACCTACAGCATCACAACCACCAGCACCAGCACCAGAAGCAGCACCATTGCGTATGTGTAGAGCTGGCAATGCACAGGCCGCTGCACTGGCTGCAGTTGTTGAACTAATGGCAGAGCAGCTTGGCATCAGCGTGGAGACAGCATTGGCACTGCAGCATGAAGCATATGCCTCCGGTCTCTCACCCACCGCAGCAGCAGTAGCAGCATGAGCAGAAGAAGTTGCAGACGCTGACATGCCATTTGCTGACATGGTGCCTAGTGGAGAAGATCGATGCTTAGTGCATGGCGAGCCAGGCGGCGAAGCTTCATCATCACCAGTATCGTTCCCACTGGAGCAAGCACTTGCACCACTCTCGGACAAGCCTGGGTCAGAGCAAGATGACGCAGTGGAAGAGGAGCGACGACTACCGCAATGACTTCCACAGTCGATGCACAAAGATGACGCCAGTGCTGCTGCCGCTGCTGAGGATGCCGTTGCTGGTGCGGTCCCCAGTGCTGTCACTACTCCTGTTGCTCCTGCCATCACTGCACAGCTGTCAGTGGTGGCGGACAGCATTGCGGACGTCATCGTGGAACATGGTGTGCACGTGCACGGAATGTCATCATCATGCAGCATGCTGCCCATGGACGACAGGTGCTCCTGCTGTAGGTCATAATCTTTCAGCACGCTCTACACAAGCAACGGGAAGAGCAAACCACACACACACACACACACACACACACACACACACACACACGTACACACACACACACACAGGCACGCACGTACACACGCACCCACACACACATGAGCACGTACACAACATACAATATTCATGTATAGCACATAGAAAATACCATTGCCATGCATTCCTCGAGACACGCCTGCCGCCCTGGCTATGCGGAGCTACTCCACCTGCGGGGACAAGACATGGCGAGGACGGCCACGGACAACCATTGTGTCCACGCTATCGGCGGGTCTAGCGTCAGCAGGACTGAGGAGCCTGAGAAACTTGGCGGACCTAGAGCACCTGCGGGCCATCGCCGCGGACAGGCTTGCGTGGCGCGAGCTGTGCCAGGATGTGCATAAGGCGAAGTAAATGACGGATGGAACACAGGCATTGAACAGATCCAGGCATTCAGCACTTATCATCGAACATGAGTTACATTCCTATCGTCGTGGTCTGTGTTCTTCATTTTTCTTTCTCTTTTTTCCCGAATAGATCCCGTGCATTCAGCAGTTATCATCGAACATGAGTTACGTGCCTATCGCCGTTGTCTGCTATCTTACATTTTTTTTCTCTTTTCTTCTCTGCCCGCTCTGTCTGTCTTTAGGCACATGCGAATACGTGGACTTCCTGTTGACGTAAACGCAGACGTGCGTTAAATAATATTGATAGTAATGCAAATTGGTGCCCAGTGATGCGAAACCCAGTCAGGAATTCAGGTGGCTCGTTTAAGAAGCTTGAGTTATCCGCAAGACTTACGCTCAACACAAGATCTGAATCGACAGTCTGCCCGCCAGGTACACCGTGCGTAGAAGATAATCCACTCATAATACGGCTGTTAACGGCGGCCGAGGACAGGTAGGCATGTCCTGAACATGAAGAACAGCAGTTACACACAACAGATGCATGTACATTCAGACGTACACAAACTTGAAAGGATTCAAAGGCGTTTCTGCTGTAACACTGTGAGTTTCACGGTTTTAACCGATCAACAGACGGCAACTTCACTACAATTTTCCGAAGATATGACTATATAGGCTGCAAGCTTGGATCATGGCGCGAGTGAATGATACGGGCTGATAGTGTGATATGAAAATGATTGTGTGAGTTGGGTGTGGGGTGCAAAATTAGGCGCAAAAAAAAAGAATACACTTTAGGCCTAGGCTCATGCAACCACATGATCTTTTGAGGGAGGCGAGGAGAAGAGCAGTGGAATAACTATGAGTAGCACCTCACTACAATACACTGTAGGCCTAAAGTGAATTCTTTTTTTTGCGCCTATTTTTGCACCCCATTTACCCAACTCACGCAGTCATTTTCATATTACACCATCAACCCGTATCATTCACTTGTGCAAGCCATGCAGGCTTGTCCAAGCCTGCAGCCTATATCAGTCATATCTTCGGGAAATTGTAGTCAAGTTGCTGTCTGATGATCTGTTAAAACCGTGAAACCATCAGCGGCCACTCGCGATCGCCGGCGGGCACCACGGACTCAGGGCGGCAAGCGCCCACATCCACGGGCCACGTGCCGAACGTCAGCGCCGTCTTCTCGGCGTGCGACTCGAAGAACGCGTACGGCGTCGGGTACGACTCCGGCACCGACAGCACCTCGTCAAAGTCCTGGAACATGGCCCACTTGGTGTCCAGGTGACGGTTCATGAACATGCAGTCGTGCATGGCGTACGTCTGCCCGAAGTAGTACGGGTTGAACGCGTTCTGCGCGGCAATGTTGAGCACGCTCGAGTGCGTCGGCGCTAGGCGTATGCCCAGTTGGCGCAGCGCCGCGCGGTCCTGCCCCTCGATGGCGCTGTACACAAAGAAGTAGTCGGCGTGTAGGCGGTGAGCGTAGTAGTCCATCCACTGGTCGATCCACACGTACCGCGGCCGCAGGTGCAGGCACGGCAGGCAGATCACCCAGTCGAACGGTTTGGCGAGCTTGGCGCGGAAGTTGTATGACAGCAAAAACGCTTTTTGAATACTTATTAGGCTCTGCACCTTGCTGTATTGAGCACAGTCACGAGCCACCGCAACTCTCTCCGAATGCACATACAGACGTAGGTAAGCTCACATGTAAGACACATGCAACTACATACATGCACCGGTGCGTAAGCTCACACACAAGACACATGCATGTACATACCGCTACGTAAGCTCACATGTAAAGTGAGCACACAAGTGCTACTCGATTACCTCTCCAACCTACGGGCACACACTTCACACAGGGAGTGACCACAAGATGGAAAGTGGGCAATCTGATTTTCTGTTCCATCTCCATTCCTTCGCGGATTATAATTTTAGTACAGACGGAATTCAAGACAGGTATCCCGTGTTCGTTTCATTTCATATAATAATCAAGAAGAGCAATAGAAAAGCAGTGCTTGTGCTCACAAGTCATAAAACAACAATACTGAAGTACATACCATTCGCGGTAGACACACAGCAGGAGGTCACATCCTGCAAGAAGGAACATGCACACACCAAGGTAGGTGGAACATGAGCACGTGAATGGGCACATAGACGGACACAACAGTCGACTGCAGGCCACACTACCCGCAGTCTTGTGAAAAGTTCCATATGAGAGAGAGAGAGAGAGAGAGAGAGAGAGAGAGAGAGAGAGAGAGAGAGAGAGAGAGAGAGAGAGAAAAGAGAGAGAGAGAGAGAGAGAGAGAGAGAGAAAAGAGAGAGAGAGAGAGAGAGAGAGAGAGAGAGAGAGAGAGAGAGAGAGAGAGAGAGAGAGAGAGAGAGAGAGAGAGAGAGAGAGAGAGAGAGAGAGAGGGAGAGGGAGAGGGAGAGGGAGAGAGAGGGGGGGGGGGGAGAGAGAGAGAGAGAGAGAGAGAGAGAGAGAGAGAGAGAGAGAGAGAGAGAGAGAGAAAGAGAGAGAGAGAGAGAGAGAGAGAGAGAGAGAGAGTATGGCAAGAATCGTAACCAGAACCCTTACCAATGGCAGGGATGGATATTTCTTGCTAGAACCAGAGTGCTGCAAGGACAAGCAAGGACATAAATCACACAATATCAACATGAGCATCACTAACAAGCTTCAGGATCTTTCCAATCAACATTCCAAGGCAAAGGGATTGTCCTGTGCATTGTTGTGCCGGGCATACGCAAATCCAGCCAGAGTGCCACCTTTCAAACGTACAGACTCACATGCACTGCCAAGGACTGTACATCAGAACCTATAGTAACGGATCTGTCCAAACACTAACATTGGCCAGCATCCTCTGGGCGTACAATCACAGTACACAATGACAACACCTGTTGCAGCACACAGAGATGGACAGCTGCTGCATCAGCAAACCGCCATACTAGTATTTGCAAGCGCATAGTATTTATAAGCCACTTACAGAGATCATGTAGTCAAAGCTGAGAGTACGCAGCGTGTCCAAGACCGCCTCGCCGTGTTCACTCATCACTGGCACACTGTACAGGGAGTTGCTGCAGTACACTGACTGGCCAGCTGTGCCTATCGCCAGGCCACCACCAACACCACCGCAGCTGCTGCTGACATAGG